ACGCACCATCTTTGCCACATATTTCTTATAAATGTACTCGTATAGAGCCAAAGCTACTTTTTACATTAATAATAATTATTACTTAAAATATTTCTCATTCAACTTTCTCAATTTTTAACTTTGACTTCATACTTCCTTCCTATTTTTTACAAAATACCTATTTATTATCCATAAAATCTTTATAAATGACGTAGTATACTACTTGTAACCGAACTACTCCATCATTCAATTCCAACGTCATAAATTAATTGCAAACCAAATAATATGAATAAGAAGATCTAAGTATTTATATAAAATTAATTAAATCTTTTTATATATCTAAAACACAAAATATATATGAAAAATAGTCAGAAATTAAGTGCTAATCAAAAAATTTAACAAATTTACAACTATCATGACTTACTTGAAATGGAATAAATGTCAAAAGAACTTAAAGATCAATTAATGCTAATTATAAACTCTTCTGATCAATAGATTTCTGTCAAAGATGCACTTGAAACGATTAAATCTGAAAACTTTCTATAAACTCATAAAGCAGTAATTTAATTGAGAAAGACCTTATCTGTATTATTGTTTCAATAATTTAATAAGAATTTCGATTAAGCAGAAATATTTACTCATGAACTTGTACCACTGTTATTTTATTTAATCGAATTTGGAAGTACATACATTCTTAAATTGGAAGCTACATGTTAATTTAATTGTATATATTAGAAATTATATCCATTTTTGCTGGAGGAAAAAGTGAAATTTCAAGAACTATCTTTGAAAATGGAATAGTTCGACTATCTTAATCAATATTACAAAATACAAATCCTGAATTATCAATGTTAATGATGATCATATTAGGAAAATTAGCAGGAGATTCAATTTAATACAGAGATTGTATTCTTCAAGTATGTAATTTGGATAGAATTATATTAAAAATGCAACCTAGATATGAAGCAACCTATGTCTGGTGTATAGCTAATATGTGTATTGGTAGACCAAGTCCAAAATTTGAAATAATTAGACCAGCATTCAATATTTTTATGAGAGTCATCATGTATGAACCAACTTAAACAAATATAAAAATGATGAATGATGCAATATGGGCACTTGGATACATGTTAGATGGAGAACCTACAAGAATAACAATACTAATTGATTATGGAATCGTCAAAAGATTAATTGAATTGATGCATCAATGCAACTTTGTTTCAGTTTTGAGAATTTTTGAATGTATTTTCTAAGGAACACAAGAATAAATTCGCTATCTCTTAGAATGTGGATTTCTATCACAAATAAGAAATATTCTTGATCCTAAGAGTAGGGAGAAGAGTGGTAATATGATCTAAACCTTTGCAGCAACTGAAACGTTATTCAAAGTGTTGTCTAATCAGAATTTTTTAATATCATTATTTCATTCTTTATCTGATGAAAATTCAGAAATAAGAGGAGATGCATTAGAAATGATTGTTAATGCAGTCTAACATGGAACGAATGAAGACCTAAATTAGATGATTAAAAATAAACTCATTCAAAGTATTTTAAACATGCTTAATTTGGCATAAGTAAAAGAAATATCATCTCATCATCTTAAAAAAGGATTAGAAATCCTTATAAAAATACTGAGGAAAGGTGAAATTAGATCAAAGGACAGATAAAAAAATTAGTATTTTACAGTATTCATTGAAATTGATGGAAAAGATGTAATACAAAAGCTACTATCCTCTAATTAGGATGACGTTGCGAAATATGCTTACATTTTTAAATAGGAATTCACCTTATGAATACATCAAAAATTATATCAATTATATACAATTTTTCCTTTTAAAATAACATCTTTTACTTATTCCGTTTGATGTATATGTAATCTTTTTATACACTATAAAACAAATAAAAATCAAAACATTCTTCATTTTCATGATACTTTAAAGGCTAAATTGATTTAATTGAGTATTCAATCCTAATTATTCTAAAATATTCTTATGTAAATTAAAAATAAATTAAAAAATTCATCAATTGTAAAAATATATATTTCAAAGCCAAATATTTTTTCATTAACACACATGTATTAATTTATTCTACTTCTACATTTATAATAGAATGCAACTATTCTTTAGAAATTACATACTCGCATTGATTTAGAAAATACTACCTTAATTACCTTATTCACTTTAATAATTAATTATTATATTGTAGATTATTTTATTTTATCAAATCTATATCCTAAAATTGCATATTTATTTGATACTTTATCGATGATTTAATGAAAATGATTTTCACCTTCTAAGATTCACTTAATTAACTTTTATCCAACTAAAAATACAAGCGTTTCTATTCAAAAATAATATACTCTTTTTTGATATCGGCTGTTTAAAGTAATACCATAAAAATGTATCAAAATGTTCGGATCCTTAAATTCTCAAAATATTGGAATTTTAAAAATTGATTATAGAGATTTTACAATCTATCAATTGAATAATTGAAAATTTCTAATATATATTCTGTGAAAGAATGAAAGAATTGTGGTTCTAAAAGTATCCATACCTACAAAAGTTAATCACTTACTAGGTAACTCCTCTTATTGATTTGATNCATTATTTCATTCTTTATCTGATGAAAATTCAGAAATAAGAGGAGATGCATTAGAAATGATTGTTAATGCAGTCTAACATGGAACGAATGAAGACCTAAATTAGATGATTAAAAATAAACTCATTCAAAGTATTTTAAACATGCTTAATTTGGCATAAGTAAAAGAAATATCATCTCATCATCTTAAAAAAGGATTAGAAATCCTTATAAAAATACTGAGGAAAGGTGAAATTAGATCAAAGGACAGATAAAAAAATTAGTATTTTACAGTATTCATTGAAATTGATGGAAAAGATGTAATACAAAAGCTACTATCCTCTAATTAGGATGACGTTGCGAAATATGCTTACATTTTTAAATAGGAATTCACCTTATGAATACATCAAAAATTATATCAATTATATACAATTTTTCCTTTTAAAATAACATCTTTTACTTATTCCGTTTGATGTATATGTAATCTTTTTATACACTATAAAACAAATAAAAATCAAAACATTCTTCATTTTCATGATACTTTAAAGGCTAAATTGATTTAATTGAGTATTCAATCCTAATTATTCTAAAATATTCTTATGTAAATTAAAAATAAATTAAAAAATTCATCAATTGTAAAAATATATATTTCAAAGCCAAATATTTTTTCATTAACACACATGTATTAATTTATTCTACTTCTACATTTATAATAGAATGCAACTATTCTTTAGAAATTACATACTCGCATTGATTTAGAAAATACTACCTTAATTACCTTATTCACTTTAATAATTAATTATTATATTGTAGATTATTTTATTTTATCAAATCTATATCCTAAAATTGCATATTTATTTGATACTTTATCGATGATTTAATGAAAATGATTTTCACCTTCTAAGATTCACTTAATTAACTTTTATCCAACTAAAAATACAAGCGTTTCTATTCAAAAATAATATACTCTTTTTTGATATCGGCTGTTTAAAGTAATACCATAAAAATGTATCAAAATGTTCGGATCCTTAAATTCTCAAAATATTGGAATTTTAAAAATTGATTATAGAGATTTTACAATCTATCAATTGAATAATTGAAAATTTCTAATATATATTCTGTGAAAGAATGAAAGAATTGTGGTTCTAAAAGTATCCATACCTACAAAAGTTAATCACTTACTAGGTAACTCCTCTTATTGATTTGATTCTTTATTGATGATTCTAAATATCTTTGTCTCATATAAAATTAACTATCATTATTATTCTGATTCAATAACATTTGAAACTACAATAAAAAGATAGAGTTTAAATTTTAAATAATACTAATCCATCAACTTAAATGAAAACTATTTTTTTGATTGAGAGAACAGAAAATCAACATTTATCTAGACATCCAATTTGCTCAATCAAACAGTTTATATCATTTGAGAATTTTATCTAAAGAACTTCTTCTAATTAATTACTTAAATTTAGACTTCTAAATTAGTTAAATTTAATTAAATGTTACATCAACTTTAAATTAGTTCAATAGAAATCTTTTCTAATCATCAATAAAAATATGAATTATCCTATAATAAATTACTTGATTGATAATCAATAGAATTAGAATTTCTTTTCAACCAACTTTCATTTTCAATTTAATATCAAAGAATTTGATAATTTTGATTCTAATATTATTTACCATCTTCATTTTTTGGAATTCTAATTGTTTGTGATTTATATAAGAAATAGTTATAAATTTTGAGTATGAATGAAAGAATTAATTTGAAGAAGAAGATTATTTTATTTAAATAAAAAGAGAAGTTCAAAATTATAAATAGCATATATTTTTCGAATAAAATATGAATAGAATCAACAATATAGTTAATAAAAAAGGAAGAAACATATATTGAATTGGCTTTAAGATATAAAAATTGAAATTTTATTTCCATTTAATAAAATATTTTTTTCTGACGTGATTCTAATTAAACATAAATAATTATTTATTATATCTTATTTGATAATGCCCCCTAAAAAAGCAACAAAGAAAAAGACACCATCACCATCACCTCCACCTGCAAAAAGGTCAACTAGATCAAAAAAAGATGAAAAAGTTGAGGATAAGAAAAAGTATTAAAAAACAATTTAACATATTATAGAGATGTAGTAACAAAAGCCACAAAAGATGTATCTAAGTCATAAGGGAAGGGAAAGGCAAAATAAAAGTAAAAGACTCCTTCACCTTCACCTCCACCTCCACCAAAAAAAGCTCCTGTGAAGAAAGATTCTAAGAAAAGTAACAAGAAATCACCTTCCCCTTAACCAGTAAAAGCAGTGAAGAAATCCCCATCTCCAGCTAAGAAAGATGAAGAATAGAATTTAAAAAAAGTTGTATTTACAGGTAAAGCTCCTGTAGATGAATTTGTTTTAAATAGAGACAATTATATTGTTTATGAAGATGCAGCAAAAGTATATGACTGCATGATGAATTAAACTAATATAATAGGTTCAAATAATAATAATAAATTCTATGTTGTGTAATTACTTAAGAGTAAGAACTCAGGTATCTTTTTTCATAATAATTATAGATACATATTTTGTATTTACTCGATGGGGAAGAGTTGGTTAATCTGGACAATAGGCTCTTTAACCTTGTGGAGGTAATCTTGAAACAGCAAAAAGTGGATATGAAAGTAAAGTCAGAGAAAAGAGTGTGAAAGGAGATTATAGAATACTTGAGAAAGATTATAGCTTTGATGCAGATCCAAAAAATGCTGAAAAATTAGAGAAATTAAAAGAGTAAAAGGAGAAAGAATCTTATGACAAGAGTAAATTGCATACAAAGATAAAAGAATTAGTGAGATTAATTTTTGATATGAAGATGATTAATAATTAGATGAAAGAGTAATTTATAATAAATAATATTTTTTATAGGATAGGTTATGATGCGAAAAAGATGCCATTAGGTAAACTTGCAGCTTCAACAATTAATAAAGGATTTGATGTTTTAAAGAAGATTTCTGAAGAATTAAATAAGAAAAGTCCAAATGTTACAACTTTATAAACATTAACAAGTGAATTTTATAGTTAAATTCCTCATGATTTTGGAATGTAGAAAGCACCATTAATAAATACAGCTTAAATGGTTAAATAGAAATTAGAAATGTTAGAATCAATATAACATATTTAAGTGGCAACAAAAATATTGGAAGAATAAAAAGATGATGATACAAATGTTATTGATGAAAACTTTAAGAAACTTGGAATAAATATGTAATTTTTAGATCCATCTGAAGAGAAGGTTAAAATAATAAAAGAGTTTGTAAAAAATACACATTGTGATACCCACAAAGGTTATGATTTAGATGTTTTAGATGTTTTTGAATTATAAAAAGATTAAGATGATAATAGATTTAAAAAAGATATTGGAAATAGAATGTTATTATGGCATGGTTCAAGATTAACAAATTTTGTTGGTATTTTAAGTTAAGGTTTGAGAATAGCACCACCTGAAGCTCCAGTAACAGGTTATATGTTTGGAAAGGTAATAAAAATTATATAAATTGTTTATAGGGTGTGTATTTTGCAGATATGGTTTCTAAATCAGCTAATTATTGTGCAGTTTCAAGAGAGAATAATACAGGATTGATTCTTTTATGTGATGTTGCATTGGGAAATACAAATGAGAAATTCTACTCTGATTATTATGCCAATAATTTACCACCTGGTAAACATAGTACTTGGGGTAAAGGTAAAACTATGCCACCAATATCTTAAAATATTCCATTCCCTGATATGCCTGAAGTTTAAGTACCTATTGGTAAAGGAGCACCTTCTGGAGTTGCTAATGTAATTAAATATATTATAATTATTTAGACCTCTTTGCTTTACAATGAATTTATTGTCTATGATGTTGCTTAAATTAGATTGAAATATTTAATTAAAATGAAATGGAATTTTAAGTGATCAATCTAATTTATTTAAGTATAATTATACATATTCATAATACATTTTATAATTATTTTAATCAATATGCTCCCTGGTGAATACAAATATTTGAGTATTATAGCTAAAACTTGGAATGAAGTATATTTAGCTGAAAATGTAATATCCAAACACAAATGTTGTATTAAACAAGTTTTAATTGATGCCTTTTTAAGAGAAAAATTTTAATTAGAAATATAGATTTTGCAAAAAATTAAAGCTAATCCTCATCCTAATATTATTGCATTTGAAGATAGCTTCTACTATGAAAAGATTACAACATAGGATAAAGTAAGAATTTGCCATTTTAATGCAGTCTATCACTTTTGGGTGCATTGTAATGGAATTGGGAATCACCAATTTATTCCAATACATTAAATCTAAGAAATAATCTGATCCAGATTTCAGATTTTAAGAATAAGATGTGGCTAATTTTTATCTTACAATGATTAAAGCTCATTAACATCTTTAAGAGATGAAAATAGCACATAGAGACATTAAACCTGAAAATATTATACTTGTAAATGATGAAAACTTAAACTTTAAAGTTTGTGATGTAATTTTTTGTTAGTTTATAAAGCAAGGTGGGTTTTGGGACTGAAATTATTGATGAGGAATCTAGATCTCGTACTATAGGAGGAACAATAGGATATTAATCTCCAGAAATTTATACTGCATTTAAAAGAAGAAAACCTTAAGCAAAATACAATCCTTATAAAAGTGATGTATTTTCATTAGGTCTAGTCTTTCTTTTATTTGGTACTACTCAATCAATGAACAAATAGGTAAAAGAGAGATAGTTATTATATAGTAAAGAGAAGAGTTATTTGATGATGAAAGAAAACTATCGCATTATTTGAAAGAGTAAAGAAAAAAGATAAAGGAAACTTATCCTCGTATCAAAGGGATTGCAAAGATATTAAAATTAATGTTAGAAATAACTCCAGAAGAAAGATATGATTTTATTTAATTAAACGAAATAATTCATGAGAGATAATATCTTGAAGTAAAATAGGTAGGAATTATAATCAATTGATAGCCTGCCAAAATAAATCATAAGTAATTAAAATCCATAACTTAATTTGATGATTTTTAATTAGATATAAAGAATAAAGAAGATGTATAATTAGATTTGAATGGAATGTAAAATAAATCCCAAGAAGAATAATTAAAGTTTTTAGAAGCAATAACTCAATAGGTGAAGAACTTTTAGATGATTACCTTATAAATAAAATTGGAGATGAGTCATTTAAATGTCAGAACTGTGGCTCCCTTAGAGAAGTTATTAAGTAGAGCATTAAATTTAAAAGAATTATCATTACAGTTATGGAAGTATAGAGATATGTTTAAAATAAAGTAATAAATTAGGAAATTTGGGATTATTGATGTTATCAAAATAGATTATGAAGATGGTCGATTTAAAAAAGTTGACATTAGAAGTATCAAACAATATGCTATCAGATTAAGGAATTAATAATTCTTTAACTCTTTTAGAAGGTTTGAAATAAATGGAAGAACTTCGTTTAGATTTTGGATTGTAATTATATACATATCTATATTAATTAATATAGAAACCATCTACCTATGGAATGTAGTGAAATATTTTTTACAGTAATTTGTGGAATGCCAAAATTAAAGAAATTAGATCTTAATTTAGAGAGCAATTACATGAATTAAGTATTATCTAAAATGGTTAATTAATCACTTAAGAAATTACCTAATTTGAATCATTTGACTATCAATTTTTCAAAGTATGAAATTTCTTATTATATGATAGTAATCCTATGCATAATGAAGGATTGTATGAGTTAGGAGAAAGTATATCTGAGTTAGAGTATTGTGAATTAATTTTATGGGGTTGTTAAATAAAAGATATGGGAATGGAAGAATTTGCAAAAGGATTATAAAAATGTGAAAAATTGAAATAATTGAATTTAACTTTATGGAATAATTAAATAACTAAAAAAGGTTGTGAAGCTTTAGGGCATGCATTATTAAAATTACCGAAATTGAATATTTTAATAATTGATCTATCAAAGAATAAGATTGAAGATGATGGGGTAAGATTTTTAGCTAAATCAATACATGAAATGTAGTAACAAATAAGAGAATTGAAATTATGGATTGAAAAGTATGATATGATAAATTATAAGAAAAGTGTATTTTGTTCATCTTATGGATTGAGATATGTAAATAGATTACTTACTACTCAAAAGAAATTGAGAAGTATAAATTTGAATTTAAGATCAAATCAAATAGAATTAAATGGTATGGAATTATTGTATAATTGTTTTGGAGAGGCAGTATAATTGGAAGAAATTAAATTGATTTTAGATCAGTACTTTTAAATAAATATATAATTTTTAGTAATCCATTAACTGATTAAGGAGTGGATACTTTGTTTAAGGGACTATAAAATTTGAGAAAACTTTAAAAGTTAATTATAAGTTTAGAAAATGTATAAGCAACTGGAGGTCCAATTTCTGTTATGTTACAATCTATTAAATTATGGCCTGAGTTAAAAGATATGCATGTTAATTTTCTTAAGTAATATATATATATTTTCATTTTATTCTAGAAATCAAACTGATTATGCTGATGAAATGAATTTGAAGAATCGATTATTGGAAGTTTAATCACAAGCAAAAGTTAATATTGAATTAAAGTTTATTAATAAATAATGATTATATTTAGTTTTAATAATCAAAAATTATTGTATTCGACTCAAAATAGAATTTTGCAGTTCAAATTTGAAAATGTAGAGCAGTAGAATATGAATACAGAACAAATAATTCAATATTTGAGGGATAGATGTTAGAATATGAGAAGGAGAAGATAGAAATAAATAAATGCAGTATTAAGAGAGTTTGATAAATATAAATATAATGATTCTTATTAATGATGATAATTTAATAAAATATTTGAATTCTTTTGGTTATTAATTAATTATAAATAAAAGATTTAAAAAAAAGAAGATTAGCAATAATGGTTTTAAAAATATTTAAGTTTTTATTAGTCAAGAACAGGACCAAAGAATTAAGTAGTATTTGATGGAGAGAAGAAGAATTCAATTAGAACTTATAATGGTAATAAGTTTTAATTAAAACAATAGATAATTAGAATAACAGACAAGGATTCAAAATAGGATGGGATATTGATTAAACAAGAAAAGAAGATTTGAAAATAGCAGGCAAAGTTGGTCAAGATTAAAGAAACAGTGCTAATGCGTATTAAGGAAATGCTTATTAGGCTGAAGTATTAAATAATAATAACAGTAAAAATAAGATGATGATTATCTGAAATAAATGTACTACTAAGAGATGAACAGAAAATAAGAATAAGTTGGAGTTTAATACAAATAAGGAGAACATTATTATTAAGACTCACTTGATTAATATAATGGAAAAGCAAATGGAAATTATAGTAATAATAATAATCAAGAGAATAATTATCATGATTATGAACATTAGCAACCATCTCTATTGTAATAATCAAATAAGTATGATCATTATCAATAACCAAATGATGATGAAGCACTCTATTAAAAGGTATAACAGTTATATTGATTATCTAGTATAAATAGGGAAATAATGGTAATAAATAATATTCAGCTAAACCACCTATCCAATAATACAACCCAATTACTGGAATTGCATATGGGAATCAAAATAGTTAGAATGCTTACAATGGAGATACTTACAATAATTATTAAGGGGTTACAGCAAATTAAAAAACTAATCCATATGAATAATAATAATAAGATGATGCTCTTAGCTAATTTAGTTAAAGTACAAAACACAATTTTATCATATAGTGTAATAACATAAAGTCACCTCCATGAAAAATAGGAATTCCAATATTTTCAATGCCGATTTACAAGAAACTGAGAATATCAACAATACTCGATAGAATAGTAGAGTTCTTAATAGAAAGAAAGAATTAGATGATGCTTAATACAAAGGTTATGGTATAAGTATGAATTATATTCATAGGACAATTTTACAAGAATCCTATTGAATAGGCTCCAACTCAATATAAGGAACAATAATTTGTCAACAGAAATAAAATTGATAATCACATATTTCCAAAATGATTATTATAAAATATTATATTTTATTAATAATTATTACACGTATATTGCAATTATATAAATTATGTATTCTTGTATTATAATTCAATAATAAAAATAAAATGAGCCAAGAAACTCTAAATGGAATCAACGGAATATTATCTGATGTTTAAAGTTTTGGATAAGAGAGTTATAGATTCATTAGAAAATGCACAAAACCAGATAAAAGAGGTATCCATAGTTTTGAATTTAGAATATATCAAAATAGCAACATCATGTGCTATTGGATTTGCAGTAATGGGAGCTGTAGGATACTTCATCAAATTGGTATTCATTCCAATTAACAATATTATATTGAGTGCAAACTGAAGGGATTTGAATATGTAAATATTAATTTATATTATTAATATTTATTTATTGAACAAATAATAATAAGCTATCACCAACATGATGCTTCTTTTAATTAATCAATGGCTTCATCTACAAAGGAATTAAAGAGCTCTTCATCTTTAAACATATCAATGATTTCATCAATAGAGTAATTTGTTGGATCTGATAAGATTTCACTAATTCTCCTCCAATGTGCTTCTGTGTCAGTATTAAGTTTAGCCTTAATTCTATAATAGAGCATTTGTCTAAAATATTGATTTAAATAAATTACTAAATTTATCTGAGTTAATCTTCTTAAGGTCTAGCTTTAAAGGATTCAAAATTGGCAATCAAATCTAATAAATCTTATCTTTTATTGAAAGGAACTGCTTGAGGAGTTTGTTATTGAGTATCAATTTATTAAACTGGAGGAGGGAGATTAGGTCTAATAGGTTATTGGAATCCTGGTATTTATTATGGAAAAGGTCTTCTACCTCCAGGACCTTACATTCTTTATTAAATTTGATAAGGGAAAGGCATTTTTTAACCAAATGGATTAGGACCTTAAGGCATAGAATACATTCTTCTATTTGGAGATTATCTTTAATTATTTCTTCTTTATCCTCTTTATTAAGATTGTTGAGGAAAGAGATGTTAAAAGTATTTACCACCAGCAGTCTCAACATTTGGATCAAATAATTTTTTTATTTCCTCAAATTTTTCATTTTCTTTAAAATTCTTAACCAATTTATTAGCATCTGAAGATTATTCAAAAACTATATATCCAATTCTGATAATTTATTAAAAACCTTATTACATTTTTTCTAATCTAACCTAAAATTATTAATAGATAATAAAATTACTGTTTAGATATCACCATATCCACATTCCTTGAGAGTAGATCTTATCATTTCTTCAGTAACATTTCTAGAGAGATGATCAGCATAAATATATCTAGCAAATATATTGTTATCTCTTTATTATTTTCTATCTGTTTTAGTTTAAGCCCATCCAACATACATCATTCTACCTGTATTTAATGGATCTTTTTTTTAAGTTGTTCCTAAAGTTCTTTATGCTTCTTTAGCATCTTAATGTCTATTAAAGCTAACAAATGCAAATGGAGCTTTTCTTTCAACATCAATTTTGACTAAGATTGATACAATAGATCCATAAGTACTAAACCATTCATCTAATTTTGCTCTCATTTCTTTTTCCTAAAATAAAATAAATGATAATATTATACTAATGAATCACGAACATCTGCATTTTCCAAATCATAATTATCAAGTGATGGCCAAAAGTTTTTAATGTAAAGGTTATTTCTTTTATCTTCTCTATCTGTTGTACCCTTCTTTACAAATCTCTTAATTATGATCTTTGTTTTTTCATTGTATTAAATTGAACCATCAGTAACTTCTGCTAATAATGCATTAGCTTATTCCTTTTTTTCATATTACACCCATCCATAACCTTAAATTTTATATTTTATTTACCTCGACTCTTCTTATTTTCATCAGTAGACAACTTTACACTGACTACTTGACCCCATTTTAAAAAGAATTCTTCAAGCTGTTTTAATGTGACTGTCAATTCAAATCCTGCAAAGAATAAGTTAGCATCCTTCTCGTAATCTTAGATATATGTTATACGCATTGGCTCTCTTAAGAGTTATTTATAATTCATAGCTTCCTTTGCTTTACGAGCTTCTTCCTATGTTGAAAAATATATAAAAGCATAATGCTTTGATTTTCCTATGAAAGGATATCTATACATAGCTATTAATATTCATACCTATGTAATTTTACAAAGCTAATCTATCCAAACTTTCTGAATTCCACAAATAATTATTCCTCTGTTATACCTTCCTCTAAGTCAGCAACATGAAGCCCATTTTATGTTGGTCTGTTTTAATCCTAATATCCTAAGAACCTTTACACTAATGCTATAACTCAAACACTTTACTTTGTATGGATTTATTAAATAAGATTTAAAAATTCTTTAATTTTTTTATCTAATGCTATTCCCGCTTTGCAGAGATTTTATTTATGCACAACGATAAGGACTCAAATTTCAAAAAGAAATCCCTATTCAAATTTCTAACAATATACTCATTGATTAGGATGCTCATTAATACTAAATTTAAAGTTAACAATCAGACATTCAAGGTATTGTCTCTATTATTTATTTAAGGAATTGCATCTAAATTTGGAATTCAACTTAATGATAAAGATGAAGTCATACTCTACATTAAAGAACTCATAAGTAATGGATAAAATATCAAAACTAATATTGCCATCAATATGAAGCAATAAATTCAAAAATCTAAAGAATTTACTGCTCTTTATAAACAAATTAAAACTAAGATTCATAAGTTCAATCATGTACTATAAAAATCTGGTTAAAAACAATTGTTAACCAAAGAAATTATAGAGTTGCCAGAACAAAAAGAACAAGTTAATACCTAAAATTTAGAATCACTCACTATCAGTAATAATGAAATCAGTTACATTAAGTATCTTGAATCCTTGAGCAATGGAATTAGCAAAAGTATATTACTAAATTGATCTTAGAATATGTTATCGAGTATTTCAAGAAAAAAAAAATTAAAACTGATAAGTTTGTCAATCTAATCTATCCACACCTTCAAATTGAATAAGAACTATTTGAATTTTAATGAATAACAATATTATTTCATCATCTAATTTTTATTCCTTTAATGTTTCTGTTATTCTTCTGATAACTATTTCAAACAATCTCATATTTTTCTATAACCTTCTCTCTCTCAAATTAATTTATTGAAGCACTCCTCCAATATTTCTTATTCAACTTCTTATTCTCTTATCTACCCATCCAAATCTCCTATATAGGACTATCAAAAATTAAATCAGCCATCTTATACTTTTGCTAAAGTTTATCATTACATTCATATTCTCTTCATTATCAACTACCTTAATAATTATACTTCCTAGAAATTGTTCTCAATCTATAATACAAGAATATTATAATATATTTAAATTAAGAACTATTCTATTAAATAGATATAATAAGCTTTAACAATTATTAAATTTTATTCCTAATCATTTTTCTACAACAAATTTATTTTTCTCTAAAAGTTTCTTTGCTAATTTGATCTTTCTGAGAGGATTTTAAATTATAAATTCAAACTAGGTTTAGCTTATTCTGAAATTAATTCAATTTCACAAATAGAATGCAGCATCAAGTCAAAATTTACAAAAAATTTCAAAATCATGAAATGATAATATACTTTGCTCACAACCTTTTGGCTAAAATAGCAATTTGAAATTAAATTTACCCATAAAATAAATAAATTATATAAACATTAAATCTATATTTATTAAAACATTATTTCTAATATCATATAAATTTAAATAACTCCATTGTTGCGTAGTTATCTTTCTAATTGAAAAAAATTATAATATGATTTTAATAAAACATCTAGAATTCAGAATTATTGAATAAAAGTGAATCTTCTATTAAGTAACAAATAAAAAATCTAATTAAACAAGTTGTTTTACACATTTAAATTTGACTAAAAATCCTAAATATTATAAGTTATATTAATGATCTATAAAAATAATTATAAATCAATTTGACATTTTTAAATATAATTAAATTGTATAAAAAAAACCTATTTGAAAATTGTAGCTAGAAACACTTCTATCAAATATTTTTAATTAATCAATTTACATAAATATTTATTTATATTTTCTTCATGTTTTTAATTTCAAAAACATCCTCTTGATCATTCTTGTTTCATAGAAGACGGTATGCTTCTCGTCTATTTATTCTAAAGAATTAATCACCTAAGCTAGAGATAAAATATTTACAGAAGTCTAAAGATTTGATAACTCTAGTGATGCCAGATTTATCATTGTTTTTTGAGTAATTCAAAATTCCAATAACTAGATTTACAATGCAAAGATGATAAACTAACTTATTAGGCTCCTGATATTGAGATTTATATTCCTCTTCCTCTAGTTTTCGCATTAATTCTTGAGCATCTTCAATTTATTTAATAATAATATAGCTGTTAATAACAAAAGATTATCATTATTTTTTTACTATAGAATCATAATATCGAATAGCTTCTCTCTATTTGTTGTCTTAAACAAAAAATTTATATTGCAACATTCTTTTTCCAAAACATCATGATCTGCACAAAATTCTACTGATTATCTAAATAGTATTTCAACTTATTAATAATTATCTTTATCCCAATAGATTTTAGCTTAAACTATCAAAAAACTGGAATATTTTTTTCAAGTCATTTGTCAAATTCTTTCTATGATTTCTTAATACCTTCATTATCTCTATTCTTTATTAATGCTTCATTCATCTAAGAAACTGGATTAAGTTCATCTTCCTCTCTTTAAGGTATATATTAATTAAAGCTTCTTGAGCAGCAACATAATTTTTAATTTAATATTCTATTGCAGCTTATAAATTAAAGCTAATTCTTTTAATGCTTATAAATTTTCTACGCTTTTTACTTCAATTCCTTTAGCATTTGAGCCTACACATAATTAAGTATTTTTTCTAACTCTTCTTCTAATAATTATAGCAATGAATTTTAATAACTAAGCTAATTATTTTTATTTATAATAAGAAATTACAATATTGTAGGTTGCCTTTTTATTCGAATTCAATATAAATATATTAATTTTAATAGTAATCTTCTTCAGACATCCTATTTTTTCTTAAATTAAGTATTTAGTATTAAAAAAAGTTAGCTTCATTAAGGAATTAAAATAATAGTATTAATTAATAATACATATCTCAGATTGATTGCAATTTTTGATATTTCACCTTTAAAATTAATTTTTTTCTCAATCAGATTAAACAATCAAAATTAGAAAATGCATAGAAAATTAAATACTATTCCTCATCTGAACTTCATTCCTCATTAATCTGATAATTCTAGTCTATAAGCAAGTGGTATTTAAAGTGAAATAACGTCTCCAAACTATTTATTAGAAACTCCAATTTTAACTAATAAGCAAAAATTAAGAAAAAGCTCACATAATCTTCCAATTGTGTAACAATCCTCTCCATATATTAAACTTCCCATGATTGAAGAGAAGTTTCTTACGCCAAGATAACAGTAAATTAATTTAATGCCTGATCTAACATTCAAAGATTTATTCAAGAATCCAATTTATTATGAAAAAAATGGTTTAAGTCCTAAAGGGAGTGAAGAAATACTTAAAAAAATGAAAATGAAACATAGAAGAGTTGATTTCTCAAAGATGGTTGACATTGTAGATGAAACAACCAATTCTATAAGAAAAGAATCATTGAATGATCACATTCAACATCATAGAGTTAGTAGAAAAAATACACGGAGATTTCATTAAAGTATTCCTACATAACTTACAGAATTTGAATGATTTATATTATCATATCTCAATTAATTTTATTAAAGAGAAATGTAGTAATATCTCAAACCAACAATGTCATTGTATTTACAATTGTAAAAAGATGAAATCAAATTAAATACAAATATACAAGACATTAAGTTAGATCCAGCTAATTTTTTAAACAACTTTGATGCATTACCTGATTAAAATTTAAGGTTTAAATCTAAAAGCATGTTTCTTTAATCTAAGCAAACGGATTAAAAAAAAGAAATGCAAAAAACCAAACATACAAAATTTTTAGTGCTCCCAAAAATTGATTCCAAGTTTATGCTTGATCCTGCTAATGAGAGAGTGTACTTCCTACCTGAAACGAAATAAAAGTACGAATATACAAATAGATTAATCAACTCTAATATAATTCTCTAACCTTTATTTGATGGACCTAGTAAATCCTCTAAAGATCATAATTAACTCTAGGCCAAAAAAAAAAAAGTTAAATTCAATATTGCCTTAGAAATAGTAGACTTGGAAGGAAGAGTTAGTACTGAAATTATAAACCCTGAATAAAAAATCATCACTAGATAGAAAAGATTTTCAAGACTTAAAACACTTGAATGTTGAAATTAACATTTATTTAGTGTTACTTTTGTTTTCATCATTTATTTTTCTTTTTTGATTAATCACCCAAAATCTTTATCGCAATATTTCATGATGATCAAAATTTATTTTAATAAACTTTTTCAATTAATTTTATATATAGATGGATGAAGAATATAGAATTCTAAATATTAATTAGAATGGCTATAAAATTTTATTAATCAATTTAATATAACTTATTTTCAATAATTTTTATTTTTAGAAAAACAAATATTATTAATGAATCATTGACTCTTTAAAGCTAGTATTATATTAAAACAAAAAATAGATTTCTATAAAATTTTCAAGAAAATTTAATGGTCAATATAGGATGATTGTGTACTTAAAAATACCCACCCTATTTATTTCCAAAATTAAAAATTATTTTTTTATTTTTTATTTGAATATATAAAAGTTACTATGAGAAATTATTGTAATTAACTAATTTTTAAATTTTATACTTTATGAGCGAAAATTTTTAAATTATTAATATAATTAGATATCAAAACTTGATTTAAGATGTTAATTAAATTTTGTTTTTGATTAACAATAAATGTGATAATTTAAAAAAACTCTATACTTAACTTGCTTTATAGAGAAAGACAAGAATTTTAATATTTTGATTTTTTGCTTATTTTTATTAATATTAATAAATTTAATAAATAATTAAACATTTAAACCATTTAAAAAAAGTTTGCAAATTAGTAGAGTAAGAATTAATTAATCAGATTATGGTTTATTAGAATCTAAAGTTGAAAATATATATATATAAGAGTTTTAAGCTAGAATAAATAAGATTGTGTGAGAATGATATCAAAGATTAAGGAGAGCTAATAATTTTGAGTACATATGAATTAAGTATAATTGATTTGGTATTTAACAAAACAGAGTGGATTATTATTTACTATTTGAAATACATAATAATATTAGATAGAAAGATGGTGTAGTTTATTAGGTTGATTCTTATAGTTATTACTAGAAGTAACTTGAATATTTATGATATATAATAGCAGTGACAAATATAAATTTTGAATAAATCTTATATATAACAATTTTTCAAGATTTAACTGCGTTCTTTTTAGCTTGTGATGATAAATTAACTCCATCAGATTCATTAATAAGAGATTTAACTCTGACTTTCATGATACTAAATTAAGGTCCAAAGAGACCTAAGAATATTGGTAGTAAAACTAAACCCTAAAGTATTTGTAAATAAAAGTTACATTAAATGCTCCTAGGAGAACCATGAGAATATACATTCTGAAATAGTAAAGTTTGAAGAGATTTGATGGAGCAAATCCAAGGACTGCAACTCCAATAAATTTAGTACAAGCAATTCCTACAAAGACAGAAGTTCCCATAGTTGACATAGCTCCTGTAACTCTATCCCATCGGCTACCTTAGCATAATCTAAATTTGATAACAATATGAGCAACAAATTCAACAGCTAATCCTATACATGTAACTAAATTAACAACACTTACAGCATTGATTTCAATCTAAATAGGAATGAATTTTTACAACGAAACCTCCAAATATAACATTAGTAAGCCAAATAGTACCAATAAGGTTGAAAGCAATTAAAAAGACAAAGAGTACTACAATAATTGCACAGACAATATCTTAGACTAATGTCATAGTAAAGAATATAGTAGCTAATGCTAAAAGTACATTTGTAATGGCTACAGCACGAATGTATGAATATTGATCATAAAAAACATAAGGCATGGAATATGGATAAACTTTTTGATTTGTTTTAAGATTTGCATCCTAAACTACTTTATCAATAACTTATCTTGTTTATTCTAATGATAAAATATATCCTGCAGAATTATGAATAGGTCTATGTTAGAATCGTAATCGACTTGTTTTAACAAATCCTTCTTCATTAAGTACAATATCAGCTTCAAATGTTTCACCACAAATACCATATCTTTAACAACATGGAGAGTTAATTCTTACTCCTAAAAATCTTTTTAATTAAGTTGGCAAATCATATAATGCAATATCTTATGTTTCACAAGCAATAGTCCATTCAGCTGATTCACGAATAAATAAATTAAAAGAAGCTACCCAACTATATATTGGAGGTTAAACTGTTTCATTTAATTATGACAAAGAATTTGATAAATTTGCTACTAATTCTAAATCATGTGGATCTTAATAATCTAAATTCTCTAAAATTAAATATGCCAATGGTCCTATTTCTATATATTTCTTTTCCAAAGTCATATAATTAAATAGATTCGATCCTTCAACCATTGATACTTATTCATCCAATCCAACTTCTAATTTTGTTACTCCAACAAAACTTATAGCCAACAATGCTACAAATATTACTATCGTAGTTATCACACAAATTGGTTTCTATATAAATGGTGAATATTGTTTTTTAAAAAATGTTTGAATTAATTTTCTATCTTCTTTTATTGCATAATTAGGATCCTATTTACAAATTACTAAATCATATCTTTTATGTTTTTTTCTCTATTCATCTAAAGTTAGAAAAGCAACAAACATACTGATTTATAACAAATAATCAATAAATACACCTACTGCTGCTTAAATACAAAAAGATTATAAAGCTGGCATCTTTGTTAAAGAACCAACTAAAAATGCCAAAGTTTCACAAATTGCTGCAATTGTTATACTTGGACCTACTTATTTCAAAGTATGACCCATTCTCTCAGTCACTGTAGGATGTTTCTATTTTTTGAAATTGTGAGTAATGATGAACATATTATCAACTCCAATAGCCAAAATCAGGAATGGAATAACCTTTACAATATAATCAATAATTACCTCTAAACTAATCATTGTCAAACCTATATTGAAATATGATACCATTCCAATACTACTTATCATTGAGACAGCTACAATAAAGATTCCTCCCAAACCCAAAGTAAATCCATTATATATCTTACTTGGAAATTGACCAATAGCAAATCCAATATATAAAAACATCATAAAATATGAGACAACTACAATCCATGCATTTTAATTAGTTTCATCATCAATTTCATCTGAAACAGATCTCTCTGCCATAAATGCTACTCTATATTAATCTAATAGTTATTCTCGAGGAGCAGGCATTAAAGATTTATCATAATACTTGTATAATTTAGCATAATCTCTTTTATTCAATGCATCTAAAGTATCCATCCATACTTCCTTCTCCCATAATTCAGCATCTTTCTTAGTAAATTCATCATTCATTAATAGATATGTTACTGCCATAGTCTTAGCTTAAATATAACAATGATCACATGGCTATGTATCATTAATTCTTTCCTCACAAAATCTAAATTGTTTTATACAGAATTTTCTTACATTCCACCAAATACTGATTCTAAAATTATTGGGATACCATTTTTATCACTACATGGGATATTTGTTTAATTTACATCTATAGACTCTGTACAAAGTGTTGTAAATTAAATGTCTTCATCTTTCTATCATTGATATTATAATTATTAAACTTCTAATAATGATGGATCCTACAACCAAATATCCATTGGACTTGGTACATAACATCCTTTTGCAGATATTGGTCTATAACATAAATCATCTAAAGTTGTATTCTTCCCTCCTATCAATACTTTTCTATTTCTAATTATATTCTATAAAAAGTAGATCACTTTTAATCCATCCTTTTAATATACATTCACCCAATCCTCATTTTAGTATGCCAGTATAAATTAATTGGTTCTATAAAAAGGACCATAATTTTCTGCAGAACTCTCTTACTCTTTATAGGTTCGACTACTTGATGATACCCATAATGCTAAAAAAATATTATTAACTATTTTTACACTAAGGATCTGTTAACACTGTAAGATTGTATAATCCCAAAGACATTATGCCTGTGATTGTCATGCAAATTACAAACACAAGACATGGATACTTTGCTCCAAAATACCCTATATTATAGAAGAGGCCAGACATTAAATCTTATTAAAATAATATTATTGTAATAATTCATAAATTCCAATATTTAAATTCATATTAATATCAGTGTTGCATTAACTCATAATCTTTTTTTATGTCATCAAACTTACATCTTCCATTAAATTTTCAAGTATATTCTCATTTCTGTTATAATTCATATTGATACAAAATATATTCTGTTTTCTTGCATTCAATTCTTTTAGCTGAATTATAAAAATTATTTAAAGTTATGAAATATGAAGACAAATTGTTATTAATTAAATTGATGATCTGTAAAATAAAGAAATGTCTTTTTGATTTGCATTATTTTCTTTACTTAACTGAATCTTAAATACAAATAGGGAAAGTATAAGAAATCATTCTTATCTTTAGGATTAGAATAATATTAAGTATAACATAACAATAGGTCTATCCACAATCTTGGAATGGAAATTTGATTAACATAATGAATTCAAAGGATTCACAGTTGAAATTGCTAAGAAAGAGAAATGTTTTCTGATTTCACATTTAGATTGTCTATTATTAAAGGGAAAGCTTGATGGTAAAGTAATATACAAGAATATTAATACGTTTTATAAACCTTAGACAATTATTGGAGAAGGTAATTTTGGAAAGGTAAGCTTAATAGACTTATTGTTAGGTTTTGCTTATTAAAAATATTGAAGATGGATTAATGTATGCAACGAAGACTCTAAGAAATGATTTGATGACTTCTGTAGATGTATTTAATTTTACATAATGAAAAATAGGACATACAAGATGAAATTGTTGCCTTGTAAGCCTTAAAACATAGAAATATCGTTTAATTAAAGAGTATATTTTAACATAAGAAGTTTTGGTTATTAATAATGGAATATTGTGAAGGAGGTTAATTAAAAGAATATTTGGAAAATCAATTATTGGATAATTCTTAAATTATAGCAGTAATGTGTGTAAAACTATGATAATAATTAAGTAACTACTGTCAGGCTTAACTTACATACATAGTTAAGGATTTGTGCATAGAGACATCAAGCCTGAAAACATTTTATTAAGAAAGAAAAATTGTTTATTAGACATTGTCATTTCAGATTTTGGATTTGCAGTTAAGATTGATGATGTATCTATAAATAGACCTAAATGTGGCACACCTGGTTATATAGCTCCAGAGATCATTACCTTTAATGACAAAAACAATTATAATGAATTATGTGATATGTTCAGTTGTGGAGTAGTATTATTTAAATTGTAATCAAAATATCTAATCTTTAGAATAACTGGAAAGAATTTAATATAAGAGAATAGCAATCAAAGTATTGACTAATAATTCATAGGAGATTTATGTGAAATTGTTAAGTCACAAATTTAAGGCGATTTTGTTAATATATTATTGTAAATGTTGGAATCAGATCCAAACAAAAGAATAAATGCTTAATAGGCTTTAAAACATTTTTAAGACTTTGACGATATCAAACTCTATCAAGAGACTTCAATATAATAGTTAAAACATCTAACAACCCATTTTTTATTACTTAATTGATACTATATATACTAACTAACATTAAATAAATATTCTAAATCATCTCTTAGACAAAATTAATTAATCATTTTATAAAATTCATTTATTTATTTTTATACACAAAACAACTAATAACAAAATTAATCTTCATCTATCAATTAATTATAATAAAATTATTGATAATACTTATTATATATGTCCGAATTATTATTTTTACATTCTCTAATGTACCAAATCTATCAATTTAAAAAGCTTAAATGCCAAAGAAAGCATATTCGTATTATATTTACTTGCCATTTTTTAAAATACTTAAAATTTTAAGTTAATGGCACCAATTTTAAATTTGGTTTTTTAGCATCATTATATTGTGATTATCTCTTTGTAATAAAATAATTTCAATTTCATAATCTAATCAATAAAAGTTAGAAGATTGAATTCATTAAAATTATTTTTTCTTGTAAAAATCAAATAATATAGAAGTAAAATTTAGACCCAAAAATTAAAGCCATTTGAATAAATGCTTATATTTAAATCTTTTTTGCAATTGATATTAGAAAATTCTCTAAAATTCTAAAATAATAGTATTAATATGTTTTTAGAAATTAGCCTTCTTTTTCTAAACAACATCATCAACAATAATATAATTTGTATTAGTACTTTATAATTCTAAATCTTACAAATTTTAATTTAAATCTTCAATAGCTTTAAGATCAAAAAATTAGAAAATACTTCTCCTTTAAAATCTTAATTTCTTCCAAAAATAATATTTTTGATGCAGAATTCTATTTATATTTAAGAATTACATTCTTAAACACATGAAAAGAATTTTTAGGAGGTCTATACACAAATAATTAAATATTTTAATAATTCCTTATACAAATATATTTCTATTAGAATTAAATGGTGCTTCTTTTAATATGCTAGCAATATGACACTCTGTAAAATAAAATTAATTTTTAGAAAATTCAACAAAAAAACATCTCTCAAAACCTTTTCTTAAATAGTATTGTAAATTATTTTATTAGTCAATTAATGAATAATTAAATGAAGTAAACTATATTTGAATTAATGATATAGAGAACATAATTTTTATCTCTAAGTAATAGGATACCTTGACTTAAAAATTACAGGTGATAAAGTTTGTAATACTTATCCAAATTATCAGTCATTTTTTTTTTAATTTAATATTCAATGTTGATAACTTCATTATTGTTTATGCATCTAACATATTCAATAAACATAAAAGACATATATCATACAAATATTGATAACTATTATATTCATGAAAATCAATTAAGTACAATTTTGGCAATTCCTAATGCTAGAAAAATATCGATAACTCAATTGTAGGAATAATCAATATGCAATGCTAAATAAAGAACGTTAGGATTTCATACTAAATTGTATCAATAATTTGAAGAAATCGAGTACTTGGTTGCATTAGTTTAACTTACCCCAAGTTCTTATTTATTATATTCTTCAAATAATACTTTGATTTTTAAGGACAGTAATACAACACAGCATCACTAATTTTAGATGGATATAAATGAATAAATTTCAATGATAAAATTAGATTCAGATGTACTGCTTGTATCAAATAATGAAGCATTCCTTTTTGAATTGGAATCTTTAGCTAGTGGATCAGCAATTTATAGAGAAGTGAAAGATTGGTAAAAAAGAGTTTATCGAAGATTGACAAAGCTAATTAAGATAGTAGACAAACAGTTTTTATTATCTGCCATCGGAAAAGATGGATTAGAACTTTATAGTGTAGAAGGTAGAAACATAATATTCATTAAATAAATCTAAGCGTACAAAGACATAGTTGATTTTGCAGAAGTGAATAACAATGTATTTATACTAGATTCTGAATAAGGACTTATTTTGTGTAATGTTGAACCCACTAATCTTACTACTTAAATAATGAAAATTGATAACATGTAAGGAGGTATAGCTGTTGATTCCTATAATGGAATTAATGTTTTTGTAGCTTATAAGTGGGTTCGATATGCAGTTGTTGAGTATGTAATAAATTAAACATCTAAATTATGGTACAAACATAACATGATTTATACAAAAAAGATCTATGATGTAGATGCACTTGCTGATTTTGCAATCATTTAAGGATAGTATCATCATATTGTTTTATTTAATTATCATTTATCTGATGAGATAACATATTTTAAACATTATCACTTATCAGATTTTCAAGTCTTTTATCATTAGGATTCAGTTTATTTTAGTGGTATTACATCAAAATCCTATGTATTTTCAGAACTATATGTATTACCTGCCTAAATTACATGCTTTTCCAATTAAACAAAATCTCGTTTCTATTATACTTTATCATATATTTAATAGACGACGAAAAGTAAATACGAAAGACATTACTAATAAATTTCTGTTAATGTTGTTGAAACTTATTTTTATTAAGATTCATTATTCATAATAATCATAGGAAGTTCTTTGATTATGATTCTATTTATTTTACTTTTAGTTATTTTAATCAAAAGGAATAAATCTATGCAAATAACATTTTTAGAATTAGAAAATACAATTTCAACCAAATTAAAATAAGATATACTTAAAAAAGAAGAGGATCCTCCTTAAATAATTTAGTCAAATTTAATGAGTGTTAGAGAATGTAAGGATATTGAACATTTGAATATTTAATAATGAATTAATTTTATGAACTTTTTATTTATTTTTTTGATCATCTATTTAATAGGTTCCTCAATAGAATTCACTATCACTGAAATCGAAGAGCCTTTTATTTAAATAAAAATACATCCAAATGAACATAAAACAATAAATTTAGATTATGCTAGAGATGCAATTCTATAATCATATAATAATAGTAGAGGTTGTGAAATCACTCCAATGCAAGTGTAATTTGAAACTCAAGAATTCAGAATCATTTAGACTTAAGATTTTTCAGATCAAGACTTTGAATAAGACACAGTTCTCAACTTTCGTTAATTTGTGTCTATGGTTCATATAAAAGATGGAATGTTAGCAATTACTTCTGATTCTATTGCATATCTCCTTAAATTTAATTATAAAACTGTTTTTGAACATGATTTTCAAGAAACAGGCTAATAATTTGCTCGAATTTTATGGAAAGCAGATCTTCAAACTATTGCCCCATCCTTAATATCTAAAAATGAATTACCATAATTATTATTTTCTCCATCCTCTAATTTAGCATTCTTGTTATTTAGTGATAGTGCTCAATTGTTTAGTATGGCTTAAATGGAATCATAAACAACATAACTCGATGTTTATTAAGTTACTGATTGGAGAAAGAGAACATATAGAGGATTAACTAAAGAAATAGATGGTTTAGTATTTAGTGCTGTAGGAAAAGATGGATTAGATGTTTATAAAGTTGTTCAAAAAGATTTAAGGTATATCAAAAATCTCAGATTTAAAGATTTTGGTTTGAATTCTTCTATTGAAATTGTTGATTTTGCTGTCATTAAACATGGATAAAATGAAGGAAATTATTCAATGTTTTTATTGGATAGAGAATGTGGATTATTTTTAATAGATATTCAAAAAGATTAATATATTAATTTTAGTCTGAGATCATGGATTAATTATTAATCTGGTGGAATATCAGTTGATACTAGAAATGGTATAAATGTATTTATGGCTTATTAATCATTGAATCATCATTATGTACTTGAATACAATGTAGATATAGTAAATGGAAATTGGTTTTTAATTAGAAAAAAGAAAATAGACCATCGAATAATTGATTTAGATGCAACAGAAGATTTTGTTATTGTCTAAGGGGTTAATTAACATCTAATTTTATATTCAAATGGATATGATTTTGTAATGTATCATCATAAAGATCAAGTGTTTAAACATTTAGGTTTGCGAGATTTTGAGTTTTTTAATCAATCTTATAAGTTGGAAGATATAGATGATATTGCAGAAGAATATCAATATGATGATTTCTTTTTTGGAATCACTGCTTAGAGTGCATTCCTAACTAGATTTTAGGTTGAACCTATAAAGTTGAAGTGTTTCTATCATTAAAATGAAAGTAAGGTAATTTAATAATTATAAAGTTAATCAATAATACACATACTTTCTATAATATAATACAACAGTAGATGGTATTTAAGATTTGGTAATAAGACATACATAGAAAGTGATTGTAGAGATAGTTAAAACTTATTTATATGAGGGAGAGTTTTATTTTTTATGTGTTGTTGGTTTTTTCTTGGGATTAGTATTGTTAATGGGATTAGGATATGTAGTTTATTGGTTTTAAAATAATAAAAAAGAATATTAGATTTTGATAGAATAAATTGAGAAAACTTCTAGAGAAAAAGCAGTTAAATAAATAAATGGTTCAACTTAAAAGGGAGACGAGACATCAGTATTTTAATAATAAAATGTTGCACCCTGATAAAATTCAAAAACTATATAACTCATTTAATTTAAAATTTAGTTAGGCCGAATAATCTGTAGTTTATTTTTTTTCATGTATTAATGAGAAATCTATATTTGCATTTCCATTAATAATTTTACCTCTAGTTAAACACATTTCCATCATATAATCTAATAAACTTAGGACATCATTTTCTTTAGTAATTAATAAGACTTGTTTGGTGATACTAATTACTCTTTCCTTAATTATTTTTTCAAGTTAATTCATTTAGTTTTCATTTAAATCTACTCCTTCAATAAACTATTAAAATTCACTCAAAAGTCTAAGATTACATAAGAGTCCAATGCGATCAAAATATTACATAGTATTATTAAATAATTCTAGGGCTAATTAACTTTCTGTTTATAATTGACCAATAAATCTAATGTATTCTGAAGTTTTTTTATATTATTCAAGCAAAACAAATATATTGGATTGTAATCCTTTAAATGAGTTTGCTATGAATTTGGATGATAATAAACAAAGTAATTCAAATTACATTTCCTTTTTATAGTATTGAGAAATAGTTGTTATATGTTAAGTCATTTCCACATTAGCAAAATGAGAAAAATTGTATTACATCCTTAATAAATTATAGGAATTTAATTGACTCTGAAACTTTTAAAAAGTGGCATCACTCTAAAATAAAGGCTATTAATGTTATTGCTATTATGGTTATTCTAGTAGTATATAACTACCATTCATATTTGAATTAAATTAAATAATTTCTATATTATTCTTTTGTAATTCAAACATGGAGAATAATTCTGTCCATTCCATTCTTTTACTTTCTTCCTTCTCTAAAGCTCTACTTAAAAAGTTTCTTCCAAAATCTGAAAGCTAAGTACCAACAGGAAATCTCAAAGCCTACTTCATCACATTCTATGTTAAACTCTTTTCATCTACACCTGTCCATGGAGCCATACCATAGATCATTTCATAATAAATTATTCCTAATGACCATATATCAGATTTTGTTGTATATTTCTCTCTTTTCAATATTTATGGTGACATGTACAATGGCGAACCAACACAAGTTTTTAACAAGTCTCCACTAAAATTATCTACTATTTTCGCAAATCCAAAATCTGCTATCTTTACTACTCCTCTATGATTCATAATATTTGCTGGTTTCAAATCTCGATGAATGATATTTGCTTTTACCAATTCTTTAAATCCACTAGCTAATTAAGAGAAAATCTAATTAACTTCTGATTCTGGAATACGTCTCCCCTTCATAATATTTCTTAAATCTCCATCGGCACAATACTCTGTAACTATATAGATTGAACGATCAGTATTAAATTTATCTATAAACTTCACAATATTTGGATGATCAAGTTATTTCATTATTTGGATCTCAAAGTCTAAAACATTTTCATTCTACATAGATACTTAATGCATCAACTAAATATTGATCTTTATTAATCATTGAGCTATCAATTTTTTTAATAGCTACTTCCTAGTTTGTTGTCAATTTACTTCCTCTGTAAACCTTCCCAAAAGCACCCTCTCCCAATAGATATTTTGTATCAAATTGATAATCTCCTAATCTTCTTACACTTTATTCCATTTACTACAACATAGTCAATTATAAATTTATATAATAATTCTATAATATATACAATCATTTCATAATTTCCTCTCCTCATTACTATTAGTATTCAATCACTTATGTTCTGTTCATATATTCAACCTAACAACTTATTCTTTCACTAACTCTTTAATTTTCGTATTATTTCTCTACTCCAACAATTTAAAATCTTTATACATTTTTCATCCCCCAAATTTCTTTCTATTCTTAATTTTTTGAAATCTAATCAACTACCTTTACTTTTTAATAAATTCATTCTAGCTTTAAAACATCTTTATTATTCTAATTAAGTTAATTTCTATTTTCTCATTTAATAAATTAATTGAAATCGAAAATATTTAATATATAGATAACATTCAAAGAAATAATAAAAGATCATTATAAATCAATATATTTTAAGCTACTCGCATTTAATTCATTTAGTTAAAAGGGTGTAAATACTTATTAATTTAAATTGAACACAATTTTTTATTACTCTATTTACTCACTTGAGATAATTAATTTTATGAAATCCGATATTTATTTTAATGTTCTCTTTACTTTTTCTATTTCAAAATTTCCTGAAATTTTAAGCCATTTCTAACAATCTTCCTCATTAGTTAAATTTATTGAAAGATATGTCCCTTTTGAATTTTCAGCAATAATCAGCATTATAAGCAAGAAAATGTTTGAAATCGTATTCAAATTGCTGTTTCCAAAAGCAAAAGCTTTAATTGATAAATGAGAATATAAATTTTGTAAAATTTGGGCTAAATTATAAATGTTGATCTCACTTTCCCTTAACTTTGAAAGTTTGAGATCTTCATACAATTGTAAAATTAATAGTTTTCTTTCTATTAGACGACATTTAAATGAAGATAACCTATCAACATGACTTAAAATTTTAAGAAGAAGTTTAATAAAATTCCTATGTCGTTATTCATAGATAGTTGTATCTGGTTTTTTTTCATTTAAGAAATCTCTCATAAGAAGTAATATTGTTGGTTTATTTCCATAATAAATTGAACATTCAATTCTAATTAATTTTTTTAAATATTCCACAACTAAAGTCTTGTTAAAAACAGATGCTCTATCAACTCGATATTTCTTTATTTACAGAAACAAGAAATTTTCTAATTTTGTTCCCTTGTAAATTGAATCTCTTATAAATGTTGATCCATTAAATTATCTATTAAAAAATTTATGACATTATGCTTCTGATTTAAGTGTAAATTGCATAGTATCTTCGATAAAAGACAAAACTATGTAAGGTTGCTTGAAGGCAATGGAATTTAAGATTTTTTCCCAATGAGAATCATTTAATGCTAATAAGTATTAATTACGCATAGCTTTATGATAATGATACAAGTAACGAATAGTGTAGAGTATTACAAGCATTGAACTAATGATTGTAGAATATAACATAAGATTGGTTTAAACTTAAAGTAAAACAATTCTCATAATTCCAATAGTGATGACTGAGATAGTTGCATCTAGAAATTCACCTGAGATAAACATTAAAAAGTTTGCACCCATTACATTAGCACCTTTAAGATAACTAGTGTAAGTATCATCTTATTCAGATATTTAGAGGCTAAAAACTAGTGCTATCATATGGTTTAATAGGATTAACGAAGCTCTTATAAATTTAGTGTGTTTTTTAACAACTCCATATTAAATTATTAAGTAGCTTAGGAATATGCAGTATTTGTAAATACTCTGATATTACTCTACTAAAATATTTTCAATAATTTTAGTTAACACAACAGTGAGAAGTCCCAATGTCATAATATTTAGAGTGAACATTCTAAAATTTTGTTGAATTACATTTTGATAGCTAGATTCAATGTCTTTATCTTTGAAATTTAATGAATATTTATTCATGATTGGATCAATTATAATATATGTGAATGTATATAAAATTATTTTAATAAAGTAATTAAAATTGAAAATATAAAACAAAACATTATTGCTCATCTAAGTAATTCCATCATACGAACAAATTGATCCAAGTTTAACTAATTAAAATAGATAATAAATACTTACTTTTTTTTCTGGTGCTAATTCATTAAATTACTCTTCCAATTCTTCATTGATTACATTAAGATATTTAGTAATATTATTGGCTCGAATTTCTGATTTATTGTTACTTAATAGATTAAATACTGCTTCAAGATTAGTATTGGTTAGTAATTAATCTCGAGGAGCAGCTAACGATAAAAATGTAAATTAAGCCATCTACTCTTCCTTTAATGAATGACTAACAAATATTTAATCAACTTTATTCTCTAAATCTTTCAATTTTGTATACTTTTCAAACATCTTAATTAATTCATCTTTTTTTAGAATTGTATCCATATCTTCATCAAATTCACTAAATAATTTTTATAATTGCAAAGCAGTTTCTTACTCAAATTCTTATATCATTATTTCAAGTATTGCTTACTATAAGAGACAACTATCTTTTTAATTCAATATATTAATCAATAATCTCTCTTGTAAAGGGACTTCTTGATACTTTTTATCAATTATCCATTTACTTTCTTTTTATTCCTCTAATGTTTTCCTTTTCTTTGGATTCTTTTCTTCAACTACAGCTATCAAAAAACTCTAAAATTCTTTTGAAAACTTCTTAATATCTGATTCCACATTAAAAGTAGTATGTAATATTAATTATTTACAAGAAGGAACATCATGAATAAATTTGGGAGGAAATTTAAAAGGAAGACTTCCCTTTCCCAAAGTATAGAGAATCATCATAACAGCCCAAAAATCCCTTTCTGATTTAAATTCTTCATGATATAACAATTCTGGTGGTGTGTAATAAACAACTTCTAAGTCATCCAATTTTTTTGTTGAAATCGATTTTATATCAACAAGCTTTATGAATACCTAACCTGATAAAAAGTAATATTCCCAACTATTTATTGTTAAATTTCCATGAACCAATTATAAAGTTTTTAAATAGCTTAATACCTGAAACATTTGTTCAGCAATATTTGCTAAAATCAATTCAGTAAGATCCTCTGAATTTTATAATCGAGATAACTTCCAACCATCATAATATTCTAAAATCAATTGGTATGAATTATTATCCTAATGAACTTCTAAATTCTTTAAGATATGTTTATGATCCTATAATAAAAATGATTTCTTACTAATTGATTTGATTTTAACCAATAAATATATTTGATACTATCCTATTCTTCTTTCGATATCAATTCTAATCGAGCCTTCTTTCCATTCTTATTTCCTTAAATGAATGACAATTCTGGCTAAAAATCATACTATACTCTATACATTTCTCTAGGATTCCTTGTTATGCAAAAATGAATATTTCTTTGAAGCATTAGTACTAAAGAATTAAACTCCAACTTGAATTGAACCTCTCTAAGCAGATGAAGGAGATCCTGGAATATTAAAAGATCTTTATGAACCAGATCTTATATTTCTTGAACTCATTATCTTTTGTGTCTTATCTCCTTGTTTTGTATGACCATGAGACAGTACTGATTTTCTTTTGTCTTCAACACCATTCACAGGTGAATTAATACTCTATTAACTATTCTAATTTGCAGGAGTGTTTTGAACAGAAGGTTCTCTATTTGTTAAATTTTAAACCTAAATCTCATGTTTAGGTTCCTCAAGAGATTTGTTTGGAAGAATGATTTTGAGCTATTGTTTTTATCTTTGATTTTTAGAATTAGAGCTAGATTAAGAAGTACAGATTCCCATATGCAATATTCTTCAAAAAATTGAATATTATTTAGTAATAAGATATCAATTTAAAACTTGTATTTGATAAAATTTATACTTTCCGTATTACCGTAAATCTGCAGTTTTCTTTTTAATTAATTATTATTATTATATATTAATATGAATGTTGTTTCAAGTTATGACCAACTATCAACTCTAATTATAAGTATAACCATATAATCTCTACAATCCAAATAATATAACCAGATTAATCAATCAACAGTATTTAATCTAAAAGAAAGAAGTTTCAAATCCTCAATCATCCTAAGAATATTCATTATTATCAACAGAAAGCATGATTCTATATATTGATACTTGGCTAGAATGAAAAATAATTTATGATTCATTCTGAATGTTCAACAAATAGAGTGATTTATGCAGAATATCAAAATGCATTCCAATTATATAGGAGTATTGATAAAACAATCAATGTTAGTGTTCTATTTGTTCTTGAACATTCAAAATTTTAATAATAAATTTTGGGAAAGACTTATAATTATAAACATTGGTAAAAATTAATTCATAAAATTAATTTGTCAATTAATTATTATTTAATGGTTAAGCGTAGCAAAGGATAGTTCTTTAAAAAGAAAATGAATTCAAAATTCAAAGCATCATAAAAAGGATCAAAGAGTGGAGCATCAACAAATCCAGATAGAAAATTACCTGAGAAATAATTGAATGCTAAACACTAGTTCTTTAGATCGAAATAAACAATTTAAAGATTGAACTTATACAATGAGAAACCAAATAAGTATTGAATGATTAGAATGATTAGGGAGGAAATGTGGAAATAAGCAACATAACCTGCAAGAATAGATCCAAATAGAAAATGGTTTGGAAATATTAGGACAATAGATTAATAATAGCTTGATAAATTAAGATAAGAGATGGCAAATAGAACGCATGATCCAAGGAGTGTATTGATAAAGGCAAAATAATTACCCTTATCATTATTGGTTGAGGCACAGAAAAAAAATAAGAATGTACCATTATTGGAATTAGAAAGTTATGAAGTATAAATAGTAAATAACTAAAGGATACATATGGACCAAAATCAAAGAGAAAGAGAATAAAATTAAATGTTGAGACAATGGAAGGATTAGCAGATTAAGTTGAATAAAAGGAATAGACATATGTTGTAGAAAAGGATGAGAAATTGAATCCAGTTGAGATAGTATAATAGGAGAGTAGAGATAAAAGATTGACAGCAGGATAATCAAAGAGAATTTGGGAAGAATTATATAAGGTTATCGATTCTTCAGATGTTTTGGTTTGTATTCTTGATGCTAGAGATCCTATGGGAACAAGATCATATCATTTAGAGAATCACATAAAGAAGAATTGTCCACACAAACATTTAGTATTATTAATAAATAAATGTGATTTAATACCTACATGGTTAACATCAAGATGGGTTTAATATCTTTCAAAAGAATATCCAACTATAGCTTATCATGCAAATGTTAATAAAGCATTTGGCAAGGGTCCATTCATAAATCTATTGAGATAATTTGATAAATTTCATAGAGATAAGTAGACTATTTCTATAGGCTTTGTGGGATATCCAAATGTTGGAAAGAGTTCTGTTATTAATTCATTAAAAAAAAGAAAGGTTTGTAAAGCTGCTCCAGTTCCAGGAGAAACTAGAGTTTGGCAATATGTTGCATTAACTAAAAGAATATATTTAATTGATTGTCCAGGAGTTGTATATTAAAATGAAGGAAAGAATGATATTGAAGTTGTATTGAAAGGATGTGTTAGAGCAGAAAAATTGGATGATCCTGAGTTTTACATTCCAGCTTTATTATAAAAAGCAAGAGCTCCAGATTTAAAAAGAATTTATGATATCGATGATTGGATAGATGAACATGATTTCCTTAAAAAGGTTGCTATTAAAAAAGGAAAATTAGCAAAGGTTAATTTTATAATTATATTTTTAAGGGTGGTGAGGCTGATACCAAATCAACTGCTAAATTAATTCTTATGGATTGGCAAAGAGGAGAAATTCCATTCTTGACTTACCCTCCTGATTATGTTCAGAAAGATGTTGTTGAAGAAAATATTGATGATGAAGTTCTAGAAAAACAATAAATAGAACTCAATGACTAAAAATTATAAGAAATACTCGTCCAAAATAAATGAATTGTGTTTTTAGTTCTAATTATTTGTTGTATAAAATTATTCACACTTTCAATATTTTATACATTAAATGATTTCATTTGAAAGTGAATACATAAATGTGAAGAAATAGCTATATTAAGCTAAACCTACCAAAAAGTATAATTCTTCTCCTTGAAAAAGTATTAAAAAAAACACTCAATTTGCATTCTAAATAAATTTCATCTCAATCACTCCCTTAGGATTTCTCCTAATTTTCAACTATTAGTTCTCTAAATCTCAAACCCTTGATTTGCAAAAAATGAATCATGCATATACTTTGTTCAAAGAGACCAAATACTTTTATATATTTAAAGATCACTCATACCCTCAACACATTGATAATCTATTTAGATCTAAATTGGAAAAGAACAATCAACTTAGTAACTCTCCAGTTCGATGTTATAAAACTTTAAAATGTTCAATCCTATTGTTAATCTTGTTTGAAATTCAGATAATTTTATAAGTAAGAACTAAATCTTAAATGAATTAGAAATGTATAAATTTATTATATATTCTATTTAATGAAATATAAAAATCATAGACAACATGAGAAAAGAGAGGAACTCATATTTAGTTTCAATAAATTTATAATTTCTTAATTTTAAGTTGCTTTAATAGCTGATCTCAATTCTGAATTACTATATCTATCAGCATTCAAAAGCAATCTTACACATTCTAAATGATGCCATCTTGATGATACTTCTAAAGGACTTTCAGTCAGATCTTAAAAAATACGGCTTCTAATATGAGTATTACATTCAAGAGACAATAAAAATTTGACTACTTCAACATTTCCATTTTTAGTTGCTATATATAGGGCATTTTGACCATATTAATTTAATGAGTTTATTATATGATTTGGATCTTAAGGATTGGTTAAATTACTAGAATGTTATGGATCAATACCGTTTTGGATCTTTTTAGAGAATCTTTATCATATTTTAAATATCCTCATTTGAACCAGACATAGAATATTATGAAAAGAGACATACTAATTTAAATTAATTCAATAGATCCATTAATCTTTGATCCTAAGATTCACTGACAGGATGGATCTATTTATAATTGTTTTTATTATTTAAATGGTTCTGTAAAGATTCAAAATTATCCTAAAATTAATCCTAATTTTATTTGAGTTCATTTTTACTGTGCATATAATAGGTTTGACAATATTTTATTACAATCTCCAAACTCCTAAAAACATATTACCAACAGCTTTAAGTTTATTTTTATAGGATGGAATTGGTAAAACAATCAAATCAGTATTATGAGATTTGTAATTTCTTTCAGACTGTAAACACAATGGTTAATCCATTTTTTTGGGAGTTTCAGAATTTGATTTAATTTCTTTGTTTAAATCAATTAATTCAGAACAATTAACTTTATAATTTAAATGAATTTTATACAATTCTAATTAAATTGTAAGATATTATCAACATTAATTTAGAACTCAGATTCTACTTGCTAAAGATTCAAATATAAATTCTTACCTAATTCTAAATTAAAGGATTAGTAAGATTGTATTCTTATTTAACTCCATTTACTTAACTCTTAGTATTCTATTCATCAATACACACTTTTGGATTACTTAAGCTATAAGTTCTATATTTATCAATGTCAAAACTAAGATTATTCTTAAGAGTGTGACATTATTCTGATAGAGGGAACTTATGCTAATCAGCTTTTAAATGATAACTATTCTCAAAATCAGGATTCATAAAATAATATAATTTATTCATTAATTTTTTTATAGTTATGATGTAATAAATTAACATAATTGAATTCTCATAATTATTAATACTTATTTTAAGATCTTAGTTAAGTATTATAAAGTTCATTGATCCTCAGATTATATTGATTTATCAAGCAATAACATTTTGTCTCCACTCAGTAAACATCTAAAACACATTTGTACTCTTTAAATTTGAATACCATGGAATTTATTGATAAACTTTAAATGCCATTTTTCATCACAATTATAATCCATTCTCAACTTATAAATTGATACATTAACATTCTTCAAGAGATATTTATTTGAATATGGCCAAAGAAATTACCCTCAATACGAATTGAACCTATTTTGTATATTGAAATCCAATGAATAAGATATTTCAATATTTTTGGAACTCTGGTCATTATCTACAATAATTCTCTCAGATAATATCAATAACAGTTATAACTCATTCCATATGCTATGTTTCATATTGAAAAAAAAATTAAATCAATTATAACATAAAAGTATCAAATCATCTAGTGACTTCTTTATCTTTATATAAACTTACATTTAAGATCAAATTCATTATCAAAATCATAGAGAATATTTATATTGGGATAGAGTTTAGAGTGGATAATTTCCATATTATAAAAGTATCGATAGATAATTATTGTTATTCATTTAGTAATTTAGTCAATTACTTTCTTCTAATATATAATATTTTATCTCTTTTAACTCATAATGTATTTAAATTCTACTAATATTTCTTGTCTAAGATATAATTTTACTTATATACTATTTAAATATTAAAAATAATAAAATAATAAATAATGATTGTAGTATAAGTTGCAATTATATGTACAAATAATGTAAACAATGGTCAATTTAGATTAAAACAGAGAGTTACACTTGTTAACAAAATCTTCAATTCTTTATAAAGGGAGTAAATGTTTGATGAGAAGTACTTGAATAAAATTTAGCTTTGAAAATCTTCGAAATTTACATGTGCAGTTAGTTTGTTTTATTACAATTATAATATAATAATTTCCCTAACCAAAAAAGAAAAAATTGGAAGTACATCATAATTATTTATATTATATTTTATATAAAAAGGGTTCCTTTAAAAAATAGGATTTATTTAAGTAGAATTATACGAATTGGATTAATTCTAACTTAGCTTAAACTGGATGTTTCAAATGGGGATTATAAACAGTATCTAATGAATTTAATCATAAATACTATTTATAGAATTAAAGTAATTTAACCAGACTATTTTATTTTAGAAGTTTGATTTGGTTATTTTAATTGATTATTCATAAAATAATCTTTGAGTTTATATTCTCAAATTTACGATGTATATTAGATGATTCAAAATAGATGAATTATTTTTATATATTCTAATTAGTAGTCATAATTTTCATTATTAATTATACAATTTGCAGTAGTAATCATGTTTGAGCTAAACTTTTTGAAGTTGATTCCGAATATTTACATTATCTGCCATGATTAATTATTCATATAATCGTCCCTAATTCTTGAACAGTTAAATTAAATGCGCACAAATTTCTTTGTAACTCATTTAATTTTAAGAATGTGGAGATGTGGTAACTCTAACAGGCTTTCTAATCTACATTAATTCATTTTCTTTATTTGGAGAATGCAATCTCAAACGTGGTTTTTGTTCACTTACATAAAAATCCTAAAATTTACGTTTAAGGTTTATTCATTCTATAGAATGGTGAACATTTGCTTATTCTTGGATGTTTCTAAGCACTAAAACTACCATTGATTGCAAGTTCATCTGCACCAAAAGTAAATCCTGCAAATGAGGTATCCATATGTCTGTTATAATTAATATTAATAATGTTTAGGAAAGCAATTAAAATACTTAATCATGAACTAATGTTAATCATTATAGGTATTATTATATTTATATTCTTATGAACTAATAGTATTCTGATTTATGGGAATTAATTTTAAATCAAAAAACAAAAGGTAGAAAGTAAATCCTTTTATTAATACTTTATTATCCTTTAAAATAAAGAAGATAATAAGAATTTCATATAAATTAATCTAATATATATTGCTATGACTTCTGTTCTATCTAATTTATTTTAGATAAGTACTACTAAAAGTATTTCTTGAAATTGCATACTTAAAAAAGAGTGATATAAATCATCAATGAAAAGATATTCAATTTTTATAAAACTAAAAATTAAAACATCAATAAGTAGAACAATCATAATCTAATTAAATTTATTGGCAATATTCCTTATATAAACATGTTAATTTAGATTTTTCAATTTTTTTAAATATTTATATCAGTATCAATAGATGCTTTTATTTTACAATATGTTTTTTTTAATTTTTTTGTTTTTGTAGACATGTTTATAAAATTAAAATAAATTTAATTTAATGTTCACTTCAGAAAGTAATATAAGAATTTCAATTAATAAAAACTTAAATGAAATGAAAATAATGGAATTGTTTGGTAAATTACTTGAAACAAAAGAATTAATTTTGAATTAAATTAATAAAAATATGGTATTTGAATACAAACAATAGAAAGTATTAGTGAAAATAATTAAGTTGTAATTTATTGAAAAAGTTAGAGATTTTATGGGAAATAACATTGAGATAGATAAAGATTAATTAGATATAATTGATAGAGTTTATATATATAAATTTAATGATTGATATGTTTATTAATGATTATGATAGAATATTCATTCTATTGTATTGAGATTCTAAGAAATTGTATCTAACTGTTTAGCATAACTTCGAGCATATGGTGTAATTAATTAAAACTCACCAAATTTAGTTTCATAATTTTCCAAGACAGATATCCGACTCATAGTTCTAAAAGATGGCTTTGTTATAAGTCGATTGACATAATTGTACATATCCTTTTTCCTTGGATGAATTTAATGTTTAATTTATTATTGTTTAATAACATTAGTTGTATATTGATCTTGAATATTTTTCTGTATTTACAACAAATACCCCTCATGAATTCTCTACATTTCCAAATAGACCTAATCATCGAAGTAGGCCATCCACTACATAAAATGAGTTAATTATTATTGAGGTCTCAATGTATATTAATGTGTCATTTAAGAAATCAATTACAACGTACATCTTGAAAGAATAAGATCTTCACTCATATATTACACAGGTACTTTAAATACATCATGTATTTCTTTGAGATGAATTGTTTATGCATAAATCTTACTCAATTAATTTCTTATATATGCATCTGTACGATATCTTCGCATTTCTTTTACATTCTTGCATATTCTAGATATATAATAACTCAAAGGATGATGATTAAACTTTAAATTATTCACTTGAGTTCTTATTGAATCAGTAACTGTATAAACAATCTAATATCTTTTTGTATTTGTTCGAGATTCATCAAGACTAGAGTATCTAACTCTTACAGCTTTATTCATTTATTTTATAATTTTTATATAATATTAAATATTCATTTTAGTGATATTCTTTTCTTCAACAAACTAGATCTGATCTTATTTTTGTGGAATTCCAATTATCTATGACTCAATACATCAGACCATCTTTTATAAAATTCCTATTTTATCATACTCCCATATATTTCACTCCCAGTCATTTTACCTTTTATACTTTTTGGACTACTTAAAGTATGTTATGAAGGTTAAGTGGGTTAAGTGTGTAAAGTGGGTTAAGTATGTTAAGTAGGTTAAGTATGTTAAGTATGATTGGTAGTTCGCTTCGTTATTGATTATTAAGTTTCAATTTTCAATATTTTTTTCAATTCTTATTATTGCTTAAGACATGCCATTTTAAGTTTTTATTCTTTAATTATTACTGCAATACTCTTAGTATCAAATCTTTTTGGTTATATTAATTTAAGTAGCTACTATAATTACCTTGAAGTCTATAATTCAGTCAAACCTTTTAGAGCTCTAAAAGAAAATTGTTAATCCTATGGTTGTACAACCAACATTCCAAATTAAAATCTGATTTTATTATATTTAATTTCTCTTTGCTTTTCATGATGTGTTTCTAATAAGGTTGTTATTTTTTTAATAAAAAATCTTGGAATGTCTGTGTGGAATCGATAATATTCTAATAATTGTCGATGTTTCTTCTTGGAATTTTAAAGTGTGTAAAAACTAAATAACTACAGTATATACGATTTGAAATACTCTTCATTTTCTTCATAACAAACTTAATCTTGGAATTAAATGATAGTGGAACTTCGTAGTTAGAAATTGGAAAAATTGGATTGATATCTGGAATAAAGTGCCTTACAGTATTTATTTTTTGTCTACCATGTTTAACAATTCAGGCATGTTGGGCCTCTGGTCACAAAACATACATGTTATTTACATAATAATTAATTATCAAGCCAATTTAGTTTAATTCATAGTTAATTTAGAAATTTGAAAAAATAACAAAACACAAATAAATGTTATTGTCTATAAATTATTCATCAATATCAAAAGATTAAAAATAAAAACTAAGACTGAACTCTCCAAGATTACTTAATTATTTTAAGTCAATAATTCGGATTGCTTTAAGTATGTATTTTCAAAGAATCTTTAGAACACAAATAGATAGATTAATAATACAAACAAGTATAAGAATAAATTTGAAATATAATTTAAAATGACTTTTCTATATAGTTTGTGTATTTTATTGACAAGAAATCTTCGAGTAACACTTAAAAAACTTAATTTAATCATAATAAAACTATTTGAAACTTATATTTTGAAGTGGAATTAGGGATAGCAATTTATTATTTGTTTATAAATCTAAAAATATATTTGGATGGCTCAAGCTAACAATACGTGATAGATGTTCTAAATATGACTTGAAATTCATTAATTTAAACATTGTAATATAAATTTATTTTATATATTTATATAATATATTAATTTTAAACTATAAATTTATTCTAAAGGATGTTATTTGATAATAAATTGATTGATTTGTTTATTATGTTATTCTAATTTACTTAAATAAATCATAGTATAGTAACACAAGCATCAATTTATAATTATGCTTTCTCATTAACTATTAACAACAAGGGAAACGAGTTAGCAATAAAATACAATTTTAAGAGCCAAATCAGATTAAAAGAATTACTACACCAATCCTATCTAAAAAGCATCGCTAAAATGCAGCAAAAATACTGGGATTTTCCAATATAGTTCTAATGGAAAGAAGATAGATGATATTGATATAAATTGAACTTTTTATTATTTATATTTATTCTTCTATTGGAAATTTACAGAAATTTATTTACTCTAAATAACAGCATTTTATTTTATAATTATTAATAATTACAATATTTTTTGTTTGAATTCTTGTTTGATATTTCAGAATATTGTAAAATAGAGAATGAATCTCCTCAAATAATTTGTGAATCACATTATGAATAACTATTATCTTTCATTTTATTAAAAAATATTATTACTGTCTCATAAATTACTAATAATAATATTTTTATATGAGTAGAGTATTCTCTAAAATAAATATATTTGACATAACTAAGAAAAATTTAGGATAATTTGACAAAACAAAAAAATTACTAGTAACTGCAAAAAATGAATAAATTTTTGTAATAAAAATAATATTGAGATAGCATTTATATTATGACTACTAATAAAGATTATTTTAAAATTATTTTTATGAATTCCTTTTTTTTATACTTCAAAGATCCAAAAGTAGAGTAATAATATTAGATTTCTAATTAACATTCTAAGAGGCTTAGCACATTTATGTGTTTGAGTTTTGGATTTATTGTTGCTTTTATAATTAAAGTAGTTTAATCAAGTCATGAAAAAAATAATAATGGATTTATATTGAATTTATCGATGCTAATTTATTTAGTTGTACAACTAATTTTCGTTTGGAAAAATAATTAATATCTCAGATTGGGTATTATTTTATTAAATCATTCTGTGACAATATTTTTTATTGCTTTTGAGGATAGATCAGGCGTTGATAATTAAATGGCAATGCTATAAGGAGTTAATTAAATGGCAGCAACTTATTTATTGGTCTTGACTGGAGAATATATTGATGGCATGATAACCATAATAATACTTTAGATATTTAGAATACTTTGGGGAATATTTTAAAGCGATGGCATTCAATATTCTGCACTAGTTACGTCTACAATGCTGATTCTATACATTAATTATTATAATTATTAGTATAATAAAGCAAAAAGATCTTAATATTAATTGACTTTAGCTGATACAAGATGGGAAGATATCCTTAAGAAACTCCTTTTATAATAGTCTTATTTAATTTTGTAATTTTAAGAGGAGAATTTACATTTTTCTGTTAAGTAAATCAGAAACTGTGAAAAGCTTTTCAAAACTGATGAAGAAGCGTATGCTTTCTTAAAATAGGCAACTAATTAAAACAAAATTATGTAGAATGTTATCTATGATTTGATTAGAGAGTTTAAAAAAAACAATTAATAAACTTTCAATAACACATTTTTAATAAATTTTCAAAAAAGAATTATCAGAGCTGAAATTTCAATCTATTAAGGAGATACACCAACTATTTTATTCTTATTTAAAGATTTTTTTAATGAAAGGAAAACGAATGCCAAAGTAGTTTTATATTAATATAAATAAATGCTTAAATTAATAGTAAAAATTCTTAATCGAATTAATCAACATACATTTTGCCAAAATAAATATCAATCCATACAAAGAAAATTAATATTTATACATTTAGTCTAGGATATCAAAAATAATATAAAATTGAAAAAAATATAACTAAATGATTTCTTAAATAATGCAATTAAATTACATTAAAATGTGAAAGTCAATGTTTAATATAATTGTAGTCCATCTATAGAAACATCAATTAATATTTTATAAATTGTAATTTTATAAATTTTTGAAAACATCAAAAGTTCACAGATTCTTATAAGAACATGTTATACAAAGGAAAATAAGATTTTATGTCAATTTGAAGGATAATTTAATTTAGAAAAAATTTTAAAATTTAAAGATTATTTTGAAACACCATTCCTACTATTATTTGAATCTTATGAAATAAAGAATTAAAGTAAATAAACTTGAATAAATTTAGCTCTAGAATTTATATTTCCTCAATCAATCGACATTCCCTTCAGTATATATTGAACTTTACTCATTTTAATAATCATTAATTTTAAATATGAAAATAAATTTTTTTCATGTAAATTAAAGAAATTATTTATCAAAATATCAATCATTAAAAACTGTGTTTATTAAAGAAAGATTATGTATTTATTTTTTTATTCTTTCTTAATTTATTGTTTATTTCTTCTCTTTCAATTATTCAAATTCTTTAATCACCTGTTGTTTTTTTGTTTCTTCATTAATTTACGAACCTTAAGTTTAACTAGTATCATTTAAAATTTTATCCTAATTTTGTTTATTTAAATCCTAAAATTATTATGGATTAAACATTTTTATAGGTAACTACTTAGATTCTTGTTATGGTGTGATGTTTTATTAAATTTATGGTTAAAACAATTTTTATTAATAATTTTTTTATGATTATTATTTCTATTATTGCTATTATTATTAATATTATTCTTGCTATTATTTTGGCTATTGCTATTGATATTATTATTAGAGCTGGAAAAAATTTTGACCAACTTATTCTTTTGTATTAATTAAATTATTTACAAATGCATTTTATTAATTTTACTAATTATTTATTTATGTAGGAGGTAATTAATTAGAATTTTTTTAAATATTTTATTTTAAATTGTTATTGCTAGATTATACTTATTAATCTAAATTATTAGGATTTTTGAAAGAGATATTTTTTGTTTATAATTTTTGTAATGGATTTGGTATTTGCCAAGGAAGCTAAGAATTCATGGTAAATATTTATTTCTATTAAAAATTAATATTTTTATTTATAATTTTTCAAAGAGAAAAAATATTCTTTTATGAAAAATCTATCAAATGGACAGGATTTTATTGAACATTCATTTTAATGTTCATTACCATCACCGTAAAAGAATTTTGTACAGTCAATCATGAACAAGTTATGAGGCTTCTAAATTCTATTAATATTTTGCATCGATAGTTTAGAACATTAAGCAAGTATTTAGTTATCAGATGATTAGAAGTTTGTCATTTGAAATTGTAATTCTTGTTCTCATTTTTATAAGTTTAGATCTAATTATGATGGATTATGAATCATTTTTTTCTCTCCATTCAGGTAAATTTTTGAATGGCTATAATATTATATAATTTAAATAAAATACTTGTATTTTCTTATAGCAAGATAAGAGCAATTTTAAAACATAGAATATGAATAGCACATTTTGCAAAGAGAAAAATAAACATAAAATATTTCAATTCTTTAATAGGCGCTTTTCTATTATAATCATTCAAACAGCATTTATGATTAGATAGAAAAAGTTTTCTCCAAAGAGAATTTAAAATGGTTCATGAAATAAACTCAACTTTTTTGGATAAACAAAAGACATCAGCTAATTTTATTTGATTCAGTATCAATATTTTTATTTTATAGTGTAAATATATATTGCCTTTTTGAATTCTTCATTTTAAGAAAACTAAACTGCTGTCCATCCATTTTGCTTAATGTTCATATCAATCTTTTTATGCTGTAATATTTGAAGGTTAAGTATAATGCATTTACTCTTACATCATATACTTTTCTACCGCCTGAATTTAGTGCTCTACATACAATATCTCTTTTCTTTGCAAAATCTAACCATTTAATAATATCATTCATTTTTGTTTTATCCTATGTTTCTTAAGCAATTGAACTGCCTTACCTGCCAATCCATCTAATAAGCTAAAGTCTTTGCATTTCACTAATTTAATATTTATACATCTAAATTCCTTTTCTCATATTTTAATAAAAATCTAAATACTAAAATCCTTAAAAATATTATTATTATTATTATTATTATGAAATCTGCTAGTAGAATAGACTAATTGTGAGAATACCATTTCTCTGGCTCCAAAAATTAATCTCTTTTATTTTGATTGTGTTCCATTTTAAACAATCTTGACTATACATCTAAATCACAACTGTTTCATCTTGACTTTTAGATAGAAATTTTTATCTATCTTTTTTTGATATCATTAAACAAGTATATTGGATTATCCTCTCTTAGATCAATATATAAGATAAATAATAAATAAATAGAATTAAAGCATTCCCTAAGGAAAACCAAATTTGTTTTATTTGAACTTATATCATTAGATTACTCTGTTGATTGACTATATTCATAGTTCTTTAATTTTTATTTTTTGATTATTTTTCAATAATAATGAATTCTATTATAATGAATATATTTTGAATTTGAATTAATTAAATATAAAATGGGTAATTATTGCAGTCAAATTTGTAATGAACCAGAAATTTAAGTTCTTAAATTATCTGATTTTGAATCTACACCTAAGTCAGTGCGATCTAGAAAAAGTCAACATTAGAGAGGTTACTTCACTGAAAGTAAAGAACCAGTCCTTCATCTAAATAATAATACCGAAAAAGAAAGACGTCCTCCATATCGTTATACAACAGGAGGAGTTTATGAAGGAGAATGGGTGGGGAATAAAAGAGAAGGAATAGGAATTATGACTTGGCCTGGTAAATTTAATTTATATTAACCTATTACAAGATGGTGCTAAGTATGAAGGAGAGTGGAAAGATAATAGAGCTAATGGTAATGGTAAATTCTGGCATTTAGATGGCGATACTTGTAGGTTTATTTTTATTATTTATTAGATGAAGGAGAATGGAAAGATGATTAAACACATGGATATGGCATATATGTTCATGTTAATGGAGCTAAATACGAAGGTTATTGGAAAAATGATGTTCAGGATGGATATGGTATTGAAATTTGGGCAGATGGTAGTAAATATGAAGGATTTTACATTTTCGGTAAAAAGGAAGGTCAAGGCAAATATTATTGGCCAGATGGAAGTTATTATTCAGGATCTTGGAAAGAAAATAATATAAATGGTCATGGTACATATTCTTGGCAAGATGGTCGTTAGGTAATTATATTAAAAATAAAATGCAGTATGTTGGAGAATGGTAAGATAACTGTATGCATGGTAAAGGATTTTATAAATGGAAAGATGGTAGATCATATGAAGGTGAATTTGTTTAAGATAAAAGACATGGATTTGGAGTTTATTAATGGGAAGATGGAAGGAAATATGAAGGATTATGGGATAATGGTAAATAACATGGGGAAGGAAATTATTATGAGTCAAATGGGAAAATGAGAAGAGGATTATGGGAGGATGGAAAAAGAATAAAATGGTTAGATGAGTGATATTATTTTAATTATCTCAAAATAAAGAACTTATTTAATCTGAAGCTTCTTTTAAATGATTAAAGATTAATTATCGACAATCATCAACTCCATGTTCACAAAACTGAGCCAGATCTTCTTTAATATAAAGTATAAATTCATTTTCTGTTGAATCTGTAAGTTTCTCTGCAATATAGATTAGCCATTATTCATCAGAAGTATAATTTTTATCTCTAAAATTAACTAATTATTTAATTTTGGTTGTATATTCAATTTTAGCCTTTTTTTGTTGATCTAAAAGAATGAGATCAAATTTGGATTATAACTAATCATCCCTAATTGAAAAATAGGAATAATTTAGGAAATAGTCAGTTCTCATATCTTTTAATTCTTATATGATTGAATTTTAAGTAAAGAATTGATCAAAGTTATCCATAATAAGAATTCTTAAAGCTTCATCTACTTTTTTTTGTAAAGTATCTAATTCATAAACACCAATACTTCTTAAACATTTAGAACAAGCTGAGATAATTTTGGAAATATCTTTACCCTAATCCTTAACAGGCATCCTATAAATGGCTGGTTGATTATGTAAATGACATTTTAATTAATAAATGGATTATTTTTCTAGTATGATATCTAAGTCATTAATTAGAAGTGGTGAGATGGGTTAAGAGAATGGTTATTAATTTAAAAGAGAGAGAGAATTATTGGTGCTAATTTATTTGTATTATCTAATTAAATCAAGTAATAAAGGTAATTATTTCCTTTGATTAGGTTCTTTATTAATCATTCCCATAAGAATATTAGAAATAATTTTTTTTTTGGGTGGTAAACGAGTACCTGAATATTCATGTTTTCTTGGATAGTATGGTTCATTTCTAATTTTAATAAAGACTTCATCTTCTGTATGTCCATCAAAAAATGGTGTGCCATGCAATAATTCATCAAACATTAAACCTAAAGCCCATATATCAACTGATTTATCATAACCATATAATTCTGCACGACCATCAATTATTTCAGGTGCTACATAATATGCTGTTCCAAATTTAGAAGTAAGTTTAATATCTCCTAGACTACTTAATCCGAAATCTGAGATCTTATAATAAATTTATCCATTATATGTAGTACGTAAAATATTTTCTGGTTTAATATCTCTATGAACAATATTTATTTTATGTAAATAATCTAAGCCTTAGGCAACTTATTCTAAGATTTCAATACAATGTTCCTCTACCATCTATTATGATTTCTTTTTCATAAATTCAAATAAAGTGCCATTATTGCAGAATTCTTGAACAACATATACTTATGTTCCCTAATCATAGACATCAATTATTCTGACAATAGAAGGATGTGAATGTTTTACTAATTCATTTAAGATTTCAATTTCACTTAAAGTCAATTAATTGTTTTTCGGTAAAATCTACCATTAGAAAATAATTTGATACTTTGACAGCCACTTATTCTTGAGTAGTTTTCTTTTTGGCTAAATAAACTTAACCAAATACACCTGATCCTAATTATTGATTAGTGAATTCATAAAACAAATCAAATCTCTTCATTTAGTTATATATGATAAGTTTTAAAATATTTTAATATATAGATCAATTTTTGGTTAAGTTCAAATAGAAATTAACAAAAGCCTTATCATCAAAAACTTTTGACATTAAAGTTTATTGTTAAATATTCTAAATAATGTCTACTTCAGTCATAAAAGAACAGCTCTTCTTAGTTGACAAGGTAACTTCCTTTTTTGATTTAATTACTATCTTAAGCTATTTAGTTAATTAATAGTTAAATTACATCATCTGGTTTATTCCAGAATGCTAGAAGAGGTAATTAAAATATAATTTGTGGTTAGACATTTGAATTTAATAAGATTCCACTTTAGATACTTTGTTAACTACAAAGAATTTAAGACGGTTCAACTTTTTCATCTTTTAAGAATCTATATAAATAATTAAAGATACGTTTCAGCAGCATTCTAACTATTAGGAAGACTCTTATTATTATTATTTTTAGTAATAATATGACGAACACAAAGCATTTTCTTAACTAAATCAATCAAATATTGTTTTTTATGATTTAATACTTGACGCTTTTTAGCTCTATTTTATTAATCTTCTTTTATCTTCTACCATTTTTCTTTATTATGGCACCCTATTAAGATCATATAGTACTTCCCACTTTTAAAAGTCTCAGGTGTAGCAACTAAGAACTTCTTCTTCTTTATTATCACACCTGCAGCTATCAATACATTCAATGCATCATAAACTCGACGCTTCACATTCTATTCTTCTTTCTTCTATTCACTATCCTCAGATACTAACTTATCTGCTACAAATCTATATGTAGTCTGTGACTCTGATTCTATTATTTTTTTCACCTTGTAACTCAAATTTCTCAATCCTTTATTCTTAGAACCATGTAATGAAAAGCTTTTCTTCTTCACTCCTGCAAATGAAACTTATGAATATATTGGCTTAGGATGTAAGACTCCATTTGGATTGAAACTAAATCTAGATACATCTGGAAATTAACTAGCCTCTCCATCATAATCCATTTTTAATCAATTTATTATTAATATCATCTATTTATTATATATTAAATAAACATAGTATTCTTTATTTCTTAACTTTCTATTAATAATTAATCTATCATCCTGCATATGTTATTTTTATTGTTGGAGCATTATAAATTGACACTCTTTTCTTTTATCTTTAAAAAAAACACTATGATTTACTTTCTTACATCTCTACCCTTTCAATCTTTTAATTTGGACTATTTTAATTATTCCAAAAACTAAAAAACTTTTTCTAACCTCTATTCCATAATTATTACTTTATTCTCTAATCCATATTATTAAAACTAATTGATGCTTCCTCTATTGGTTAAAAAAATGATTTAAATTCTTTAGGTAACTCTGTATGTTTCTATTCTATCTGTTACTATTATTTTTCTAATTCTCTTATTCGAAACTAATAAAAACTCTTATTTTATTCCTCATATTATTATTATCTCTTTAATATCTTATTTATCTTTGTTTCCTGTTAATGAATCAGATTTTCTTAAATTGCATTCATAAAATTCATATATTCTTATGGCATTTATAATTTCTTTAATTTAGCTTATTTTTATAACTGTTTTATTTTATTTGCCAATGATTTCGTTTTATCTTATACAAACTTTAATTATAATGCATCATCATCAAATTTTATTTTTAGATGACTAATTATTTAAGATTCTACTTAAGACTCTTAATTCAAAGATAATTTTCTAAATATTGGACCTCGAGTATCTTCTGTTTTTTTTAGATTTTAAATCAAATCATCTATCTTAGATGTGATTATTATCCTATTTTTCATTCTTTTTTGATTATTTTAATTATTAAAATTTTCATCATATTATAATATTTTACAAAAATTACAATGACGAATTATACTTTAGTAATATTGGCGAGCTTGGATAAAAAAGTTCAAGTAAATGCAAATGAGCATGCAAATTTTAAATTTGTGAATGAACAAGCACATAATTTGTTGCCTAAAGCTATACAAAATTTGATGCACTTTTAGTTAGATATTCTCTTAATAATTAATATCCTTTTGCTAGTACAAAATATTTTTCTGCTGGATGTTTTGAGAATTAAATTGCTTATAGATATTCAATCTATTCTTAAAAAGGTCTAGTCTATGTCAAATATTTCTTAGGAATCTCAAAAAAATCTGGTTTCAAAGATAAATGCGTCATTTTCCCCATCAAATTTATAATACTGTTTTTATGTAATATTTTTAAAACTTCCATTATTTGGACTGTTAATGTTTCATTTATAGTCTTATATAATGATCAAATTACTTACTATTGATAGAAAAAAATTAAAATAATTTGCTTTATCTTTAAGATATTTATTCTAAAGAAGATCATTCTAATCACTAGAGAGATCTCCCAAATATTCATTCAATGCATGAATTAGAAAGCTCAAAAATATATTTGCTGTTAAACCAAATTTAGTAACCTATGCTTTTAACTAAAACAAATTTGAATGAGATTATTAGAGACTATTCAAATGAATTTTTGCCCATTCCTAAAATTATTGTATCATATAGGAAAAAGGATGCTTGTTTGATTTGATCATCTCATTTATTATTGTAAACACTAAGTAAAACTTTTATGCTTAAGCATTCTGAGTTTCATAATCCAATTAATCTTATTTTTAAGAAGATAAAGATTGATTATCATTCATTTTAGAAACTAAATTTATTTTAAATTATAAACTACAAGAATTGTAACTAGTTGATAACGTTTGATCATTTGAGGATGTTCTAATAAAAGTATCTTCTCGAAGAAACTCATTGTTCTTTCTAAAATTGTAAAATATGATAACAAATTATTACAAAAACTCTTCAGACTACAATTTCATTTAATCTTCCTTTAAAGGCTAACTTACTTAAATAATAAATTTTAAATTATTTACAAACTTATTTGATTTTATTTCTAAATCTTTGCTATTCATTTGTAGAGTGTTTAACCAAACATTTTGTTATTGTCGATACCCATTCTTCATCTAATCGAGATAATCTATCTTTCATCAATGATTTCCAATCATTCTATAATTAGGTTAAGACATTACATTAACACCTAGCCAGACTGTTGAAATTAATTTATCATCATTTTTTTATTATGAATTTCCCATTTTTTATTTAATATTTTAATTAATATAATCATTAGAATTATTATTTGCAGTATTGGAAACTTTAAGCACACTGCTAACAAAAGAGTTCCAACATATCTAAATCAATTGAATTTATCTTAGCTTCAATGTTAGAAGAAATGTTACCAATACCCTTAACATTTATGACTTAAATAGCTCCAATTATTAAATGATTCTATGTTTTAAGAGGCATACAAATAATGGGCATATTAGTTTCTATATCAATATTTGGATTAAAAATAGGACTAGTATAACAATTACTCACAGCTACTAATTGTTGATCTTTTATACATAATCCCATGATACCTAACAAACTATCAGATTATGAAAGTTTGCCTTCTTTATTAATATGATATAAAAGTTGATTATAATAAACAACTTTGGCTAAATCTACATTCATCAAAGATCGTAATCTTTCTTCAGAAGATAGAATTAAATTTATAAGGTTATCTTACTTACTTTAAAGTATAATACCAGTTTTAATAATATGTCTTAATTTATTTTAAATAAGCATTTAAGCATCATGATTCATAGCATTTTTTAATACGCTTTTACTGAATTCTCCCATAATTTATAAGAGAGCTTCATCATCCTTTGTAAAATATCCATTTTATTTATTAACACATTATAATACTCCCATACATTTGTCTCCATCCAAAATTGGTGATACTAATACAGTCTTTGTTTTATAATTATTCTTAACATCCTATTAAGTATTAAATCTTTAATCTCTATAGGCATCTTCAATATTCAAAATAATTCGATTTTAAGCAACAAATCCAGCAAGTCCTTATCCAATTTATAATCTTATCGTAGTTTAAGTACCTTTAGCTACTCTTGTCCAAAGTTCTTTTTTTGCCTAATCAACAATAAAACAAGATGCTCTATCACATTCTAAACAATCCAAACATTTATCTATAATAGTCTATAATGCATCATCTAATAAAACTGATGAATTCATCTATAATGCTCCTGTTACTATTTTTTTAAGTCTCAAAACTAAAATAAACAATTATTAATGATCTGACATTATCCTTTTAAATTTATCATATAAGAATGATAATTTCTAAGCTGAAATAGATTGAATAATATCGCTAAAACTTTCTTCAGATTCTAAAAGTACTTTCATTAATGACACAGTACCATCTATATTATATTAAGTAGTTGCATCTTCATCAGCTAATCCTTTAATATTAATAATTACATAATTAAATATTCAAAATTGCATTTGTTCTAAAACAATCTTCTTATTACAAAATATCATAAAAATTGGATGCTCCAGATACATTCCTATCATTTTTAAATAAATCTCCATCATCTTAATGAAATTTAACCAAAGTTGGATTCCTAAACGTTTGTCTTCTAAATAACTTTACTGATTAGGTGTTGCCTTCTTCTAATATTTTATTAGTCTTCTTCTCTATTGGTAATAATGATTTATTATTCTTATTCTTTATATTTGGTTTACTTCCTTAAGTTAATTATCTCTCATCTCTTAATATACTTAATTTTGTTTAATTTGCCTACATAAAGTATTCATTAATATGTATCAATCGATCAATCTCTTTTTATTACAACTTTACTACATCCTACAATTGTCTTATTTGATTTTCCTACTTTGTTATAGTTTCCAATAATCTCTCATTCTACTTCTATTACAATTTATAACCATCTGACAATCTCTTAATTAAAGTATCTTATGTATCCATTTCTTTGCTTTTAGGGGATGCAATAAAAGAGCTATACTCTGTTTTTATTTTCTATTTCAAATTATTTTCCATACCAATTAATTCCTATATTGAGGCCATTTTTAACTTTTATTTACTTTATTATAAATTAATTTAAAATACAAATTCAGAAATATTAAAAATGACATTCATATGAATTAATTTTAATCATTTACATTTTTTCAGTAGAATGAATGATATAATAGTAAAAATAATTTCTATTCCCAAAACAATTAAATAACAGAATGTAACATATGCATTAGATATTATAAGATATGTTTCCAATATCAGAAGTCCATGAATCATAACTAATAAGATCATTTAGATCATTTTATAGCCTAAATTTTCTTACATTCTCAACATTACTCCAACAAATAAGGAAATAGGAATGAAAATGTAATAGTTGACATCCAAATTCCATAATAATAGTATCAATCCCTATTCAAATCCAATACGCTCAACAAAATATACTACAAAAATCATCATATCAGTTTTTTCTAACAAAGGATTCTAATCCCCAATTAATTCTGAAAATGGATCTCTATGACTTTCTGGGGTTTCATTTTGAGATTTATTTTAGGGATATTGAGCCTGCAAAATAGTACTATTTGGAGAATCAATCTTTATTGATTTCTTTTATAACTATTTTTATTCCTTCATTATTGACTTGATGTTGTGATTTGAATTGATTCCCATTGACAAAGAAGGAGGATCCTCTAATCCTTCCATTTTTGTTGTACTATTTCTATATTATTAAACACTCTTCCTAACATTAGGGCTTAATATCACCGAAGACTTTCTGGAAACATCCTTTCTTTTAGCCTCTGGAGTTAATTGGTTTAATTGGTTTAATTATGGTTGTCTTACTATATTATATATTCATACTCAGAGAACACTTGATTTTAGTTAAGACTTCTTCTTCTCATTATACAGAGAAAAACTATTTGAATCATAAAAAGAAAACTAGAAAAAGATAGTTGTGCAATTTAGAAATACATTCTTAAAATATATATATAAATATTTAATAATTATTGATTTCTTGAACGTAAATATCTTTAAGATTGATTTACAAGCTACTTAAAAAAAATTATTATTACTTAATTTCAGAACAAATTATTTAATCTTAAACTTTATCAACCTATATTGATTAATATTTTATAAGATTCTAATTTAATAAATAAAGAGCTTATTTCAAAAGTTGACACCATATTAGTCTCTCCTTATACAAAGAAATTCTATGGCTAATAAAACAAGGAACTTTTTATGGTTACTATTATAATGAAAATCCAGACTTATAGTTATTATTTGCTAAGGTTTTTTATATTAAAAGATTTGGATTAATTATAATAAAATTTAATTATAATCATAAAATCAAATTTTATTAATTAAATTCTTGATATAAGAATCTAAATTTTATAATTTCAATCTAAAAAATTTTATTCAGGTTTAAAATGAGTTAAATGATAAATCAAATAGAAAATATTCATAAACATGGTACTGTTATTAAATAAATTAAAGAACAAAATTTAAAACATTACATTCCTAGAAGGGGCTGTTAAATAATCAATTGATATAAAATCAGCAACTATTTTTATTCTGAATATTATACAAAATATTGTTGATTTTAAAGTAACAATTAAAAATTATATCTGAAAAAGAATCATAAAATGTGAAAGAATTTATCTAAAAAAAGCTTTAATTTGATGAAAATGATATATGTTCATGGTAGGATATGTTCAGTTCTCCTTTGCTAAATTAGTTTTTATCAAAATCTAAGAAATAACAAGCAATCTCAAATCAATAACAATCTCTTCCTGAAAATACTCTATTAAATTTCAAAACTTTTACAAAGACAACGAAAAGTTTAATAATAAAATTTTTAAATTATTCATATTTTTACAACTAAATATGAAAGAAAAAGTAGTGACTAATTTTATCAATTGATTTCTGAAATAAAAGCAATTATTAATCCAAATTTTAGAGTATTTTAATCTTTTTTTTTAATTATGGATAGAATTGGAATCCATTTATCAACAATTAAAAAATATATAAGAAGATAATGACTACAAAATTATATTTTTTTTCAGCAGTGTTCTAAATTAATTGAAACTTTCTAAACCTTATTTAATCTAAGAAAGTATTTAAAAGTAAAATAACTTATCGAAATTATAAATTATAGAGCTTATTAAATAAATGAATTTTATTGAAATTTATTATACAATTCAAGAAACCTTTAAAATTTCTAAACAAATATTTTAGAAAGATTGATACTTTATTTTATTGTAATTCTTTTCTTGAATAATTTATTATTCTTTCTCAATATAATTTATATAATCATAATTTAAAATAGAAAATTCTATAACTAAATTTTTAAAGCATTCTAATAGATTATTAATATATATATTGTAAATATTATGATAATTGAAAATATTTTCTTTATAATTCTAATTTCCATCTGGAATTTAAAATATAAAAATCATCAATTAGTTAGTTAATTAGTCAATAATCTTATTAATCTCTTGAAGTTTTATATAAATTATTAAATTATATTACTAATAATGAAAAAACATAAAAGTGAAAATTTGTAGGATTATTGTGTTTTTTATAAAGATAAAGGACTTCCTCCTATGCACAAGACAGATTAATTTAAAAAGGCTTTAATTTTAGATTCAATCAAGGATTAGGAGCATCCTCTTAATCAAATAATTGAAAAAAAATAAATTTTTGTGCCATTTATTAATGAAAGGGATAGTATGGGAAAATTGATTTCAAGCGAATCTTATCATAGAAAAAGAAAAAGTGATATCACAAGTCTTTTTAATTCTCCAAAAAATAGTCACGATTTCTTAAGTAAAAACTCCATATCAAATACTTGTAGTATTTATGAAAATTAACTACCTGCTGCAAAATAAAAATTAAAAAATCTTTTAGGAAGTACTCCTGAAAATACTGAATTATTTTAATCTACTTTATTGGCAAGTCAATTCGAATTTAAACAATCTTTTTAGTTTCATTCAAAACGCAATCAACTTACCTTAAGAACTCATAAAAAAAATAATAGTTTATAAAATAAGCTCCCTGTATTTATCAAATAGCATAAAACTAATTAATTTAAATTATTCAAGCAACCAAACACTCCTTTAGCTACAAGATTTTATTAAAGCAACTTTATAATTGAAATGTTCAATTAAAATAAGTAATTCATATTTTTATTTTAATTAGAATTGAAGAGCATAAACTTTATTACATATTGCTGATGGAAAAAATGTAAAAGTTCTAAAATGAATTGATAAAATAATTATCAGCTAACGAAAGAAGGAGAACGTTCGTTAAATTGGATGGAAATAGAAGATTTAAACTTAGTCTATTATTACTTATATCCAAACCACGCATTTAATATCAGATGTTATAATGATTCGTAGATAATTTATATATGATAATAGAGGAGAAATTCAAAGTTCTGAACTTAACAAACTTTGATGACTTAGTTTTTCTAAAATCTTGAATTTATTGTGAAAACTTCTTCTTTTTATAAAAAAGAATGGAAATTTGTTAGCCTATTTTTCTTTTGTGTTTAGAAATCTTTTAGATTAATGGTGTTTTTTCTTCAAATACTATAAATTTATTATATTCTTATATATCGAATTCATATTTTATAATTATTCAAAAAATTTATTATTCTTATCTTTATATAATTTCTCCTATTCATTTTTATAAAAACAAAAATTTTAATTTGAAAATAATAAGCTTCACTTTAGAACAAAAATAATAATTACAAATTTGTAATCTTATAACAATATTAAAAATTTAAATTTAATGTTTTTCAAGTAAGAAATAATCTATAGCTAGCTTTGCTCGTTTTTTCACTCAGCCATAACAATTAGACAATTTGATAGCAAATCCAGATTGTGATTTAGAAACGATTTTATCGACCGATGGAATTTTACAAGAAATAAAGGGATTAGGAGCTACAAAATTTGCTGATCAGTATTATATTGAGCATAACAATAGTGTTATACAGCATCCAGAAATGTATTAAAAAATGATTGATTACATAATATAATTTGAAGAGGAACTTATTGACAAAAAAACTCAAATTTAGTAAATTTTAGATTATACATTAAGATATCCATTTTTAACAAGTGAGATCTTGGGTAGTTAAAATTAGAAATTAATTGATTATTTATTTGAAGGTCCTGAGGAGGAAAATGGAAATTAATAAATACGTCAAGGTTTATATAACTAACTCTTGTCATTTTTAGAAAATGATATTTTGAATGTTACTTCAGCAGGATATTTTGCAAAAGCATTTATAGCAATAATTAAGAAGAGAGGTTTTGATGTATAAATTTTTAAATAATTAGGTTTGGGCAACGATCATTAAAAACAAAAAAATACTTTCAAATTTGATAAAACATATTGATATTAAACACATAGCAGAAATAATTGAAAAATTAATTATATTGGATACATCTTAAGAAAATTATGAAGAGAAATTCTTTGAAGAAAGGAAAGAATTATTAGAAAGAATAATTAAATTATTATAATATAAATCCTATAATACAGAAATAGTAGATAATGTTTGCGAAATATTAATTGAAATTACAACAAAGAGTATGAGTTCTTTATATTATAACAATGGAGAAATCATACCATTTATTGATATCATAAAAAAACCTGAATTATTTTTAAAACTTGCCTTATAAACTTAGCGTATAGGACCTTATTAATTATTAATAAATTTAGTGGAAATGCAATCAAAAGAAACTAAAAAAGAGGATGATGATGAAGTAGTTCATAATTTAGAAAAAGATTATTCAATTTTTGAATCTATTTTACCAGAATTACCTCAAAATCTGTTAAATCAAGATTATCATACAAGCAATTTTATTAATTCAAATAGATTATTAATTTAACCATTTGGATTAGCAAGAATGCATTTATTAAAACTTATTCAAGTTCTTGTTCAGTAATTATTACATTATTAATAAGAACTAATGATTACAAAATTATAAAGATTTTGATAAACAATAGACTTATTGAAGCATTGAAAATAATAATTCTTTAGTATGAGTCAAATAATCAAATCCATTCTTGTTGTGATAAAATATTTAGAGCAATAATTGATCTAAATCAAGATGATTTTACTAATGATGTAAAGTATTTTTAATTCTTTCAATAGATTTTTGAAAATAGCCATCTTCTAAATTATATTATTTAAAATCATAATACTGAAAATACTAAGAAAGGTTTTATTGGATTTATGACTTCAATTTCTAATTATTTAGAAGATAAGAGTAAATAAAATAATAAAATATAAAAATTACTTCGAATCAGTAAATTTTAATATTAAATAATAATAGATGAATAATGGTAGTAATTTATAGAAAATATTTTAAATAATATCAATTCAAAAGAGAAACCATTTTTATGTAATGCAAATCCAAGACCAAGTTAAGAGCCTGATGTTTTAGATGAACAAGAAACTGATAACATTTTGAACATTTTAAGAGTATTTATTACAATTATAAAAACTGTTAGAAATTTAATAATAATTTTTAAAAGAATGATAAACATGTTATTAATAATGAAAATACAGAAGGTGTTTAGAGAAATACTGAAGTATTGAATGAATTTGAGCAGGATACTTAGGATTAAGAGGAAGAAGTTTAAAATGAGTAAGATTAAGATTTATAGAATGATGATTAAGAATAAGATGATATTTAAGTTAATTAAGAATATAATGAAAATTATTTCTGGAAATTAGATGTGAATGAAAAATTAGCTTAAGAATTATTGGATAATTTTGAATGATAAATTATCATGAATGTAATTTTGAATTTTAAATCATAATAATTTTATATCTATTCAGTTTAATATTTTTTATGATTTGATTAGAATCTCGCATGGTTTAATATTGTACAATTTATCTATATCAAATTATAAATCCATGTCTCCCATTTTGTCAAAGTAAGTAATTAATCTATATATTATAATAATATATTTTACTCTTTATTTTTAGGATCCTTTTTATTCCAATTTATATATTGGATAGCTCCCATGTAGATTTTTCTAAATAACTTTGAAAATATAGTGAAATCAGTATTATCTTCATCATTTAATATGGTTTTCAAAGATTTGAATTCTTAATTATCTTATCTTTTTGAATTTCTTAAAAATACACATTCATCTTCCTATTTTAGTTAAATTTTAATACTCTAAATTGTAGAATAGTTAAATTTAATATTTTATTGATGTATTCTTTTAAAAATTTATTGGTTTCTGTTTATAATTACGAGAATTCTTAGAGATCAATTTATGAAAACCTATTTTTAAATTCAGGAAGAATGGAGGATGGTTAATTAATTAATAATCCAAAAGCATTAAGAATAGTTTTATATCTATATCCAGAGAGACAAACTAAAAAGGCAGCTGTTTAATCATTATCAAATTTAATTTAGTTTTATGTTTTTTCAAATCTAGAATAAAATATTGAAATACTTTGAGTCTTATAATAATTTATAAGTTTTAGCTGCTAGATCACTTTTAGTAATAAGAATTTAAATTAAATGTAAGATTTTATCATTTTTCGATTATCCTGGTTTTGTTTCAACCCTATAAAATTCTTGATAAAAAGATAGATTTTAATTAATTAAGGTATTTTTTTTAGGATTAGATCTTTTAGGTTATGAGATGTTCAAAGAAAAGATAGGACAAGAAAATAATTGCATCCAAGAAGTTCTATCTGATTCTTCAAATTAAAGCATTTATTCAATCAATGTTCTAATATTTAAAGGAACATTTTCTCTAAGTGCCGAATCATTAGGACACTAAATTGGATTAGTTTATAAATTTCTTAAATTTTCTATTAATTAAGCTTAAGAATTAGCATTGATTGGTAAATCATTATAAATTAATTGATAAAATATAACACCTAAAGAATAAACATCTGCTTTAGAGGAAAATTTAGGTTCTAAAAATAATTATGGAGCAGCATAAGCAGGTGTACCAACTTTAGTAATCAATTATAAATTAACCATATCATCTAAGATACGACCCATACCTAAATCTGCAATCTTGTAAATATCATTCGAGATTAGAATATTTGCAGGTTTAAGATCTCTATGTATAACTTTATTTTTAAATAAGGCTTCATATCCTTTTACAACTTATTTAATTATTTCTACAGCTTCATTTACTGTAAACCAAGTTTGTTTCTTCTATTTTGCATCCATCTAACATTTAAGATCACCTTGATTACATTTTTCCATTATTATATATAAATTCTAATCTTTACTATCTTCTATTATTTCCACTAATTCCACAAGATTCTCATTTTCTCTTTATAATGGTTTAAGTAAATTCAAAATCTATATTTCTCTTTTCAATAAAATAGATTCCACTCCTTTTTTATCTACACATTTGGCACATAATAATAATTCTTTATTTCTTTAATCATAACATTAATAAACTATTCCATACTACCCTCTACCAATTAATTTTTTCTTTTCAACTACATAATTCCCTATATATATGTCTTAGATTGGTCTAATAGGCATTCCATTATCATTTTAACCTCTTGAACGTGGTTTCATATTTTTTAAAAATTTAATTATTCTATTTAAACTTTCAATTATTTCTATTTATATTAATATAATCAATCATATTAATTCACTAAAAATTTTATAATATTCATGTACATTAATATAATTATTATATTAAATATTAAATAATATCATTTGTAGATTGTAACTAACGTATATATTTAATGCTCTTAGTATTATATTTTGATATTAAATGCTCATAATTAGGCCTTGGAGTCATATTGATCACTTTTTCTTTATAATCCACATCAATGAATTATTATGGCTTCTAAATATCTAAATTAATAATATCATCAACAATCTTTTTTATTTATTATAAGGCATCATCATATTTTTCCTTCTAAAATAAATAAGGGAATAATAATTGTTCAGTTTAAAATACATCCACTTACTTATAAACAGATTAGAGTTTCTCTAATAAAGAGAGATTTTGAAAATAGAGATCATCATTTTTATTACTTAAAGATTTATTAAATCTTTTTAATTCTCTATCAAATAAATGAATTATATTTACTCATATTATTAATAGAGATTATCATTTCTTATCTTATATTAAATTGTTTAATTCTATTGTTCTAACAAAGCAATAGCCTATTTCAAACCTGTTATTTCATCCTATTATTCTTGTTTTTCTTATTTTCTACTCTTAATTTTTCATTATCTAAAAATACCTCTTTTAATGCTTAATAATTCCACTCGATTTATTTCCTCTTACTTATTTATAACTATAATTCTTGAATTAATAAATCACATATTTCTTTTGATGGTTATTCTTCATTAGGAGCCACAATTATATTATCTAATTTAATTTACAAAACTTTATTACACAATTTAGGATTTATTATATAATCTCCAAGTTTTGAACATAGAGATTTTAAATCTAAAATATCACAATACAGAAAATATTTTAGTTTCTTTAACAATTCATCTAATTTTCCTTTCTTCATTATTAATTCATATCCCAACAATCCATTCAATCCATTAAATAATTGATCCAATTATTGCTTAGAATTCTTATTTTCAATATCTTAAGTGCTACATTCAACTACCTTATAAACCAAATCCTACTAAGAAGCTCTTCTTTATAATTATCTGCTAGATTATAAATTAGGAATTGATCTTTAATCTTTGCTTGTACTTCTTTTTTATGATGGTCTTTAACCTGATTGACATAATTTTTGTAATTTTTCCCAATTTTATTGTAGTTTAACATTACTCATACAATAAATTTATTTCTTTATTCATAAACATAATTATCATTATATAAATAAAAATAAATTGTTATTTTATTCGTTTCTTATTCATATCACAAACAAAAACTAGATTATTTTCTAACCATTTCTTTTATATCCAAAAACCATTTTAATTAATCAATTTTTTTTATTCCAAGCTATTTAATAAGTTACTATTAAATAAAAATTAAGAAAATTTACTACAAAAAAGTAATTCAATCCAAGATTTTATAGTATTTTTGAATGAATGATCAAAATAGATTAATATATCAGATTTACTTAGATAAAAATTCATTAAAATTATTGTTTCAATTGAAAATTAATTATTTATCAACCTATTTAATGATTAAATTTATTTTATACTATATAATTGAGATGGAATAAATAAATAATTTAATTATTTATTGGAGCAAAAATGATTAAGAGCATAAAAGTTTTAATATTTGTATTAGAAAAAATAATACTTCAATTTTATTAAATAATATTTTTATAGTAGTCTAGAGGCTGATCATTTTTGATTTTTTCAAATATTAACATTTAGTCTTAATAAAATTAGATTGGATATTCACTATCTAATTTTAAGAATTAGGTAATATAACATTGCAATCTATATTAAATATTATTTATTTACTTTATTGATTAAATTGTTTGGTTTTACGGTTTAAACCACTTTGACTAGTAATAAATTTTGAAAAAATAATGGTAGATATCATAATTGATTTATTATTTTGTAAGAAGTTGATTTTATAGTCTTTCAAATTTAAGATCTTTTAGATTTTTTTCCTTTAAGTATTATTCAATATTTTTGAATTCTTATCCTAAGTCCTAGTGTTTTAAAATACATTATTACTTTTTGTTATTATTTGCATAGATTATTATTATTTTTGAGCTCCTGCCTTAATTGATTAGTTTTTTGATTTTATTTTTTTTTAAAAGATTCAATTTATTATTTATATTCTTTTTCATCGATAAAGATCTTTTTCAATTAATTTGCCATGCCTTTATATTAAAATTCGTTTAAGAAATTTCTGCCTTGAATTAATTAGAAATAATTGTATTGTACTACACAAATCTTGAGTATTTAAAGGTTGTATGTATTGTTATGATCATCGATAAATTTATTTTGGATAGCTAATTAAAGGAGTTGAATTAAATTTTATGCAATATCACATCTATAGATAATGCAAGAAAGAAATGCTTCAGCATCAAAGTTAATTGAGTCTATCTAAATTAATTTTATCTTTGTGTCTATTTGATTATCACTCATTTTAAAAAAATAAAATATTGATTTATTTTTCTATTAAAAAATATCTCAAATGTTCTTTCTTGATTGCACAAGTGCTTCTAATTATTATTTTGTTATATCATCTTTTAATAGAATTTGCTATGGATTCTACTCGCTATATTTCTCAAAAGGAAATTCTGAATCAACATTCAAAAACTTCTCAATCAAACATAACATTCTACAATATTAATATTAAATACTTTAGGTATCCAATATCATATTATTTAGTTTTATCATAAACTAAAAGTTTTCTTAAATCTTATTTCCAAAAGAATTAAAACCATCTTCCATAAATTTTAAATTCTGTATTTTCAATAATAGATAACAATTTTTAGAAATTTTAGATATTATGAGGATAATTATTTGACTTCATTAATTTGATAATTTAATTTTCAGCATGTAGAAAAGCTGAATTTGATTAATTTAAAAATTCACTAACATTTTCTTTAGTTTTTTCAGTCCATTCACTGTGATCATTTTAATATTCTAAAAGAGTTTATTTAAGAGCTTGATTATCATAAATTTTTCTCATTTCTTCACAAATGCCATCCAAATAATTAAAACAAAAACCAAACGCATTCATTAGTATTTTGTAACGATATCCAATGATACAAGTTTAAATTAATTCAAAATGGTAAACATTGAAATAAGGGAATTAAGATTTTCTATAATAATAATAAGATTAGATAGATACAATTATTCTAAAAGAGATTATTAAAGATTGAATGATAATTCTGCCTTTGCTAAAAATAAAGAAACTAAATGATTGACTCTATCTGTTTTAGTAATTTTATTTTTATCAATGTATTTACAAACATCTCTAAACTTAGCTTCATTAAAGTACTATTGTTGCCCTGATTATTATTGATATAAGAAGATAGAATCTAATAATTTAGTTTCTGCTTATTCTTCAAAATTAGCTAATTTAGAAGTATCAACTAAAAAATAAATGAAATAGAATTTACATAATTCACATTTCAATAAATCATCCCATCCTGGTCTTGCTTCTTCACTATATGACATCATTTTATTGATTAAATTTTAAATAGCTTTTTTGACTTGTTATGGTCCTTCTTATGTTAATTCTGGACATTAAAAAGGTTTATCTTTAAGACTTCTTAAGAAGTGTGTTAATTCTGGAATAGTTTTGGCTGTAAATGGTAGTCGATTACAAAATGCCAATTGATATAGGATTACACCCAACTATTGATATATAATTAATTAATTTGATTACAGAATAGACATCACATTTTGAAGAATATTGATCTTCTAAATATAATTAAGGTGCTGCATAAGCTGGTGTACCCACCTTTGTTAATATATACTTTTTAGTTATATCCTCTAATATTCTACCCATACCAAAATCAGTTAACTATATATAGATTTATTAGTTTAATACTTTCACTATTATTTGTCCTTTCCCATTATTTTCTATTAATATATTAGCTGGTTTAATATCTCTATGAATTACTTTGTTTTCGAATAAAGATTTATATCCCAATATTATTTATCGAGCAATGTCTTGGATTTAATCTAAACTGAATTGTTTTTTTTATGATTAGTATTGATCCATTAATACTTTTAAGTCTCCTCCTGTACATCTCTCCATTATTATATATATTTATCTTTCCTCTTTTATTACACGATAAATCTTCACTAGATTAGGATTGTCCACCTTATTTAATTATTCCAAGATATTAATCTCTCTATCAATCAAGCCTTTCTCTACTTGAGCTTGGAGAACCTATTGCATCTATTTAATCAATACCTTAGCACATAATTTCCTTCCCTAATGTAAATCTGAATAGCATCCATAAACAACACCATATTACCCTTTTCCCAAAAATTCTGATTTCCTAATCACAAATTCTTCTACTTTCTAATCTTGATCCATTTCTTTAAAATCTTTTATTAAGATAGATTTATTTAATAATATAGCTTCATAAAATTAAATTTCTCATAAATATTATGATATATTCTCTAAAAATTTAACTCAATATTTATGAAAAAATGACATTCTCATTTATATTCATATTAACTAAACCCCCAAAATGAAACAATTCTTTATTGTAGGCTTACTTATTTAAAATATAATATTCTCCATTTCAAATAAATACATCCTTCAGTATATGTATTCTAACCTAATTTTTATTTTAAAGCTGAAATACATAATGAATGATCATCACATATACATTTTATTGTCTCATTTATTATTAACATTGTCTGATTAATAAATATATTGAAATTCAATATAAATTATAGTATTAATTATAAAATGCTTTATAATGATGAAATTTATTATTCTAGTGAAATACATGAAGAAAATTCATCAACTCAATCTGCTTATAGTTGTTGTATTGCCTTCTTATGTATGTTATGTGGATATGTGCTTTTGTAAACAAATGCTTACATAGAAGGGTAAATTGATTATTCGAACTAGCAAGTCAAATCCATACTATTATTAATGTACTATGACATTACCATTGACTTACTTTTGTGGAGTAGCATTTTTAATAGCAGCTGCAGTGAGATTAATATTTTTAGTCGTTTTTTGCTTATAATCATAAAAACACCAGCCTCATTCAAGTTTATTTCATAAAAAAGTGAAACATTCTGAAGTAATGATTGCAATGGCGTAAAGAATAGATTCTTATAAATTTAGATTTTTCTTTTTTGGTTCTTTCATTTTAATGGTTAAAGAATAATGTTACGAATTGACAGTTGCTCTACTTTTTGTTTTGATTTTGACAGCTTTCATGATTTTATAAATATGCTGTTATGATATGGAAGATGACGAAGTGATTTGTGAAGAAATACTTGATTATTGAAAGACATTAATATAAAACAAATTCATCACACTCCAATCTCCATTCTTGCGTTCTAATTTACCTTTTCCATTTCTAAACTCAAGAGAAGATCATTCCTCTTTAAATAACTAATTTCACATATCAAACATAACGAATAGAATTATTGCCTTTATTTTTACTTTATTTTTTACAATCTAAAAACTTATCAATCAAATATCTTTAAAGATAATTAACTCAAATCAGAAATATATATTTATGATCTAGATTATTTCAAAACTCTTTATAAATGACTTTGATATTCCAAATAAAGTAATTTTTAATTCATTTTGCAATAAAACATCATTTTTTTGAGAACTCTTATCCTAACATAATTTTTATGTTATCACTTTAATTTTCTTAGCTAATAAATTAAACTATAAATAAAAGAATATTGTAGATGATTTCTCTTATTTGTTTGTGTAACAAATTTCATCAAATTGAAGTATTGATTAAACTTAAAATTAATTAAATTAGATTAATTCGATCAACTGTGATGTGATGGTATATAATTATTCAAAAAATCTTTTAGCACTCATTTAATTTAGTTAGTGCTTATTATTAGCATAATATTCATTTCAATCATTACTATTATTAGTCTGAAAATCTTTTAATATATTTTATAGTATTGATTTTTAAAAATTTTAAATCCAAGAATAAAATGTAAATATTAAAATAAAGCTGATTGATTCATTTGCTTATGCAACTTTGAATTATAAATTCAAATTGTTAATTTAAATTAAGATCTAATTATTCTTAAAAGTAAAATTAATTAGTCATGAATAAATATTTTCTAAGAATGTTTTACAAAATATCATAAATTGTTTGAAGAATTTTGTTAACATTTTTCAGAATAATTAAAATGTCAATATAAATAAATTGTTTTTTTATTTGCAATTCTAAAACATTTAAATGTTTGAAAATACATTATTTGCATTCATTTTTGTAATCTACATATTTTTTTATTTTATTTTTTTAAACAAACTCTTTGGCTATTGAGGATAAAGATTTTAAGTTACAATTTTTAAGACTTTAATAATGCTGGTTTATTTAGATTGAAAATTTATTTCAGAAACCCTTATATATAATTGATATATGATCAGGATAAAATAATCTTTTCACAAATCGATAAAGATTTTAAATAATTTAAAATTATGAAATAATAATTTTATCAAATTACTATATGTAGTATAGAATAGAAATAAATTTCCTTGCTTAAAAAATCAATTTAAATGTTAGGAACGATTAAAAATTATTTTAAAAAACTTAATTATTGAATTTGATTAATCGAAAAAGTTAGAAAATATTGTTTAATCAATTAGATTTAATAGAATTTGAGAATACTTAATTTTGATTTTTATATGTTTAGATAGGGAATACTTCCAAATCGATTTTCAGTATTTCTATTGATGATGAAAATAAGTAGCTTTTTATTTAATAAAGAAATTTAAGTGAAATTTTGAAATATAATAAATAGTGAAATCTCATTTGAACTAGAAAATTTATGAATTTCCAATATATAGATTGGTTTATTTTTCTTATAGGAAGGTATTAAGATTTTATTAAAATTGTGGCTTTTTCAATTGAATTTTTTTTTTGATGATTTTAAAAAATTTTATGATTTTATGGAAAGATTTAATTATTTAGAATAATTGAAAAGATATTATTTTAGCCAAAAAAGGACATTTGAAATGGAACTCTTATAAACAGAAATCTTGTAATTGAATTATTTTCAATTTGAAGTTTAAAAAAATAAAGGAATCAAATAAAAGTGATAAATATAAATATATATGTATATAAAAAGGTTATTGTGAGTTCTCTGGGTAGCTTGTTGAATTATTTTAAGAAGTCAACAGCGACAAATCAAACATCAAATAATATCCCATTCCTACCCAATTGTTATATCAATGGATGTACAACAAAACCTCAGGAATGATTAATAGTTCTTCTTTTAAATTTCTTTAATTATCCTAAATATTAAGCAAATTTTATATGGGTTTATCACTCTAAATATAATTTCTGTATAGTGTTTGATTTAGTTCTATATTTTAAATTTGAAATCACCCATTATCAAAATTTGTTCATATTAAGTAATTGATTATATAATAAAATTCATCATTATGAAAAGGTCAATTAAGTAGCCTGCTTCTTCCTCCTATCAATTTCTCGATAAGTTAGGTGAAGGGTAATACTAATTTTAAAGAATATAGTGCTTTTGGTTACATTTGGAAAGTCAAACACATTTCAAGTGGTTAAATATTTGCTTGTAAGCTTGTCAAAAATTCTATGAGGAAGGAAAAAAAATTATTACAAAGAGAAATATAGATATTACAAATCCTTAAAGGTAAAAAAGGTAATAAAATAATAAAAACAAAAAGGATTTACATAGTTATTTGCATCAGGGTCTGATTAACATAATACTTATTTTGTTATGAATCTAATGGGAGACAATTTAGAATAGTATCGTCAAAAGAATGGAAATTTTAACAAAATCTTACCGCTTGGATTGGAGATCATCAAACTTTTGAAAGAACTCCATTCGTTAGGAGTAATACATCGTGATATTAAACCTGAGAATTTTGTAATGTAAGATAATAAAATCAATCTCATTGATTTTGGACTTTCTAAAAAATATATAATAGATGGTCATCATATCCATTATAAAGAAAATAAAGGAATGATAGGAACTGCTAGATATGCATCTATAAATGCTTTAAAAGGCATAGAATAATCTAGAAGAGATGACTTAGAATCTTTAGGTTATATGTTAATCTATTTACATCAAGGCAACTTACCTTGGTATTCTATAAGTGATTAAGATAAAGAAATTAGATACTAAAAAATAAAAAAAATGAAAAAAGCACTTAAAATAGATAAATTTTTTGGTTTACCAATTCAATTATCAAGTTTTATGGATTATATAAAAAATTTAAAGTTTGATGAAGATCCAAACTATGAATATTTGATATAATTATTCTCTTAAGAAGAAAGTGGAACTCGATTAGCATTATAATATTTTCAACCAAAACCTACAATTAGATTAAAATTTATTTAAATGTAAAGAACTAGTTTTCGCTCTCCTCCAAAAGAAATTAATTCAAGCAGAAAAGCCAGTTTTGAAGAATCATCTTCAGCTGGATCTGATATTTAAGAAGAACTTTAAGAATCCATAAAATTGAAAAATTTTAGTGTTGGAATTAAATAGCCAGCTGATAGTCCAATATATGTTAAACTGAGTTGATTAAATAAATATGGTTAAATTATTTTTATTAATTTACAATCAGTTTCTACATTTTTATGTGGGCAATATTTTATATACAATATATCATTTTCTTGATTCTTGTGTTTTTTATAAATCATGCTGATATTTATTCTGTAATTAATATATACCAATACCTTTTTTGAGAAGATAATTATTGCATAACAAATATGATGCATTATATATATAAAATTTAAATAATTATGGTTAGTGAAGCATTTTAACTTAAAATAATTCTAACTATTTTAAAAGATAGTTGAATTATAATGGAATAATTATATTGCTAGCATTCTATTATTTTTGATAAAATTGAACATCACAAATTACAACTACTTGTTAATTTTTACTATATTTATTAAATAATTATTTTCATTCATCTAGAGTATATTTATTAATAAATGAATTATGAGTATTATTTTTTAATTCCATTTGTTAAGCCAAATTTTGCATTTATAATATTAAATTTAATAGAAATAGTAATTTGATTAAATTTAATGATCTAGAATTATTATAAATTACATAATAAAGATGTATTAATATAATAGCAATTCAAATTTATAACTAAGAAGTTAAGAAATATTATGATCGCTTTTTAACATCTTCATTATGAAGAATATATTAAAATGCCTCTCTTAAATTTTTGACAAAAACTGGTTTTTAGACAACATGAAGCATGCCTACTTCAATACATAAATCTAATGTTTCTCTATCATCATGAGCTGTACATCCCATTATTGGAATATAGGCTAAATCTAAATCAATCATCATTTAGATTAATATTTTTGTAGCCTAATTATATAAAATTTATAGTTTACTTCAATTCCTCCCATAATTGGCATATCTAAATCCATAATTATTAAACAAATATCTAATTGTTTTTCTTAAATCATATCTATAGCTTACTAGCCATTAAATGCTTTAAGAAAATACTTATATCCCATACTTTTCAACATAAGTATTAATGTATCATGATTAAATGGTTCATCATCTACAATCAAAATTAATTTATCACAATCAATCAATCCTTTATTCATAACTGAAGAACGGGCTCGTTTCATTTTTCTATGTTTCTTTTACCATTATTAAAGATTAACCTTATTTGTTAAAGGTTAATTTGCTTATGGTTCTTCAATCACTTTTTATGAACTCACTTGAATATATTAATCTTAAGATGAAAATATCGATTTTATTGTGCCAACATTGTTTTAAGAACTTTTCATATTTCTTAAACTTCTCTATCTCAGTATAAATCCAACAGTTTAATTCTCTTATTAATTTTCTGTCGTCTTACTATCTCTCATGCTTATTTTAAATTTAAATGATGTTCCTGTTTCAGATTATGCTACTTCTAAATTTGAATCACAAAAACCTAAACTATTTATTAGATTATTTGTTATTTCTAATGACATTTTTAATTCTTTCTTTATTACTAAATGTTTCTTTTTAAATTTAAAATCAGATTATGATTTGATCCATAAATTAATATTTTCTATATCTTCATCATTGAAACCACAACCACTTCCATCTATAATAAAACTTAATTCATTATTTTCCTTATTAATACTCAAACTCAAACTAATAAGACCACCAGAGGCTGTGTGTCTATATGATAAATTTAATATATTATAAAGAACTCTTTCCAATTTCAGTAAATCTGAAACAATATAAAAACTTTTTTATAAATTAATATTATTACTTATCTATTTATTGGATTGGAACTTATTCTACAAATACTTAAAATAAAATTCTTTTATTTATACATTAAGATTCAATCAATTCTGATAATGTTAACAAAAATTATTTCATATTTATTTTATTAAGGGATACAGACATCTTATCTAATTGTGGATTTAAAAATTCCAATAAATCAGAAATTTAAAAATATTATAATTTAACATTAATATAAGCAGGTTTTATAAAATTTGATTTTGTTTTGCTTTCCACATCAATACTATTATAAGCTTAAGAGAGAAACCCCAAAGAAGCATTTAAAGGGGTTTTTAATTTATGAGCAAATAAATCAGTAAATTATTTTTTAAACTGTAAAAACTTTTTTTTAGTTTATTTTAATGTGAAATTATCAATTTTCAAAAAAGCCAAAATCGACACATTTCCATTTTTTATTACTTTATACACAACTTTAAATTTTTATTTTATGTTTTTCTATACATCTATTTAAGAAGCTATGAAGTAATCGTAATCAGTATTTTCAATAAAATCTTATCCATTTATATATTCTAAAAAGGAATTACAATCTTGAAACAATAATTATTATTATTTTTTTGAGTTTTATTCTGAACTAGCTACAAATTCCTTGTCTGAATAACATTTTATATAGAACTATTGATTTTCATCCACTTATGTATTTTATGTGATTTATACATATAAATTATTTTCTAGTTGAGGCGAGCTGTTTGGTGTAATTTCTTTATAATTTGAATCAAATATTTTAATAATGATTTCTTTCTTCAACTCTTTCAGAATTTCATATTCAGCAGCTTCAACGATTGAAATTTAGCTGCCTACTCTAAGTATTTGATATAACAAATATGTTGTACAATATATAATAGATTGAAATTATGAAAATACTAAATTACCTTAATATTGAGATGAAAATAGAGCTATACCAAGAGTTACTTACAAGATTTTACTGTAGTATTATATTTTTTATTTCTCTGTTTAATAAATTTCTAAAAGACAAAACAATAGCCAGATAGATTAAGTTCCGTAATGAATAACTTGAATAATATTGTAGCAGAATAGATTAAAGTAAGTCATTAACTCTAATATTTAAAATTTCGTGATAAATACAAGTTAGGCTGACTATTAATTTTAGAATCCTTACTAATTTATAATGCAAGTAATGACGAACTACAAACTAGGATAGAAATTTGATTCTCAATAATCCCTTTAATAAGGTCAGTTAGAAATATAATTCCAAGCATAAGATGGAATTTCGCAGTTTATGTAATCATTTTAGTTAATATTAATGAATAACTTTTTAATTAATTATTTTAGATTTATGAAAATATAATGAAAACCTTGCATACTATAAAAATAAATTAAAGAATCACTCGATCTTTTGATAAATAAAATTATCAACATGCATTATTTGATGATTTATGCAAATTTAATTGTAAATAATTAATTTTTTTGGTCTATGAAAATTTTAATTATTTTTCTTGCATTTATTAATAAAACAAAAAAATTAAACACAAAAAATATAAGAGACTCATCATTTAATACTTTAAGAAATTCCTTTTTGTCCTAAAATAAAATTTTAAGATTTAAGTTTGATTTCATTGATTGTCAAAAATGTTTCTTGTAAACTTCTTTTAAATACAGGTTTAGCAATAATGCATATCATACCTGCTTCAATACATTCTTATTGTGTATCCTTATCATCATGAGCAGTGCAAGCGACTATTGGAATAAAATCAATTTCTCCATCCTACATTTATTATAAAAGTAATTTGGTAGCCTAAATATTTAATATATTTAATTAACTTTTAATCCTCCCATAATTGGCATATCTAAATCCATAAAAATAATTTTAATAGTTCTGTAATGTTTTTTGACTAATTCTATACATTATTAACCATGATAAGCACTAATAAAATTTTTAAATCCTAAACTTTTTAACATTAATTTGAGTGTATCATGATTGAATGGTTCATCATCAACTAACATTATAGTTTAATTAGTATCCTATCTAATATCAATAGAATCTATAACACGTTTAACATTGAATGAATGATCAAAAGCGACTGAAATAGTTAAAGATTTATCATTCATTTCTTTATGATAAACAGATTTATGAAAAGGAAAGATACTTTATTAAATAGGATGACTCTATAACATTGTACCTTTTGGAGAGTTCTATACCATTTGAGTACTTAATTAAAGTGGTTTATTTGCTAAAGGTTCTTCCTCTATCTCACATTCTTCTAATACTTTATCCCTACTTAAAATTTAATAACATTAATAAATACGATTATTAATTCTAATTTTTTAGAAATAATGATATATGATTAGGCATATGTTATTTAAAAGAACCAGAACTCTTCTATTAAAAACTTGAATTCTTTTAACTCATTTCTAGAGACTGTGGTATATTTACTTATTAACAATTTAAATTTATGAAAAATTAATAACTAGCTCCTTCATCTTAATTATGATTAATTTGTAATGAACATTGAAAATCACTTAAAAAATATATTAGTTTATTTGTTATTTATAATGTTAAGCTAAATTTAAATGTTGAACCTTTTACTATTGAATTACGAAATCCATTTATACATTAATTTTAAAGACGAGCAAAATTATTAATTTATTCAACTTATTCTTACTTAAATCCTTGAACATTATCATTTATTTTAAATTGTACCTAATTATTTTCAGACAAGATATCAACATTTAGTTGTATTTTACCCTTAATTTAGGTGTGTCTATAAGACTTGTTCAATAAATTAAATAGAATTCGTTCTAATCTTAATTAATCAGTTGTTAAATAAATTGGTCTATCATAAAGTGCAATAATCATAGTACCTCTCATTTGCATCAAATGGTTTAGAATTAACTGTGAATATTACTTAGATCTATTTGGCTCTGCATTATAATTCAATCATATCATATATCAATTACAAAGTCTTATGTAAATTAACCTTGCTCACCTAAAATGATACTAAATTATTTGAATTAACGTAATCTAAAATATCTTAAACCTAATAATATTAAATTTTAGAATTAATAAAAGCAGGCTTTAAAAAACTAGCCTTCACTTATTCATCTATAGTATTGTTTTCTTATACAATTGCCTATAAAAAACCCAAAGTAGTATTTAAGGGAGTCTTTAATTTATGAGTGAATATTTTAGCCAAACTCAATTTAAACTTTTCAATATTTTTGTTTTATTTTGATGGTATTTTATGTTCCAAATTAACAAAAGCTACTAAAGTATAAGATTTCATTAATTATTTAAATTATTCTATGTACAATCTATATTATTATTTATGTCCTGATATTTCATCAAGTTCAGAAGCTACAATAACTTTATTTTTTATTTAATTTTTATCTTTTGAGTAAAATTCAAGAAATCCTCCTAATGAATCAAATATTGAGGGTTTTGATGTCATTATTTACGATTCTTAAGCCATTTCAATTTATTACATTGTATAACATTTGATTTTAAGATCCTTTTTTATTTAATTTTGTAATTTCTGACTATCAGAGCGAGATGAAAATAATGTAGCATTTGAATTTAAAATTTACTCTGATTTTAAGGAGTTATCTCCATCGATTTCATTTTAGTTTTAATCAAATACATAATATCTAACATTTTTGATGATTTATTTGAGTATTCTATTTTGAGTTTAATTTTTAAGAAATGTGAAATTGTACTAATTATAAAGAAATATGATGATTAGAATCAATTATTCTAAAATTGTTTAAGTAAAAGTAATCTCCATAAATGGTTATACTTATGCACATGTAAATGCAAAAACAATAAATAAAGTTATATATTAAATTAGATGTTACTTCAACTATAGTGAAAAGATATTAAACCAAATAGCAGGGACTCCTCTTAGAAATAATTGATAACAGCAATAATAAATTACGAGGACTTGTTCAAAGATTATGTATTTTCTATGACTTTTATATTTGTAGAGCAAATAACCTTTTTATAAATATTAATATCATTTACATAACATTAACCCAAAGAGTATTGAATTGGATATGATTGTATACATTTCTAAGTTTGTAATTCCAAAAATTAAATTGAGTATAGAAATAAAGAACATTGTTTCATTTTAATTTCTAACAGAGCTGTGAATCATAATATATTTATAAGTAAAATTAATATTAACTTTTTGAATTGTATATATAAAGTTAAAAGACAAATAATGAATATAAAATGAGACTAATTTAATTTGAAATTTCTGAAATTCTCAATTTCTCAAATTTACTCTACTAATTTGATTTGTAATTTTAATAGTTTCAGTGGTAGTAAATTCTGAAGAATATATTATAAATAAATTAATATAAACTATTGTTATTAATGTAATAAGTGGAACCAATAATCACAAAATTGAGATTATAAGAATTAGATGAATATGAACCATTGAAGAGATTCTTATTGAATATACGGTTATTGATGACAATAATAATATAAATAGCCAAAAATAAAGATATCCCAGATCACATTTGGAGCTTTATTAATTTCAATATTGTGTACATTAATAGGTATAGCACCAAGAGTTGTTATTGGTTTAACTGGATGTTTGATACCATCAATTTAAGCAATAAATAAATATTAGAGATAAGGTATTTATAAGAAAGTAATAAAATGGAAATTAGGTGAGATTTACACATGCCTACCTTATTTTATAATATTTTCAACATATTTGACATTCTAAGGATGGATAATGTGGATCTTTTAATTTATACCATGTTTAAATACAATGTGTTTATTGTTTGTTATAGCACTTTATCATCCTGATGTACAATTATCAAATTAAATATGGAATTTATTGTAAAAAATATTATGAGTAGCAAATATAAACATCATATATAAAATAAATAAATAATTAAATGGATTAAACAATTTAGGAAATGATGGAAGATAAATCAATGAGTTTTAAGTTCTTGTTAGCTGTACAATAACATAGATACGAAGAAGCATATTAAATTGGCAAAGAAAGTACATTCTTTAGTGATTGTAGTTTTGAAAGTCAATCCATCTGATAAGAGCGTGAATCGTTTTATGTTATTTTTGCAATAAAATATGGGATATCGTAAGACATACACTTAATTTTTATGTCGATGGATTGTTTGATTTCTAAGAGGAAGAAGATGAAGATGACGAATTTGAATTAGAAGATGAAGAAGAAGAAGAAGAAGAAGAAGAACAGTTAGAGAATCTAGATGATTAAGAAGACGAAGAAGAGGAATATGAAGAATATGAAGAAGGAGAATAAATTTAATAAGATGAAGATTCAGAATATGAATGGGTTTATGAAGATGAAGGATTACAACAACAAGAAGGATTTGATCAACAAGAAAATACAGATGAAGATCAAAACTTTGTTTAAGAAGATACTAATGAAGGAGATATTAGTTTAAGTATGGATAAAAAAATTTAAGAAAAAAAATAATCATAATAATAATAATAATAATAATAATAATTATAAATTTAAAAAAGAGTTGTTTAATAAGCAAAACCAAAATCATCTATTCCTAATGGTGTTCCTACTTTACCTAAAGTAAAATAAAATATATATTAATAAATAGATACAGAATAAATAAAGACCCAATTCTTAATCTAAGTAATAAATTCAAAAACAATAACCATTATAATAGAATTTAATAAAATAAGCAGCAGTTAATTGTAATATTTAATAATAATATAAATAGAACTTCGTTTTCCAAGTAGTTTGGCTAAGAAGAAATGAAATGATTATTGAGAATTATAATGGATACTTATCAAAGCATTTTAATATAATAATTTTTAAGATTTAATTTTGAGAATATGAATTTTGAATTAAAGAAATAAATTGTCTGAAGTCCCAGAAATAAAAATAATATATCTAAATAATTTATTATGTCAGATAAGAGAGATGAATACACTTACATGGCTAGATTAGCTGAATAAACAGAAAGATGGGAAGACATGGTAAAAAGTGATTCTAAGAAAATAATAGGTTGAGAATATGAGAAAGGTAGCAGAGATCACTAAAGATTTGAATAATGAAGAGAGAAATCTACTTTCAATAGCATATAAGAATACAGTAGGATAGAGAAGAACTGCATGGAGAGCTATTACAGCATATGAGATAAAAGAGAAATAAAAGGTAAGATAAAGTTGCATTTTTTATAGATAGTGAAGTATTAAGAAGTACTTTAATATTACAAAGCAAGAGTTGAAAAAGAACTAGATTATTATTGCAATGAAGTTTTATAACTAATAGATCACACTTTATTGAAGAAAACAGCTAATACTGAGGCAAGAGTATTTTATCACAAAATGAAAGGAGATTATAATAGATATATTGCAGAATATTCATAATAAAAAGCTTAAGAAAAAGCTATTTAATAAGCTCAGTAGGCTTATTAAACAGCTTTAGAATTGATAGATAAAGACAAGTTTCCAAAAACCAATTTATTAAGATTAGGAGTAACTCTTAATTACTCAGTATTTTGTTATGAAATTATGAGTGATGTTGCTAAGGCTTGTGAATTGGCAAAGACTGTAAAAGATGATGTATTCAATCTCATTATATTAAGGCAATTAAAGAACTAGATGATATGGAGGAAGATCAATATAAAGATGTTACCACCATCTTATAATTGATAAATGATAATCTTACTAATTGGTAAGCTGAGTTACCTGATGAAGCAGGCAAAAAATGAATTCATTTAATATAATAATATTATTATTAACAAATACAAAAAACTTATTGATCATTTATGTATTTCTAACAATCTCTTTTAATCTTCTTTCAAAGATTCTGCCAAAGTTTTTGATAAATTTAATGAAAACTTTTTTACTATTCTTAATAAAGTTACAATTTAAGATTTTTTAAATTAGCTTAACTTAAAGATATAAAACTACTTTCTGACTAATTTAGATTCAAAAACCATTTGTTTTTAGAAGACTTCCATGATACCTTTTTCTAATTTCAAGAACTAATTATATGATAATGAGTATTTAATATAATTTTCAAAAGCATAAATAGTGAATAATTTAATTTTGATTTATTAACTTACAAAACCTTATAAAACAAAGTATGAAGATTTTGCTAATGTTTGTTAATAAATAAAAAGATTGTTAAGAATTTTAAATAAATATTCTCTTACACAATGACCATAGAATAGATATTTGATTTTGCCATTCATTCTGATTTTCATCTAAATATAGAGACCCTTCAATATTTTAAAAATCAATTAACTCTAAATTTTATGATGACTTTTGGAAGAAACTAATTGTTAAGTAAATAGAATGAAATAGTCTAATTCTAAATTACTAATGTCTAAAAAGATGGATTACAAATTCATATGATTATTTTTTCATAATTTATGTTTTCGTTATTTTGTAATCTAATTATGTGAAGAGAGTATTCTATAAATAATTTATAAAAGTTATTATTTATATTGATAATCATATATTATCATTCTAACTCTTCCAAATAATCCTTAACTTATGATGGAGGCAATATTCTAAATACATGATCATCTCTGATTACTCCAACTTCTATATTGGTAGGTGTTATTTAGCCTAAAGTTAATAAGTTGATAATAATACCTTCAAAACCTTCCTTCAAAGTTAATAATGCTGTATTAATTGCATCTTCAATTTCCATATCAGCATTATATCTCTTCTCTAAAAATGCCTTTGCATTCTTTGCTTACTTTCCAATAGCAGTAGCCTTCCAACTATAATAGGCACCACTTGGATCAAGTTAAACCAAATGTGGACCTTCTTCATCATATCCTCCTATCAGAATTGATACTCCAAATGGTCTAATACCACCTCTTTAAGTTGCTATTTGTACATCCTAATTTATTATCTATATATAATTCTGTACTTCTGCCAATTCTCTACTTAATGTTTATACAAACATTTCCTCTTGATATTTCAAATCATATTTCTTCACTAATTTTCTTGCTTATTATGATAACACTCTAAAGTCTGGACCCAATCCTGCATATGTAGCAGCAATATTATCTGTCAAAGGTGCAATCTTTTGAACACTTGATTCTTCAACCAATATTGATGATTGCTTCTTCTCTACTACCAAAACTACACCATTTTTAGCTTTAATTCCTATTGCTGTATCTCCTTTTGCAACAGCATTAAGAGCATATTCAATTTATAATAGTTTTCCTTTACTACTAAATGTTGTTAATGCGAAATCTGTCATACTGGTGTTTGTTTTTTAAATAATTTAATTAAATTAAATATATTTATGATGATATCTAACATGGCTAGTCATTTGACCTTGAGCCTTCAAAAAAGATTACAATTCTCTGATATATTGTTTATATTAGTATAGATACATCTATATATTAAGTATATAATGTCAATCAGAATGGCATTGGACTCTTTCTTAATAGATGTCTCTTTGATTTCTATATGTTTAACTAAAAGCGCATCAAATTAATTCTTGGAGTGTCCTTATCAATTCTTATTGTATGTTATTCTAACTGTTTAACAAATTTGGATGCTAAGTCTTCAAAATTCTTCTGTTCTGTTGATGTGTAATTCAAATATGAAGTTTTATTCATCTTAGATACCTAAGGGAATTTGGCCTTATCTAAAGTGGTCATCATATATGGTGATCTATCTATATCACTTAATAATTATGGAAGATTAGTTTATCGAAACTGTTTTGTAGATGTTTGTTACAATCTATTAACAGATTAACTAGTTATTTATTTAACATATTCTCCAAATGATTACTATTGATTTTTTTTCTACATCTACATTATATAATTAATGAATTGTTATAAGAAAGAAATCACAAAAAATTGGTTATTTTAAGAAGAAAAATATATAGAAAATATAGCTGGTGCTTTTGAAGTAATAAAATTGCATGAAGAAAGATAAGTATAAGCTGGAAATGCTCGTTAAAAACTTACAGAGAAGCTCTAAAAATATATAGATGAAGATCCAGAAGATTTACCTCCACATATTGCATCTTAACATGTTTTATCACTTGATGAATAATTATTAGATTATCCATGTTATAAAAAAGGTGGTATGTTTGGATCTGTAACATAAAGATAGTGTTAATTGTAAAAGACAACTCTTGGATAATCTAAGAAAGGTAATGTAATAACTAAAACTTTCGGTGATATTAAACTAATAGAAATTCAACATGTTGAAGATGCAACAAAAGATTTTAAATGGGATGTTAATTATCAAAAATTTCCTGCAAGACTTATGTTTAATTTTATAAAACATTCTCCAGTATGGATATATTTTAAAGATGATGAAGAAGCTTAAAAGTTTTATGATTATTTTAGGTGTCATCTAGCAATGACTAAAATTTAAAAATTACCTATAATAATTCAAGAATCTACATCACTGGTTAAAGAAAATTATTTTTCATTATTTGCACATAAATTAGAGACATACTCAATTCATGTAATTTAATAAAGAAAAAAAGCTGCTAAATTAGGTAAAGATGAAGCTAAATTCTTAATGGATATTGATATTAAAATTATAAGGAATATTTTACAAAAGAAATGGTTAGCTAAAAGTGTTTAATTTTTTAAAAGAGAAGAGAGAATGAATTAAATGGCTGAAGAAGAAAGAAATAAATTAGATTAGATTCGTTAATAAGATGAGAACAAAAAAATGAAATGGCGTTAATTTTTAGGATCTAAATCAGTATTAAATGTAGAATTAGCAGATTGGTTAAGACCTATGATGGCAGATTGGTTGGAAAAAAGTGAAGAAATATAAAACACATAAAAAGTTAGAGAATTAATATTTACTATTCTTATTAAATCAATAAATATTGGAGATGGAATTAAATTAATTAAACCAACAATTTTTGCAGAATTACAATCTGTTGAATAGGATTCTAAATTAACTATGGAAGCATTTTTAGGATAATAAAAGACAGATCATTTTTATAATTGGTTATTGCGAGAATAAAATTTTGAAAATAAAATAGTTGGTAAATAATAAGAGAGAAAACCTTGCACATTCATAATTTCAAATATAAATAATCAAGATCAATTTTCAATATAATTTAAAGATATGGTTAATGCTTTTTATGATACAGCAACTATTCCTTTTAAAATTATTGTTAAAGAATTACTCTAATAATCTTAGTAAGGAAGATCAATATGGATACCTTTAAAATTAGTGTAAACGAATTCATTAAAAACAGAAACTAAAGAGAGTATTATATATGTAGAAATTGATATACATGTTAAACCTTCAATTATGATGCATAATCCAAAATCATATGAAGAAGAATTAGAATATATTGTTGAACATAGTCTTGCTTTTTCAGATCCAATATATTTGAGTACTATTTAAATTCCAAAAATGAATAAAGATATCATGAAATTTATTCTAATCACATTAGAAGAAAGTAATATTTGTATGAAATAAAGCATGTAGATGCTGAGTTATATTTTATTCTTATAATAAAAGAATCCAGAAACTCTTAATAAATAAATGTAACAATTATAAATGGTATTCATTCGAAAGGTTATATTGAATTTATGCCATAATTTTGGATTAATGGAAAAACAAATAAAATAATATGAATTGGTTTCATATCGTTTAGAATCAATGAATTTCTATAATATCAAGAATCCTCAAGTATAGGAATTAGTTAATGGACTCTTTTTAATGGGTATACCTTATTATCTAAGAAATAAGTTATGGTTTTAATTATTGTAAATATCTTTTGATCCTATTAAAAAAATATTAAGTGAAAATTATAAAATTAATCTAGAAAGAGAGGATGGTTTCAATGAAAGTGTTTCTCTTTATTTAAAATTATCATCATTAAAATAACATTTAAAAAAAACTTTGATTTAATAAATTGACATTTATTTGAGACAAGAGGATAGTAGAAAAGGATTTGGAAATGAACAATTTTATCATTAATTAAAGAATCTTTTAATTTGTTTCTTGTTATATCAAGGAAATTAAGGATTAATACCAAATTAGATCTATATCCATCATTTATTTACTTTAGCTAAAAAAATGTTAGCTATGTAAATTTATTATCATGTCAGATACAATGAATATACTGAATTTGGTAATGAAACTAAATAAACTCCTTCTGATTTAATCAATGAGAGTAGAGCCTTTTGGCTTTTAGTTGGTTTTCATAATTAAGTTTTAATTGATTATCCATTATATGAAGATTAAACTTTATAAAATCGATTATTCTTAGAATAATGTGCTAAATTAAGAGTTTATCTAAATAAAAAACATTAGGATTTATTTAATAAAATGTTTTTATATGGAATTGAAGTGGAAAATGAATTATATGAATTATTTTTCAATCTTTTTTCTGATGTATTACCTTCAGAAACTTTATATAGATCATGGGATCTAATTATTTATTAATAATAACAATCTATTAAAGCAACCTCAGAAAGAGGAAATATTATTATTTCAATAACTGCTGCTCTTTTATTAAGAGTGCATAAAAAAATTAATAATATTTCAAATCATCTAGCTTTCTTGGCAGCAATTAAAGTAGAAGCAATGTTAATTAATGATGTTACTGAATTTCTAACTGAAGTATTATAAGTTTAGAAAGAATTAAATTTAGCTGTACAAATTGAATATTAAGAAGAAGGACCTCCAAAATTAGAACCATAAGTAGAATATAAAAGTAAAAATATTTCATATCATTATTACCTTTAGTTAAATCAGATTATAGAATTTTCGATGTTTTAGATGAAAAACATCCCAAAGGTTCATAATAAATGCAAGTGTATTAGTATTTAAATTTTATTGATTTTTGAAACTATATTAAAATTTAGAATTCAAAAAAGATACTTAATTATTATCAATGAAATACTTTATATTTCAATCATTCAATTAATATATAATCTGGGCTTGTAGCACAATTGGTAGTGCGCCTGACTACGGATCAGGCGGTTGCAGTTTCGAGTACTGCCAAGCTCGAATTTTTTATTTTTCAATAATACAATAAATTATATATAATATAAATAGCATAATGAATATTTAAAAATTAAAAGAGGAATTTTATTATAGTTAAATATAACTCATTGTTAAAAAATTATATGAGTTATTAAAAGTGGTACACATTACTTCCTTTCTTCGGAAGTTAAAAATGGGAGTAAATTTTCATAATTGGGACCATATTTGTATTCAATTACATCTATATTCATCTTTTTTAACTAATATAGATTATATAAAAATAACTTACAGCAGAACGCAAAATATCTAATGTCCTTTTCATTTTGTCTTATCCTATTTATTTTTCAATTTTAATAAGAATTGTATTGCGTTAATCAAGTTAACTTATAAATTCTAAACAATCTTCATCTACTTTAGTGATAGGTTTGCCATATTATTATTATTTCTTAACATTTTTATCGCATGATTCATCTTCATCATCTTCTCTATCTTCAATTTAAGGTATTTGTAAAGCATTATAATCTTAATAATTTTCTTTTCCATTATAATTACCCTATTTTTCAGGTTAATTATTTTTATTTTTATCAATCTATACTAGTCCATATAATTCTTGAAGCATGAGATCTAAATCTTTATTTTTCTATTAAACAATTTCTAATAAACTAGATTTTGGTTTAATTTACACCCTTGAATCTTTTTATTGTTTTCCTCCAAATTAAGGTGATTTTTCTAGAGGTTTGATTTCAATATTTTTTTAATTATAAATATCTTTTTAAATTTATTATTTTTCTTATGATTATTTCTTTTCATTTATAATTTAATTTTCTACTAGTTAAGCTTCCTTATCTCTTTTTTCCAATTCTATTTATTTTTACTATGATTATTATTTAATTTTTAATTATCGAATTCTTTCTTCTTATCGTTATATATTATTAAAACCTTAATCCTATTCATCTTAATATTTGACAGGAGGATATTTATCTACACTAGTAGGTCTTTTTTTTTCAATAATAATTTTTTAAGGTTTTTTTTAATCAGGTATTTATTGCCTTGAACTTTAGGGTCTTTAACTATTAGGAGGAAGATTTTTATCTTTTGGAGCAGTAGGAAGTCTAGATATAAGAAATAAATATTAACCTTGGTTATTCCATAAGTTTTTAAGGAATTTTAGGTGAAATTAGTTATTCAATTTTTTATTCATCTTAACCTTATTCACTTTTTAAATGTTTTTTTTATGGTTAAACATCAAATTTATTAGGTTAACTTTTTTATTATAGTTTATCTTAATCATTTTTAGGTTGAACTTATTATTATTATTATTATTATAATAGAGGAGATTATTTTTTTGATTCAATAATAATTTCTTTTTATGAATCTTTCTTTTAAATAATTGGAGAATTTTTAGTAATAATAGGTTCTAATTTTTTAGGAATATCATTTTATTTAGGAATATCATTTTATTTAGGAATATCGTTTTATTTAGGAATTTCCCAAGAAATGGGTTTAGGTAATTCATTAATTTTAGGAGCTTCTTAAATTTATCTAGATGATGGTAATTCTTATTGTTTAGATACAGGTTGCTTAGATATTTATGGAGGTCTTAAAATAAAAGGATCTTATATTTATGGTTATGGTTATGGTTATGATTATGGTTTCTTAACAATTTCAGGGAATTCTTAGAGATTTTTTGAATTCAATTCTAAAAGTTAAGGTGGACAAGGTTTCTCATTAAGAATAAGATTGATTTAATCAAGATTTCCTTTGATTTCAAAATTCTAATGAATATATATATGATTACTCTATTATGAAGAATAGTATGTGAGAATTCTTATTTTTAAATAGTTTCACTAAGAAAGCTTTTAATTCTATTTATGATAACAGGCATTTCTAATGATAGATATAATAATTACTTAGAATCTCCTGAATGGTTGGTCTACGTTTATAATCTACTTAAAGTAATTATGTAACAAGTTATCTTAATTCTTTGGAATAATGATTAGGAATTTGTTTATATTAGCCTTTGACAATATTTAAAGCTAAGAAATGAAGAGATTCTGCTTTAAAAGGTGGTTATAATGCACAAAGTTCATAAAGTATAACACCCAAAGACCAGATATCTGTCATAAAGGTATATGGTTTTCCTTCAATAATTTCAGGACTAATGTAATATGGAGTTCCAACCATAGTTTTAGCTTTTTCAATAGTTTTTTTAAGAACTCTAGCTATTCCAAAATCTCCTAATTTAACTTAACCTGTTTTAGTTAAGAAAATGTTTTAGCATTTTAAATCTCTATGAATTATCTTTCTATCATGAACATGTTTTATAGCTAAACATATCTAAGTAAACCAATCTAAAATTAATGATTCAGGTAGATATTTTCCTTTAGCTTCCTTCACTTTCTAAGACAAATCCCCACCTTACTTAAATCATCAAATTTACCATCTGCGTACTCCATAACAATACATAAACGTCCCTTTTTAGTTCTATACACTTCTTTAAATCTAACAATATTTGGATGATGTAAAAATTCAAGAATTTTAGCTTCTCTCAAAGTTTCTTCCTTTTCTTATTGTGTCATAGATGCTAAATCCATATATTTAGTAACCCATAATGAACTATTTAAGTATATTTTTTACTTATCTTGAAGACATTCAACTAAATAAGCTTTTCCAAATGAACCTTCTCCTAGTAATTTTAAACGTTTGTACAGTTCGAATTCTGCTTATTTTCTCATTTTAAATAATTATTGTTAAAAAACAAATTCAATAATTCAACTTCTGCTCTCCTCACTCTTCCATATAATTTTGGTTGATTACTTCCCAATTATTTAATAAAAAATGGATCATGTGATTCAGAAACTTCGAAATATTTCTTTAATTATGGTCTCAATATTTCATAATCTGAATAGAATCTTTCACAATATAAAATATTATCATCTAAGCAAAATTGAATGTTCAAATTCTTATGTTCAACATATTGTTACCATTTTACTATACTCTCCAAAGTATTTAATGATAATATTCTGTAATCACTAATAAGTTCTTTTAATTTCTCTCTCTCTCTCTCCTCCTATTGTTATGATTATCTTAATAAATTCAATATCTAATTCAAACAATTCTCTCTTGCTGTTATTGTAAACATACAATGTAATATTGGAGATAACTTCTAATCCATTAATTTAAGTTCCTCCTCTAATACACTTAATTTATCATTTGAACAAGCCAATATCTAATTAAATACATTCTACTTATATTTTAATTCATACTTAATGTATTCTCGGAACATTATATAATTTATGTACCTATTTAACTTATTCCAATTTTGTTTCAAATATTTTTTGTTCACATTCAATCAAGTTTTCTAATTCCTATTAGTTTTTATGCATTTCTATATATTTCTAAACTATTGAAGCTGTTCCACCATTTATTTATGGCAGAAACTTTTTATTTGATTATTCTCTCTATACAACTCCTAAAATCTATTCAGATATAACAATCCTATTATTCCATCCTTTTTCCTAAAAAACCATTATGAAGCTCAACTTACTCTTTAAGAAAATATTTTTTTTAATGAACTTGATTTGGTACTTTTTTTTTGAAAATATTCTTGACTTTGAACTTTACTTATATTTTTCATTTTTTTATATATATAATCATCCATTATAAATTAACTATATTAATTTTCAATTAAAACATTACTCTTCTCAATTATATATTTATACTAATAAATGGTTAAGATTTTTCATTTTCTAAAGTTTTTAATATATAATATATAACAAATTCATCTTCTTATTCGGATTAATATGAAATTGATAATAGAATTTTTATTTTACAATTATTATAAATTTATTGTAATAATTTTTTTGACAAAATATTTGTGTGCTTAATCAAAATAAAAAAGAGCTGTTTATAAAAGTAATCCAAATAATTTAATACATTTTTATTTTGTTAATGCCACCAAGAAAAACTTAAACGATAAAAGAAGTTATGAAAGAGAGTTAACCAATAATTGAATAAAAATTGGGAGCAACCAGAAGTAAGAAAGTTAAAAAAAATGAATCAGAAGAAGATTCTGATTATGTTACTGCTTCTAGTAAATCTAAACAAAAAAACTCTAACGCTTCATCAAAAGTTAAATCTACCTCAAATAAACAAAAAGAATCTCTAAATTAATCAAAAGATGATCTTTAAGATAAATTGTCTCCTGAACTTAAACCTTCCAATCAACGTCAAAAAGCAAGAACTAAGGCTGAAAAAGTATAAGATAAACATAAGTATGATTATTTTAGTTAATTTTGTTCTAGTGCCAAAACAACTTAAGTGTAATCCAAATAATAGAATGAAGATGAAAACAAAAATCATGATTAATAGAATAATCAAGATAATAAAAAGGAATCAGATTAACAAAGAAATTAATTAGAGGAAGAAAACAAAGAAGTCGATCTAAATTAAAATAAAGGAAATGCTATTGATAAAAATTAATGTGAAAATAAAGAGGAACTTAATAAAAATTAAGAATCTAATAATAAATCTAATGAGAATAACATTGTGTAAGAAAACAAGGATCCTAATGAAAAAGAGAATTAAGATAAAGAAAATAATAATAAAGAAGACAATTAAGAAGATTAAAATAAAAAAGCAGATGAAAATTAAAATTAAAATTAAAATTAGAATGAAAGAGATAATATCTAAGAATTGGGTAATAAGGATAATTAGGAAAATCTTATTAATTAGTAGATTATCGAAACTGATTAGAAAGTTATGATCCCTCAAATTTTAGTAAGTGCTCCAGAAAATGAAGTTAATAATAAACATGAATAATAAAAAGAAAAGTAAGGTAATGAGGAGGAAGAAAAAGAATAATTAGATAAATAATAAACTATTGTTTAACCAATAAAGAATTAAGAATAAACAGAATAAATAGTAACAGTGGATATAGTATTTTGTTGTCATATCAATCTTTTAGATAATTGCAGTGCTGAATAATTAAAAGTAATAACAATATTATATTTTAGAATGCCATAGAATTTATAATATAATAATTGAAAGAGAGGGAAAAGTTGACTTCGAACATTAAGTTTAGTATAGTACGTTTCAATGATATAATAACTAATGAGAAGTTACAATAATGTTAGGTAATTGATTTATGTGATGAATGTGATATTCTATAGAGTCTTGATGAAATAAAAGAGATTGAATAGGTAGAAATAAAAAAAGGATTATATTATGGTTTAAAAGTTGCTTCTTCTATGACTAAATGGAGAAAAGAAAACAACAGTAAAAGCTTTAGATACATTATTCATATTGCAAATTAATAATTAGAAATAGATAATTAATCAGAAGAATTGGAAAGAATAATTTAAGATATGAATAATTAGAATATTAGATACAAATATTTAAGAATAGATAAAAAAATTGATTTAGATTTTGATGGTAAGCTATATTTTCAAAAGAAATTGAACAGTTATGAAGAAAGTTATTTGAAAGAATTTGGATGTCTTAAAAATGTTCTTAGTAGCATTATATTAAGAGAGCTTCTTCATGAGAATAATAAATGATTTTTATTATTATAAACATATTATAAATTATAAGATCATCATATTTTAATTAATTTTATTAATCTATATCTATTTTTATTTAATATTCATAATATACAACAAATATCTATAATAATAAATCAAGGAATACAACTATCATTTGGAATTAAAGTTTGTATATGAAATTAAAATTAAATGTGTAAATTTTTGATTATCATCTAATAAATTTTATCAAATTGGTTTCGATTAAATTTTTGGGTTTTAAATAACATGTAAATTGACATCTAGAAAATGTAACTATGATATCATTAAGTAACTTTTATTCACTCTCTTATTCTCTTTAAATTATTGTGTTTATTGAATTAACATTTAAATGACTGATATTTTGTCTATTCAATATTTGAATAACAATACATTTTTGAATTTTTAAAAGCAACAGATATTATATAATTAATCCTCAATAATTTTAATAAATTCTCAATTATATATAATTGGTTTCAAATTACCGATAAAAAAGAAAGTGATATTAGTAATCAAAAAAAATTAATTATTACACTAATTATTTATAATTAAAGATTGAAAATTTTTATGAATGTATTCAAAGATATTAAAATAAGATATACAAAATTCTCAATTTCTGAATTAAGTGCTATTATATAATCAATCTTTATTCTAATTTTATTCATCTTCATCCAATAATCTTGCCAATTCTAACTTTAATATTTTATGTGCTATTAGAATTGGTCTCACATTTTAGTAATCATTTTTCTAATGCATAATCCTCTTTTCTAATGTATATAAAATATTAACCCATTCCTAATAGATCTCTTATGTAACAAATGGTTATAATTGAGTCAACAAACCTTAAATCTCTTATTTGTATTAATTCCATGTTTTCACTAAATTATCGAATATCTATTCCATATTAGCTTCTTTACCAATGAAATCATTAAGAGAATTTTCAGTAAAAATTTATTAATTTACACAAACAGATGTGAATCGATTAAATGATAAATTCTTTTCACCTTAATGAATAATATCTGCTTATTCATCGAATAAATCTAATGCTTCTTAGAAATTAAATTTATCACTTTCTATATGTCTAAACAATGTTAAGAATTCATTGTGATTAATCTTTTTATTACCATCTAAATCAGCTGCTTAAAAAGCATGAATTACAAATAATTTTGTTCTATGAGTAACATTCCTATATTTATCAAGAACTTTTGACATAAATAAATCTAAATCAACAATTCCTGCTTTATTTTTAGAATCACTTTCTTTTAGATTATCTAAATCACCTCGCAATTCCTTAATTTCATCCTCTGTTAATTTATTTTCTAGATGCATTTTTATATAACTATTATATAATACTAAATTATTTACTCTAAAGCTCTTAAATAAGGAACATAGAATTTTGATTCACTATCACCTTAAACAATGTTAACACCAAGAGTAGTTTGACTGTGAATATATTCTAATCCTGATAATAGAAATGCAGATTCTTCTTAAGTAAAATTCAAATGTTCATCATGTAATAGACATAATAATCTAGCAAATAAATTCACTCTAAAAATCTGACTAAAATGGATCACTGATAATAGAAACTATAAATATTTCTTTTCTGCTACATGTTTAAAACCATATTTATTAAGAAAGAAATTAAATACAAAAATTTACATATCAGCTTCACCTCCAAAAGATGTTTTTTCTAAATATATTTGAGATATTGTTCTTAATACATTTTTAACTGGCCAATAAGCAACAACCTTTTTAAATAAATGAGATTAATCTCTAGCTTTAATAGCCAATAACACTCCAGGATGAGTTAATCTATCTATTGTTGGCATTTGCTTCATTTATCTTGTAGCAAAATTTAATCTTAATGCTCTTTATATTTTTCCTTTCCTTCTCTTTATTGCCTCTTACTTTTTCTCTTCCTTCTCTTTTTCTTCATCCAAAACATATTCTTCTTCTAAAATTTCTTTATCATTTTAAATTTTCTTTCTCAAAGATTCAAATTCAAATAAGAATTCTTCTGCAATTTAAGTATGTGTTTTAAATTAAGTTTTCAATATATGAACTGTTAATTTTCTTGCAAATAATAATACTTATGTCAATAATTCATTTGTTTCATTCATCCTAGATGTTGCATTCTATGCTTTCTACTTTTATATTTAGTAAAGTAACATCAACATAGTTGTTTATTATTTTGATAAATTAGGTTATTAATTAGATTCTAATTTATCATTTTAATCTATTACAATAAGATTATTAAATTATGTTATTTATTATTATTATTATTATTATTATGATTATTATTATTATTATTATTATTATTATGATTATTATGAAACACTCATTTTCTTTTTCTTTTGTCCCTGTTTTTCTTGTGAAATAATATTTTTTTTATCTTAATTTTCATTTGATGGGAAATATCTTTAATTGTTAGCTGATGTCTATTACTATTACTAAATAGGAGCTTATTATTTTTGATTAGATTTAGTTGTATCAGTTTTACATGCATTAATTTGATTTATTTAAGAATTGGCTTAAGGTGATAATTTAATTAATTTTTATGATGATTATTATGAATTCTATTAAGTATTATTAGAACTAGATGGTTGTTGTACTACTAATTTAACATTTAATAGTTTTTCTGAATTAAATTTATCTAATTCTTTGATTAACTTTTCAGATGTCTCTGATTTATCACTCTGTTATTTTTTCTCCAAAATAATATCTTATTTTCTTCTACTTAACATATTAGGTGAACCTTCATCATATTCTGGCACTTCATATATTCTATCAATTTTAGTAATACCTCTACTCTCATAATCATGAATAGAAGGTTCATCTGGATGCATATTCATTTAATCACATAAACCATCCAACCAACTCTACTATTCTAATTATTATTTAAGTTCAAATTCTCTAAATGTATTTTCTATTTCTTAAGTAGATAAAAACTTATCATATTAAGGAGACATTAATTGTAGATCTGTTTATGTCTCTATAACACACAAACATTTCTAAAATGTTTAAATACCAATACTATGACATACAATAGGTAATACTTCTATTGCATCCTTAACAATTACATCTTAAATTTGTTCAAATTTATTTTATTGATTCAATTCTTTAAGTACTTAAGATAATGATAAATCTTATTCTTCTATAACATCATCTGACTTATTTAATGAAGAATATTTATGTTAATTCTTTTTTGATAATTAATGTTTTAATTAATCAATTTCTCTCTACAAATTACCAATCATATTGGCTGCACTTTTTTATATCGTCTATTATAAATTGATTTTATTTTATAATTTATTAATTGTTTATTAATAACTAATACGTTCTGAATTGATCATATTTTCCTTCTACTTCAATACCTCTAATTCCTATTTCAATTAATTAATGTGAATTTATGAACGAATTTCTATTTCCTCTTTTTTCTTGGTCTCATCAATATCCTTCTCAATTAATTAATATTTTAAAATTCTTTTTTCTTATTCATTTATCATAAAATGTTTATGAAATACTAAAATATAACCTTTGATTAAGGAATGCAATAATTATCCTCTTTCAGCACATTGATATGATATTTATCTGATAATTTCTAGAAGACATAAATGAAGTGCTTCAGATAAAGATATTAATTTATATTTAAAATCTTAGTTTGAATACTGAATTGATTCCATAAAGTTCATAAACCATTATTTAAGCATAATAGCATCTCTTCTACCAGTAGGTTAGGTAGAAAAAAAACTACTTGATTACTATTTGAGAGAAACCAAAGTAGGAGTGCAATTAATTGCTTTAAATAATGATTATTTAAGAGATTCTAAAATATGACTACGATCATCATCTTTATACAATCCTTAGATGATTTGTTCAAAATTAAGTTCTGATATTTGTTCTAAAATAGGTAATATTTAATTATCATTAAATTATTCTGGAGGGGAATCTAATTTCTCTTCTGTCTTAACTCTCAATTGATTACTAAGATAAGCTTGATTTTATTTTCTAATTCTCTATTGTTATACATATTATTATAAATGAAGTTCACCTAATAACTATTTCTATTTAATATGTTCCTAAAAGCGAGCACTATTCTGACTATCAGTAAGATGTGAAATATCTCTGGTCCTAGTCTTCATTGATGTCATAGTTCTATTATTTAAAGACTTCAAAGAAATGGTATGATCTTTCATAAAATTAATATAAATAATTATTGTAAAATAACCTAATCAATTATATTTCTAATGGAGGTAATCTTATATCAATAGAATCATTATAGATTATGGTGCCACTCTTGAAAAGTATACAAATAATCCAACCCATAATCCTAATAACTTCTCTCTTTTTATGGTCTTAACAAAACAATCCATCACACCGGTATATGGCATTGAACCATCTCCTAAACATTTCATCTTCTAAAGTTTAGTCTTCACATTGTCAAAAGGTAATGAAATCACAGAAGAGATTATTCCTGCTCCACATGATGCTCTATATATATATAAATATACAATTTTTTACATTATCCTATCAAATGTGCTTTCTATTTTTGAATCTTTTAATTGCATACTCATTTATTTCAATTAATCATATGTAGTTAATTATCCTATTGTTATTGCGACAGCTCTAGTTACAGTTGGCATAGATCCTTTCCAAAAAGCTAAAATTCCTTCTTCTTTATAAATTCTTGCTAAAGCTTCAAAAGCATTTTTATAATTCCTTCTTTCCTCAATTGGCAATGATTAATCTGCTTAAAATCTAATCAAGCAAACATCTGTTGGATTCCCTACTAATGCTCCAATAAATCCAGCTAATGAAGATGCTCCTACTTTCTCAATAAAACTTAAATCACCTTAAATATTTAATTGTAATATATACGTTATTATTATTTCTTCACTTTCTCTGTGATTATTTTAAATATTCCAAGACGAGTAGTAGTATATGTTAATTATCTCAATAATGCAGAACCAAGTCTAGAATATTAATATAATCTACCCTGAATAAAATCCTCCTAGTCCCTCTTTTTGGAGCATATCCTTACAAATTTAAAATAAGTTCTTCTTATGACTGACCAATCCAAGGCCCAAGTTTTCACTCTAAATTTGGATTCTCACTTTTAAAGTATCTATAGGCATTATTATAGCTGCAGCTGAGCATCCTGAAATTGCTCCAAATAAGAAAGGTTTAAAATAGGAGGATCTCTTAGATTCAGTCATAAGAGAATGTTAATATATTTATAATAATAAACAAAAAATAAATTATTTAAATTATTCTTAAAAGAGAATAATTACAATAATAAGAGAGTAATTTTATAATCTAAAATACGAATTATAATAATCTTAAACAAAAAATAAATTTTAATTTTTGAATATAAAAGAGAATATTTATAATAATAATTAAGAAGTATCTTAGAAGTTATTAATTAATAATAATAAACAAATTAATTTGAAGTAATTATCATCAAAAAAGAGAATAATAATAATAAACAAAATTTTGTATATATAATCATTCTCCTTTGCCATATAGAATATCTATTTCTCTGTGATTAAGTCCTTTAGTTTCTTTTACAAAAAAATAACTAAATATCAAACAGAGAAATGTTAAAATAGTAAACAATATAAATGATCCTGTCATAGACATACCCTCTAACATAAATGGAAAAACATAAAGCATAAATAATTGCCACACAAACACTGAAATAATACAAAAATAAGTTCCTTCTGATGAATTGATTTCAGGTGTCATTGACTATGATATATAAAATAATAGATTACCCAACAAATTGGAGATATTGTTAAAGCATATACAAATGCAAACAAACATAGAACTATGAATTTAATAATAACTGCAGCACTATTCTCAGTATAACTTAATCCAATTACAATAATTTAGCAACAGATAATAAAAATGAGACCAAAAATTAATAAAGATCTCTTACCCCATTTACCATAGAAAAATTTGGATACATATGCAGGTAATTATTATGAAATGCCTAAAATAAGAGAGAATATAGTATTTAGTGTTAAATCATTATCAACCATAGAAGCAAAGAATTATGAACTGTAAGAAAAGACTGCAAAAATTCCACACCATGTATAAATAAACATTAAAACACATCCGATTGCAACAGTTGTACCATGTTTTTTTGAAAATATACTTGATAATCCTTCTCGATGTTCTTCATTATATTGAACTCTCAATTATGCTTTTAAAAATGCTTATTCAACTGATTTTTATGTGTATAATCTCTCTACAACATTTTTAGCCTGTAATTACATTCCTTTCTCGAGTAATGATATAGGACTATCCATTTTGTAAATCACTGTTACTATTAATTATCTAAAAAAGAACACAACTGGAGGTACAGCAAACATAACTTACCACCAATGAGTATCAGGTCCTCTTAAATCATCATTCAAATAACCCAATCCAAATATAAAAGCTACTAATACTCCTATCCCTATCAAAAATCCTGCCATCACAGAAAATCTCTCATAATATTTTTAAGGACATAATTCCTTTATGTATATTGGCATAACTATACATGATATCCCATTACATACTCCATACATAAATCTAAATGCTAATATCATCTCACGTATTGGAACCAATGATAAAATACTTAACATTCCACAAATATCTGCTACTATAAGTGTCTAATTCCTAGTCAATATCTACATTAGAAAATGTGAAGAAACTGCACCAACTATACATCCTATAGGTAATATTGCACTAAATAACCCTTATTCTTCGTTCTTACTCCCTTTTAAATTTCTAGTTAAATTATTGAAAAATCATCTTACATCTAATCAAAAACTGTATCAAAAGATAGAGTTAAATATGTTATTGCATATCCAAATGTAAAACTTCCACTCATTATACCTATCATTATTATTGTTAAATCTCCTATTGAATTCACCTCCTCATCTTTTTCGTTAAACAATTAAACAGTTCCTCTTTTCTAATTTATGTTATGCCCATTTTTGCTAATCATCTCCTTTGATATTGCAGATTAATTCATCTCTGTTTACAAATACTCTATCTCTTACGTTTGCAGAGGTATTACTTATGATGCCATACAATTTTAATAAATTTATAACTTAATTGTTAAATGAGATCATTTTACAATCAACTAATATATTACTTTATATATCTTTATCATCATATTACAATTATGTTAAATCTCACCTTCTTTTCTTGCTTTTTTCATTCTCTTATCTCATTAAATAATATCCATTTCTATTTTTAATAAATTCTCCTTCTATTTCACCAACCATTTCAAAATAATCCATCATTCATACTCCCTCTATTATTCAAACTAATTAGTCTTTTTTATAGAACTTATTTTACTTTTTTATTAGATGTTGTATTAATTTTTTATTTCTTTTTAAAATATTCAATAATACTTATCTCGATTAATTTTTCAGGCATTTAAAAAAAATACATAAAAATTTCTTCAAAGAAGGACAAAAGAGCTTACTTATTATTCATTATTAATAATATGAATATTAATTAAAAGCAAATATTAAATTTATTATTAATTAAAAAATTTTTAAAGCAATTTGGATTGATTTCAATCTAGAAATGGAAAATCTAAACTTTTTTATAAACATTATTATTAAGCCAAGTTCTTTTTTATAGAGTTATAATGTTAATAGATGACTTATAATATAATCATAATAAAATAAATTAAAATTTACATATCATACTAAAAGAAATAATATTCTATTTTGAAATCATTTAACGAAAATTATGTTAGTTATGGAATTTCATACTTGTTTTGATAAACTTTTTTCATATATTTGCTTTTTTTTTGTTATTCTAACAATGTACAACATTGATATTCTTATTTTTTGATCTAAGAACTAAATAATATAGAATTAAATCAAAGGTCTGCCAATACATTTATTTAAATGGTGTATTTATCCAAGCTATTTTAAAAGTAAAGGACTTGCTTGAATTTCAAGTATAAAATATTTGAGATATTTTCTTAAAATTAAATTTTATTATAGTGATAGATATTATTTTTAAAAGGATTATTATAACTACTTTAATTATAAATTAAGTTTTTTCTTGAAAATCAAATTTATTATTGGTGATAATAAATTTAAATAAAATAACTCTTATGTATATTTATTAGAATATAATGCATTAAATGATAAATTCATTTTTTTAGATTTCTCTATTTCTATTTTATTTTTTTCATTTAGACTTTTTAAATTATAATTTATCTTCAAAATAAATAAAAATTTTGAAATCCTCTCCAAATTAATGGAAGTTTGAAACTCTTGTTGATAGATTTTTCTGCCATTTAATATCATTTCAGTTTCATTTAATATTTAAAACCCTATTTTATATAAAAATAGAAATTCACAAAACTTAATAAGTATTTTCAGAAAAAGTTATTATCAAGCAACTTAAAATATATATTTTTAACATAAAACATTGAATATAGAGGTCTTCTTATATGATGTTTTAATTAATAGGAACTTTTTAATATAATAAATTTTCTTTAATTAAGGATTAAAATAATTTTTTTTTATATTAAGTAATTATAAAAGTATCAAAATGTAGAAGAAATAATATAAGGAAAAAGAAAGAGTGATTTATATGTAGGAAAATTTTTCTGTTAGTATTAAAGTAATAAAAATCCAATAAAGGAAGAAGATAAATTAAAAGTGAAAATAAAATTTTTTTAGTAGAATAAGAATATAGCATCATTGAAGAAGAAAACTTTACATATTGTAAGCAGTAAAATAACTTCTAATGAGTAAGAAAGAATTGTTTGTAATGTAAGAAAGGGAAAAGAAATAATTCAAAAAGTATATAATAATCATGGCAATATTTCTCACTTATATGATGAAATATGGTTTTTTTATTAAACGCTGGTTATGTTAAATTAGGTGTGTAAATAAACAGAATGAATGAATCTAAGCTTGAAGTTGCAGAAGTTTCAGTTTATATTACTTAATTGGCTATAGATGATGATTATGAAATGAAGATAGCTAGATAAAATAAAAAAACACAATATGAAAAAAATATATAAGAAAATCAATTAGAGTTTTTAAAATATGCAAGACTGTCTATGCTATTGATGTTTGATTTTATGAATGTATCAATAGAAGAATATTGTTTAATTAAATAGAGTAAATAATTTAAGATATTTTTTGCTCAATATTGTTAATTTTTTAGGAAATATTAAGATGATTTTTAAGTAAAGAGTTTGCTTAAATCATATCATAGACCTATAATAGAGATAAGATAGTAATAATAATTTGAAAGTTATCTGAATAATCAGAGATTTAATAATAATTTATTTGAAAAATCATTGATATAGGACTTAGCACTTTATTAAACAGATTCTTTAAATTATATTTCTTAGTATAATAAGCCGTTTTCTCCAATAATAGAAAAGATAGATCCACTTTGTCATATATTATTTTAAAGGATAGGTTTAGAATTTTTTGAATTTGTTTAATTATTTATAAAACGATCTTAAAATTCAATTAAAATTTAATAAATAGACTTTCACAATGAATATGTTTTGAAGACAGTATTTTTGAGCACACATAGGATGTCTTAAAATATTTCCAAAGACCTAATTTATATAAGATAACATTCAAAATTAATTAGAGCAAGAGTATTAATAACAAATGTCTTTAAAGAATTTATTGATAATAAATTCTTATTATTAAGTGATAATAATATAAAATTATATTCATAATAAAAGGATGCAATTAATAATTTATATCTTATTGATTATAAAGTAAATAGTTAAGGGAATAATTTAAGTTATATATTTATTGAATACAGTGAAACAAAAAAGATTGAACAAAGGAAATAATTATAAGAAATAATTAAGGAAAAAATAAAATCGTAGAGTGAAAATTTAGTAGAGAATAAAAAAGATATAAATGACATGTTTATATTTAATAAAATGATTCTGGAAGAATATGAAACACCAAAATTAATGAGTTCTGAACTAAAGAAACATTAAAAGGAAGCATTATATTGGATGCTTTATAGAGAAGGAAGAATAAATGATAAAAAAATGAAATAGAAGTAACGTTTATCTCCTTTATGGTAGGAGTATAAATTAATAGGTGGTGAATCGTTATATGTGAATATGTTTACAGGTAAGGTATCTAAAGAATTAGTAGCAGTTTAAGAAATTAAAGGTGGTATTTTAGCAGATGATATGGGTTTAGGTAAAACTTTAATGGCTTTAGCTTTAATATTGGAAACTCTTAGTAGTGAGAATTAAACTCTTATTGTTGTACCTAAATCAGTATTAAAATAATGGGAATAAGAAATAATAAAACATTCTAAACCAAATAGTTTAAAAGTTTTAGTATATTATGAAAATAAAGATAGAAAGAATAAATAAATAGATATTAAGAATTATGATATTATTTTAACTACCAATTCAATATTAAGTATAGATTATTAAATTTGGAGTCAAATTAATAATATAGATATTGAATAAGATGGTGAAGTTATTTAGGATGGTAATTTAACTGAAAGAAATGATGATAATGCAATTTAATAATTTAGTGAATAATCTAATTCTGAAAGTAGTAGTTCTGATGATGATAATATATAGAGTTAATCTTATATTAATCTTTTAAATTAATTATTAAATTAAAAGAGAAAAAAAAAGAGTGAAATTAAATAAGAAATCAAATAAATGTACAAAAAGGAGAAAAAATAAATATAGAAGAAAAAAGTATTAAGTGCTGAAAAATTAGAAAAAGCAAAAGATCATCATAATTTATTTAAATAAAAGTATCATAGAGTTATTTTAGATGAAGCTCATAATATTAAATCTAAATAATCATTATAATCAAAAAGTGCGAATGCTTTAGAGGCTGATTATAGATGGTGTTTAACAGGAACTCCTATGTAAAATAAACATGATGATTTATTTGCTTTAATTTAATTTCTCAAAGTTGAAACCTTCTCTCATTAGTAATTTTAATTCATTTCATTTTTAGTTTTTGGTGGAATACATATATAAATAAAGAGGAAAATGAAGAAGATTAAATAAGAATATTATCTTAAATTTTATAACCTATAATTCTAAGGAGAACTAAAAATTCTTAAAGACATGATAATTAAGGAAATGGTTTAAATTAAGTAGAAGAAGAAATTTGTTGGGTTGAATTAAATGAAAAAGAAAAAATACTTTATAAAAAATTATTGGCAGGTTCTTAAGATATTTTTAAACATTATACTATTAATAATAATAAATCTTATATTCATATCTTTTAAATAATTAATAAATTAAAATTAGCATGTAATAATCCTCAATTAGCATTAAAAGAAATTAATTTAGATAAAACACCAATAGAAGAGATTATAGATAAAATTAATACATTTTTTTAAATTAAATAATAAAATACAGCAAACATGACAGATGTATACAAAAAATCATTAATTGAAAATATAAGAAATGGAGACATATAAGAATGTGAAATTTGTAAAAGTGATTAAATTGATACATTTTGTTTATCGTCTTGTGGACATTTATTCTGTAAAAAGTAATCTATTAATTTATAAAATAGTTGTTTTACTTAAATTATCAATATATAATAATTGTGTCCTTAATGTAGAACAAATTTATAAATTAAAGATTTAATTGAAATCAAAGTTGATGAAACTCAATTTGAAGACTTCAAAACTCTAAAATATGGTCTTAGTTCTAAGCTAGAATCCCTTTTAAAATAAACCTAAATTATATAACAACAATAAGAGAAAGTCTTAATATTTACATAATCAATTGATATGATATAATTAATTGAAAATTTATTTAAAGATAATGGCATTATTACATATAGAATTACTGGATAAATGAGTGTTGTTAATAGAGAAAAAGTAATCAAATAATTTAAGGATTCTCCAGATGCTAATGCACTCTTGCTTTCCTTAAGAGCTACATCTACAGGATTAAATCTTACTATGGCAAATAATGTATTTTTAGTTGATCCCTGGTGGAATGTAATTGTTATAATTTATAATCAAGCCAGCTATTGAAGATTAAGCCATTGGAAGAGCAGATAGAATTGGATAATAAAATAAAGTTAAAGTTGTTAGATTTCTATGCAGAAATACTATCGAATAATCCATCAATCTCTTGCATTAAAAAAAGAAATTCTAAATTAAACGTACTTTAAATGGCGAAACTAAAAAAACATAAGAATTACAAGATTTCAAATTTGTTTTATTTCATTAATAGTGATGAATTTAATAATTACCAAACTTTTAATTTATTATTGTTTCTAAAATTAATATAGTTGCTGAACTATTTAAATCAATACAGAAAAAGTATATTGTTAATTGAAGTAATTGAAAATTCAAATACAAGTTAATGAAATTTATAAGAATTGTATGATTAATCTTCACATAGCTTTTTTTATTTTCTTATCATAAAAAAATCTTTCCCGATTAATTAAACATCTATATGCTAACCTTTTATTAATTAAATTAATTCTATCTACTTAAATAATTAATCTTTGATTTTTATTTTCATCCTTCAAGGAAGATTTTCATAATTATTATTTATACTTTTGCTTAAGTGTGTTTATACATTTTAAAAAAATTTGAACAGAATATTTTAAGATGAATATATATAATAGTATTATTGAATTTTATATATAATATTTTGACAAACTTTTGTGAATGAAAGCTAAATTTTTGAATGCTTTAACAACAATAATTAATATTCTGCCAAATGAATAAAAAGCAAATAAAACAAGAAAAAGTACTTAAAAAAAAGGCTTTGTATTAAGAATATTGGAAATCTATTTTTAATAAATATAGATAAGCCAATGAAAAAATTAAAGATGGAGAAACTAATACAAATATATAATTGAATGGAGATAACATCTAAAATAAGCATTTATTAGAATAAGGTTTTGAAAAAAATCTCTTATAATAGAAAAATATAGAAAAATTTTCTGAAGTCAAATTTTTTTTAAATTAAAAGCATGAAAATACTGAAAACAAAAATATTGAGTAAAACATCTTATAAAAAGATCAAATTACCTCCTTATAAAATAAAGAAACTTTAATTTCACAATTAAATCAAAATGATTTAAATAATTAATCAATCAAATTAATTTAAAAAGCATCAAATATTCTTTCGAAATCAACTAGATTTTAAGAGATATCTAAAGGAATTGAATAAACTAAACAATGTTCTAAAGTTTAATTAAATTTAAAGAAAGACATTAATTCTTATTAGCAAAAAAATTAAGTTATAAATAATATTTAGGTAAACCAAGTTGTATCAAACATCCCATCTCATAATAAATAACTCACTTTATAAGAATCATTTCAAAAGTAACATTCTAATACTGTAAAAAGTCAAAGTAAAAAGAGGATTTTAAAGAAATAATAAAAAAGTTTAAAATCATTTTGCAAAAAACTTCCAACAATCGAATTGTCTAAAAATGAAGATAATATAAAGAAAGATATCGAACAAGCTAAAACTCATTTGTTAAAAACTTAATCTTCTAATATAAATTAAGTAGATTAGAGTAATAAATAATTGTTAACAACACAAAATCATGATTTTTTCAAAGATTTTTCATAATCTCAAGAATAAGAAATGAATTAAAATATTTAAGATGATAAATTATCAAAAAATTGTATTGAGACTCTTGCTATTAATTAGCCTAAAGTAATTGTTCATGACTATTAAGAAAATAAAATAAAGGAATAATAAATTAACAATTTGATCACATACAATATATTATAATAATCAGCTGCAATTACTGATTCAGAAAATAAAATTATTGTCAATAAGAGTGGATCGCAAGAACTTTAAATCTAAAAAGATGAATAAAATTAGGAAAATAAAAATAAATAACCTGAATCTTATGATAAGCTTAATAATTCGATTACAGCATCAACTTAAAATGTAGTAAGAAATTAATTAATAGCTGTTTAAAAAGTTATTAGAAATTTGAATGATAGAGCAAATATATAAAATTAACTAAAGTTTCATCAGGATAACGTGTAAATTCAAATTGATTTGGATGTTGTAATTACTGAATAATCTGATTTGATACCTAATTACGAGAGATTTGTTGAATGCATTTAATATTTACATAATTTAGAGAAAGCTCATGTTGATAAATAAAATTTAGCACCTTAATTTTTGTGATATTAAATAATAAAAGAATGTTAAATTTATATATTAAAACATAAAAATACCCTAAAACTTTTTAATACTTATATCCATACTATATATAAAAATGAAGATATCTCAATAATATTCTAATTGAAATATGCAGTAGTGTCCATTCTTTGTATTTATTATCATATAATCAGCATCGTTTGATAGAGCAGAAAATATTCTCTTTTTTTTGGAACTTTCTTAGAAAATTATATTCAAATCTCCATTTAATTTTCTTCTCAGAACATATGTTTAACGATTAAATGATATTATTATTAGATTTTTGTTTTAATTTAATATTATTGGATCCATGGATTTATTTACTTAGCCTTTGCATTTTTGCAAACAAAATCTTTTATTAATATTCTCTTCAAATTTTTCTTTATTTAATTCATAGAAACAAATGCTATCTTCATGATTTTAGTTAGTTACAAATATGAACATTTGATCACTCAAAAATTTTAGTTTAGCTCCAAAATCAAAGTTAAATTGTGTAATAACATATCTAAATTGCCAATTATTACCTTTATTTAGAGACCAAAATGCTATAGTTTTATCTTTTGAATATGAAATCAAATAATTTTCAGATGGATTAAGGCTTAAAAAATTTACCTCATGTTTATGATGCTGTAATGTATATTAATAATCAATTTGATTTGTTTTTAGATTTACACTCCAGACTATTATAGAATTATCTGCACTTGCTGTCAATAATTGAGTTTCATTTTTATTTAAAATCATGCTTGATATGGAATCTGTGTGTTTTTCAAAGGTATTTAAATAATACCATTTTTACAGAACTTCATTATATCTCCAAAGTATAATAGTTTTATCATTTGAGCATGATATCAATACATTATCATCTTAACTAAGTAACAACTAATTTATCTGTGCTTTATGGCCTTCTAATTATTAGATAAATTATAAATTCTATAATTTAGCAATTAATATTATTTGTGAACATGTATAAATTATATTTGATCCATTCTTGTCAAAAATTGCACTATGACATTTCTTTGTTCTAAAATTTTGTATTCCAATTTTACTTAATTTAACTTAGTTATCAAGTATTTATGATTCCACAAAATATCCTTCCAAACCATTTTCCAATAAGCTCACAAATTCTTTATTCTATTATGAGTTCATTTAAAAAAAATATATTAAATTAATTATTTCTCAAATAGATTAGCCTATTTTTACAAAAAATAATAGAATTTCATCAATATCGTGATAAATTTATTCAATATATGTTAATGTCATATAAAATAAATAAATGAAAGAAAACTTAATAGAAAATACAATTTCTATTAAGTTTATAATAATTCTTATAAAAATTGCCTAATTATTTTTATAACAAATTTGTAATTTACATTAGTGGGTAAAAGAGACTATAAAACATTAAAAAATTTGTTGAAAAACTAAATTTAATCCATTAAAAAATAACAAGTTGATCACAAAAATATTTAACATAATTGATTTTATATTCTTTTATTTAACTTAGACTTAACTTTAATTAAAAAAAATAAATCAATATACAAAGTATTAAATCAGCATTATAGACCTAAAATTATATCGAAAGATTTATAAATTCTTTAAGAAATTTTACTTCTTATTTTTTTATTGGTTTTATGTTCTTGGATGGCAAAGAATCATGTGAAAGCAATCAGTTTATGATTAAAAAATTTGAGATAATTAAAAGGGTTATCCTTTAAAAAAAATCCATAGTATTCAAAAGTCTCTAGTAAAAGATCCAAGATTTATGTGAATTTTTTCAAGATGTGAAGATCCATGAATATTTCTTGGGATTTAAAAAATAGATTAAATTTTGTTTTTTTATATTTTTTGTAAATAAAAAAGAAATATTTTTTAAATTATATATATTTAATATTTATAAATTTTATAATTTTCTAAATTGAAATTTTTTATTGAATAAAACTTGATTTTTATTCTAAGCTTCAAAAGTTTCTTTTTAGTTCAACAAGTCTAAATCTCCTTTAAATAATAGAGTTTTCATTAAATTCATATTTTCACAGTAAATGAATATATTAAAAATCATTGGTTATATATAAATCAATTTCTGAGTAACAATAGAACAAGACACGCAATTAATATGAGGATATTACTATTGTCCGCCATAAGCAATAAAAGAGACTCAGCTTCATTCTAAAATACAACTCTCTAGATATTACTTGATATTAAGTAATTTTCTAAATTCTAATAATCAAATCCAATGAAGCAAATGTAAAGATAGATACTGAATGTTCCAGTTGATTGAATTTTTTTTTTTTACTGGTACGCCTATCATTAGTAGAATATAATATTGTATAATCATTTTGTAATTTAATATAAGCACAAAAGTTAAAAATGTAGTTTTAGAAGAACTCAACTATCTCATCATAATGTTAGAATTAGAAAAATAAGTGAGTATTAAATCTCTTATAAGCATTATTGTCTCTATCGTCCCACTCTTCTTTTTTTTAACAAATTTTTTTATTTCTCTTGTAAATTCTATGTTTTTCAGAAAAGGGAGTTAATTAAAGTTAGAAAAGGAAGGAACTTCTAGCATCAAATTTAGAGTTGGAGTTTCTAAAATTAAAGAACAGAATTAGAAACATACATACCATACACAAATAAAATATATAGTCAAGAAAGAATTAGCTTAAAAAAATAATTGCTTCGTCTTTAAAGATATTTAGGTCTACTAAAGAT